CACATAACATCAGTGCATGACCACCAAGTGTTTCCAGTTCTGCAACCTGTGTAAAACATTGATAAGGATTGGTAACAATTAGAAGAACCAAATAAGTGTGATAACATATATACTCATTACTTAAGCAATGTCAGTTTGTTTAGTGCTGGATTAAAGTTGTATCCCATGATGGGAGTGCATGGTGACAAACATTTAATTACATGAAAATTACTGAGCTTGCATACTAAGAAAGTTGTGTAAATCAAGGAAAAGAAAAAACCTAAAAAGTAAGATATTTAAAACAGGTAATTATGAGCAAGTTTAAGAATAACTTTCATTGTTTATTAAGAGCTTGCTGAGACACCTGGCGACCAACTGTAAAATTATAAGAAAGGGGAAAATTTTTGGCATATCTTAAATTACAATCCACACAGATAAACATCATAATTTTATCTGACAACAGTCAATCTACCAGTAATATAAATGTAACAATAAGAAAACTGATAAATTAATGCTGATCGATTAAAATCAATGTCGAACAGAAAAATTCAATACGAAATGCTTGTTTGCTATTATAGCACAATTTAAGACCAGTTTACAAATTAAACAAAATCATAAGGTCAGTAAATGTATTGGGTATATCATTTCAAGAACTTGTCAATCCAGTCTTTATACAGCTTGGTGAGTTGAACTTGGTCATTTATAAACCACAAAGTTCACATCACAAAATGTGATAAATATCATTGTAAGTTTGTAATAATGATGATGATAATGACTATGATTATTACTAGCTGACCTGTTTCATGATGTTGCCAATTATCTTCTTGGCTTGTTTATCAGCTGAGGGTAGTGACACAGCTGACCCTAAATCTGTTGCCACCTTTTTGTAGGCAGCTCTATCTGAGTCAGACAAGTTCCTCCACTTTTCTCCGATGGTGCGAAAGACCTCTGCACTTCCACCAGTTTGTTCTGTGGAATAAAAGGATATGATGCATTTTTCAACTTAAAAGGTAAGATGTAAAGCACAAATTTAGCTAGATCAAGAATGACTACCTTTGTGGAGAAACTCCCTTGTGAAAGCATTAAAGCCACTTTGTTTCCTCACTAGTTTCTTTTCTGTCCTCTTGTGTCCATCAAGCACTCTGGAACCACTACTACACTTTGCATTGTGGTTGTTTATCCAGTGCTGACCAGAAAAAAAAGTAATGTTTCACACTAAAAGAAAAAACCAAGAAAAGTAAAATTCTAACTGGTTTAGCAGTTTGACAAACAAGAAAACTTTGAACTAACTGTCACTGACAACTCACATGCAGTCACGGCTACTTTAGGGCTGACACTCAAAAAGTCAACTTTGAAACACTTTATGATAGTAAATTCATATTATCAACTCAGTAAATAAAACAGAATTTTCTTGCTATATTTCCCCACAAATTCAGCACCACAGGTTCTTTAGAAACTTTCTCTCTTTATTCAATTGGAAAAATATATTTTCCAGTTACTTTATCACATTAATATGACTTAAAACAATTAGATGACATTGTACAGTAGCTAAAAAGGCTATTGAAAAAAGGAAACTGTTATTATATGCTCTAATTTGCAAAGTCTGGGAGGAGAGGTCTGTGCATGCAGTCCCATAAAATTAAAGTTCTGAGCTTCTTCAAGATCTCTTTAAAAGTATTTCTTTTTGTATCTATATTGTGTGGTACAAATACCACATCAACTTTGTCTATCTTAAAATACTGAAAAAGATGCAAAATAACAAATAAAAACAAATTGAAAGATAGAGAGACACAGAGAGAGGAGAGGGAGGGAGAGAGAGAGAGGGGAAAAAAAGCGATAGCAAATGAATAAAAAACATGTAAATCTAAAGCACCCCAATGACTTTTGTTTCACTTGCTAGTTGCTGGCTCGAATAACATTTGAAAGTTATCAGAAGTCAACTGTGAATATGACCTTCTGCATTAACATCCTCGTATGTAGTACCTTATTCAAAACACTTAGTTCAATTGGGTTTTACTGTATTAATATATAAGACAAAACTTCTGTAGGTAACACATGCAAAGGTGCAAAGAAAGGGAAATACTACAGCATGGCCTGACCAAAAACCCCCTTAACACAAACTAAAACCAATATGTACACCTGAAACCAAACTAAAAGGATCCAAAGTAATCTTAAACCATTTGAAACCATATAAACCCATCTTAAATCATTCGACCCATGTAAAAAAAATTGGCAACCATCTTGAATCTACTAAAACCATTCAGAACCATCTTAAACTATCTGGAACCATTTATAACCTTCTTAAAACATCTAGAATGATCTGTAACCATTTGAAACCATCTAGAAGCAACTGTATCCATCTACAATCAACTCAAGCCATCTACAACCAACTCAAACCATCTACAACCACCTCAAACCATCTGCAACTAACTCAAACCATCCACAACCAACTAAAACCTGATCTACAACTGATTCAGACCATCTACAACCACCTAAAACCATCTAAAGCCATGTACAAGCAACTGAAACCATCTGAAAACTATCCTAGGGGCCTGTTTACATGAAGGTTGGGGGACTCCACCTAGGTGAGGTAACCTGCCTATCCATATAATCTCTTACTTTTTCTTGATCATGTTTACATGATAGGCAGGGTGACCTGCTTAGGAGAATGTCTCCCTGCAGGGATGGCAATTTGCCTTGTAAAAATCCCAAGGTGGGTCAATGTATCTTGCTGGGGTTGCTAGAGTTCCTGAGGTTGTAAGATTGTACATTAACACAGGCTATTTCTCAACCACAGGTAGGCAGGTTACCTCAACTACCAAGGGTCCCCCACCTTTATGTAACCAGGCCCTAAACCATCTTAAACCATCTTAAACCATCTTAAAAATCTACAAGCAAACCATCTTAAACCATCTAAAACTACCTCAGTGCAACCATCTAAAACCACCTCTGCACAACCAACTAAAACTACCTAATTGCAACCATCTAAAAACCACCTCAGTACAACTACCTAAAACTACCTTAGTACAACCATCTAAAAACCACCTCAGTACAACCACCTAAAACTACCTCAGTACAACCATCTAAAACCACCTCAGTACAACCACCAAAAACTACCTCAGTGCAACCATCTAAAACCACCAAAAATCAAATAAATATTATCTCAGCTCGAGATGGAGATAGTAGGCTGCTTTAAGAGGCCAGCTGTAGATGAATGATTCAGACTATCATTGTGCTCGACAAATAGGAGTTACAAAGGCCTTCATTGTTCCTATAATTTCCTTATGGAAAACTAAATTACAGTCGATCTCATTTTTCAATTGACAACTTGAGTCAAAGAGGACAAAATTGCACAAATGTATCAACAAATGTCTAACAATGGCACCCAGTTAATTACATTTTCATGTGAAGTAAGAGAACTTTCATTCAGTACAAGAAAGCGGTACGAAACGTGTGAAGGGGTCCCAAAAATTGAAATTGATTACAGAGGTCTCCAGAGGAGCAAACTATCAATGCGGTAACCGGAGAACTCTCTTTGTCGATTGTAGGTAGTTTTAGATGGTTTTACGTGGTTTAAGATGGTTTGTCTGTTTTTAGGTGGTTTCAGGTAGTTTAAAATGCTTTTAGGTGGTTTAAGATCGTTTTTGTGGTTTCTGGTCGTTCCATGTTATTTCTATTTAGATGGAGAGAAAGTACAACACATGCGTCATTTAATTTCTTCCGACATCAAACGGCTTTCACATCATTTGTGAAAGGCTATAGCTATGGACAATGCAGAATTAGGAATAAACTGGCCGGCGAAAACCTTACACTGTAACTTCATATAAAGCCTGTGTGTAATAAAATTAGAAAAATGCTCGAAAGATGTCCTCAGATCGCAATTAAATCAACGTGGTTTGTAACAGAATAGGTCAAAAGATCAGAACAATTAAATTACACTAACTTCAAATCGCCTGAAACTCTTAACAACATACATACATGAAATTTAGTACAGGAAATTAATTATCCTGGTGCCTGGGATAAAATGAATGTTAATCAAGGCCGTGAGAGCTTAAACTACCTTCACTTGGTCTTCCGAAATGCCGACTCTTGTGGCACATGCACGAATTTTGTCGCACATCGCTTTCTTGGTGGAAGTCATTCCCTCGTTGAAAAACGTGGTCAGCACTTCCTTTTGTTCTTCAGAATAAACTAATCGGGACTGCCTTTCCATTGTAAAGTAAAAAAGTCAGACGCGCAATAACCTAATGATCCACGTTGTGCAGGGATATAAAGACCAAGCAATGGGGTCAGGGTCAGCGAAGCGTGCTCAACAGGGCGCTAATATTTAATCCCATACGTCACAGGTTCACGATAGGTAAATAGGCCCTACTTTGACCGCTTGTATGCGTTAATTTGATACTAATTAAATCCGCATGTAAGCGGTTAATTACGAGCGAATCGGGTGAAATTTCATATAAGGTGATCGATCGATCTCGTCGAGTCGTCGAGCCATGGCGCTTAAAGACGTGTTCGAGGATTTCAAGAAAAGCAAGGCTGTGCTGAAAAAAGTTCACGATGACACAGTAGAATACTTCGGTGAAATCGTTCGAAAGCTTTCCGATAAAGGTACTGCAGATATTGCAGAAGAACTTCGCCACAAAGCCTTAGCCGTGCAAGCTTCTCCAAACGAAGTTCAAGTAATGGTTCAAACAGCGGCAATGGCGGATGTTCATCTGGAGTTCGATAACGCCCTTGCTGAACTGCTTTACACAGCTAAGGAGAAGAAGAAAGTCACCGATTTGTTTGATCAGGAGCCGGCACTCATTTTTGTCGGGCAAACCAACTGCGGAAAAAGCTCCATAATCAACGAGCTCCTAGGTTGTAAAGCGCTTCCCACATCAGATCGACCGTGCACCGCGAGAATTGTTCGCGTTTGCCACGCCGAGGAGCCTTATTGTCGCCTGGTTGACATAGGTGGTAAAACCTTGGAAGAGATAAAGATGAAAGGCAAGGATGGAAACATAATCCCTCGAAAGAAGATCGAGCTCAAATCAGAGGATCGTGGTGACCCTAGTAAAGTGGAGGCGATCTTGGAGACCGGTTTAAATATCGAGTTCTTGAAGTGTGGTGTAACCATCATTGACTCCCCTGGAAGAAATGAAAATAAAGCGCTGGACAACTTGGTAAAAAAGCAGCTGGAAAATCCCCAGGCGTTTGTTATTTACGTGGTGGATGGACATGATCTCTTTACTGAGCAGGTAAGGTTTTTGTTGTTAACACGATCGCTTCCTCGATTGGTTACAATTAGTATTTCTGGGCTGCATTAAGATCGAAACTATATTAAGTGCCATGTTTTGTGAGTCACTTGGACTGTGTCCTTTAAATATTGAGTCATGAATCAGTAATTCGATTAGAGTAATTTGTAAACACGAAGCTGATTAAAACAAAAGTTTTCTCTTTTCGAAATTAATTAGTAGTGGTTTAAATTTACACGAAAATGCCGTGAAACGACAAGAACGTATACACCACAACATCAGCATAGCTTTTACTCTGGTTTGCTTGCTGTTGCATTTATTACGAAATAAATTCGGCATTCGTATTTGGCAACCCACGGCAATCACTGTCGACTGCACCCGCGAACGACAGTGATTGCCGTGGGTTGCCAAATCCAATTGCTGCAATCTGATTGGCTACGCTATTCGCCTTATATAATTGCCCCCGCAGGGTTTTTGGCCCCAGAGGGCCAAAAACCCGAGGAGGCACCTTAGGACTCCCCGTGTAATATAGAGGAAGACTGGAGAAGAGAGAATGTGGGTATTTTCGGTAGATCATAACCAGAAAAAATCTCGATTTGATCGCTTGCACGGCCGCAAGGTATCAACGTTTTTCCCGCAAATGGTCATGGGCTGCCAGTAAAAAGACACGCGCGCGAGGACTTTTAGGATCGGCGTCTTTGACACGAGATTTGTCCTAGTATAGAGGAAGACTGGAGAAGAGAGAATGTAGGCCCTCTTAAGGTATAATTTTGTGTCTAATAACTATATAATAATAAATTGTTCTTCAATGCTGTCTATAAATTGTTCTCCAATGCCACCTATAACATTCCAATGTTAAAACTCACCCAAGTCCATACATTCTGCTTCTTCTTGATCGTGAAGAACAAACAAATCCTAAGTTAAACCACACAGCAAAAAAAAAAAAAAAAACCCAAGCACTTCCCAAAACTACATTTTGTACACATGTAGTATTTTGAGATCCAAAATTACTAACACCAAAGTACTGAGCCGCAATTCCGTAACAGCATAACAGAAAAATTGCACAACTGTAAACAACAAGCCCAACTCAAAAAAAAAAAAAAGAAAATGGTACTGTAGGGCGGGGGCAGCTCTAGTGAGAACTATAACTAGTGAGTAAAGAGAGTGGCTTACTAGTAATATTGTGGGATTGTAAACAAGGTAAAATAACTATTTGAGCTTGTTTTGTTATAAAGTTTTGAATAATTAGCAGATTTATAATAAAACGACTAGATTATTCGCCCTCTATTTCTATGCGTGAAAAAGATCTAATAGTTGATAGTGATTTTTCTTTACACAGTCTTATATATCGTCAATTAATACCAATTGTTATTTGTTTCCTTGCCAGGATAGAGAGATCCTGAATAAAATGACATCCACAGAGACCGATTCATCGATTTTTTTCGTTGTTAACAAAGTGGAACCAGAAGATCGTACCGAATCATCAGATGAGGACGATGAATCAAGCCGTCATGCAGCATCAGTGAAGGCGCGGGAAAAGCGAGAGCAGGAAAGAAGAGTACAGGAAGATAAGAAGATACGGGTGTACCAGCGGCTTGTCACATACGGCCATTTTTCTTCTGAAGAGTCCATGAGTCAAAACGAGAAATTCCATGGGTTGTCAGCTTGGCGAGTTCATAAGTACCGCGCTATGAAGAAGAAAAATCCCGAAGCTTCTTTCGAGGAGTTTACGGATTACATGGAAGCCTTTGAGAGATTTCAAAACTGCTTGGAAAAGTTCGCTAAAGAATCTCTTCGTGCAAGGGTCGAGTGTGTATGCAAAACTCTCGTGCGTGTACTATCCAGATGCCTGGATTTCTTCATTCAGAAAGCCAACGTCTTGAAAGGGGGAAAGAAGCAAATATTGAAGATATTGGAAACACTTTTGCGCAAGGAACAGCAAATTCACGAGAACGTAATCCGCGATCTGCGGGACGAAAATCGGGCCATGTATATACGAAAACTGATTAGTAATGCCATAAATGGAGCCAGAGAAGACATCTTAAAAGAGGCAGGAGATTTTGAATACGTTTTGACCGAATTTACCATTCCGTCAAGTGGCCATGTAAAAGAGAAAGCAGCTGTGGCTTCCTGTCAGGACCAGATTGAGCGAATGGTGGTCAATAAACTCCGAGGAGAGATCAAGCAAACGTTAACAATGATTTTCCTCTACAGAGATCACTTCCTTGTTCGCCTCAAAGACAAAATAGAGCAAATTCAGGGAGAAATTGCCAGAGACAGCCAAATTCCATCGGTAGCAATCGCTCTTGGCAAAAGCCTTCTTTCTTCTTACGAAGCTCAAATCACGTTTTCACAACGCGACGGAGCAGTTTCCCGTTTCGTAAAGAGCGTAATCAGGTGGTTTTGCAAGATGTTTTGTAATCCGATCGACACATTTATCAAGACCATCACTGGTGAGGTTCATGTTGGCTCGAAGAAATGGAAGACAGATGTTGCTTCAGATGTCCTCGCGAAAGTAGATTCATCTGACATAGCTCAGAGAGTCACCACCAACTTGAAACAGCACTTTTGTAAATGCCATGAAGAGTTCACCGGTGAAATAGAAAAAGTCCAAAAACTGTTCGATCGCGGACAGACCATCAAGGATATGCAAAGAGAAACTGTTATTGGCTTTGTTCCCAGTCTTGCATTTCTTGAGATACTGGCATATGATGCCATGGACAGGTTCAAGTTTGGATTTCCAGTTAAAGGAGAGTGCATTGGAATTGGGGCACAAGGCAGTGTCTTCGTCTGTAACAACATTAAAACTCCAGAAGGAAGGCCCTGTGTTGTTAAGGCGTTAAGTGTCGCTTCAAAGGAGGTGCTCAAGGCCTTGAGCCTGGAACTTCATAATACCAGGTAATGTGCAATATCAAGATGGTAAGGTAACGTAACGTTTTGAAATAGGTGCGAAACAACGCGCGGTCTCATTGGTCGATGGGTTCGTTTGGAGTTATCGATACAGATTCGCCCGTATTTTGAGAAATCATTTCTGAAGGGCAAATGGGATTCCTTTTTCCCATGTTCACAGGGGTTTGTCTGAACACTTGGAGGATTAAGGAAATTCTTGAAAGCTATTCAAGCCTTCGTCTTTTCTTATTTCAACAATTTACTGAAATGAACTTCTTCGTTTAAGAGCTCTCCACCATCCGAACATTCTACCCATTATGTGCACTGTAGTGGAGTCCAACCCAACTCGTGGCTTTTCTGTGCAACTTGTCTCGGAGCGAATGAGATGCGATCTTCAAGATGGCTTAGCGGATATTCCCTCCCTGAGAAAGAGGCTTGAGATAGCTCTTGGCGTTGCTAAAGCCTTGCAGTATCTTCATGGAGAGGAGCTGATCCATCGCGATGTTAAAATGCCAAACGTCTTGGTGAGTACCGTCAGACTGCCTGTTAGCCTTGATTGTAAAATAACTGGGGCTGTGATGGGTGTTTATTATGTAAGGCTGTACTAATGAAGAGTTCCTTAAGGGGAGCCGATTATTGAACCAAAGGGGACTCAGAAATAATAGTATTCTGAATTTATACAGCATATAAGTGGTACAATACATTTTTGAACCAGCAAATTCGACTTTCTCCTTTTCTCTCCTTTCAGTTGGACGAGAAAAACGACGCCAAGTTAACAGATCTGGGTCTCTCTAAACCCGTGGGTCTCATCAATAACACGTTGGTTGGTACTCCTCTCTATATGGCGCCCGAAATGATGAAACGACAGTACGACAAATCCATTGATGTGTACGCGTTCGGTATGTTGCTCTGGCATGTGTGCGAAGGCCAGGGCAACCTACCAAAGAATATACACCTTAACCCTCTGAGTACGCTCAAAAGGAATGCATGTGACAACAAGACACCAGAGAGGTTGGACGTGTTTCCAGAACAATGCTGGCAACTCATGGAAAGGTGCTGGAATCAGGATCCCGAAGCAAGGCCATCATTCGACATCGTGGTTGGGGACTTGGAAGCGTTCCTAGCTGAGATGCGGGATCAGTAGTAGCCGTAGATTTTATGACAGACAGTAGGAAGAAATACTAATCAGATCTTGGGAGTGAAAAGGTTAAATAGCTGTGATACCAGAGCTTCACACAATGAAAAGCTCAAAGAATTTGATTTATTAGATTTGAATGGCAAGTTCCTGAGACAGAATACTTAGGGAGTGCATCCTTTTGCAAATTATAATAGGTACACTTTTTGAACCAACTACATTCATCAACCACGCTAGATCATTTGCTAGTTTATTCAAAACAATAATTATGATGGCATATTTTGTCAACTTGTAACCTGATGAGAGGGTGGCCTTTAAATTGCAATCATCATCATCATCAGAACACTTCGTAACATTTCAGAGGCAACCAGTTGATTTCATAAACTTGCTTGTCTACAGCAAGGCCTCAATGAAAACATAAAAAAAAGAAATTAGGTGATGTGGTTGAGAAACAAAGATCAGATTTCTACCACAAACTACAAAGTGGTAACAGCATTGAACCTTGCATTACATGCCCATGGTAAGTAATAAAACACGAAACAACCTAAAACCACCTAAAACCACCCACAACCACCCACAACTTAAAGAACTTTACAAATTGAACTATCAAGGTACAAAAAATAATGAAGTAAAATAGCAACCTCGTAGTCAAGACTGACTTGACTTGGCTTTTTCTACCCTGGGTACCAGCAGACGTTTTGGCTCCCGTCTAGAAAAAGTATGAGTAAGAATGGTCATTAAAATATTTTAATTGAACTGTGCGCACCTTCGGGATCTTCCTTTGGCACAAACGCCATTGTGCTGGCATTCATACAGCATGCAGTTGTACGATTGGTGCCACTTATGCAATAGTGACTCACATTTTGCTCCAATTACAAATCCGGTGCAGAGATTATAAATGGAGGAAAAGCCCTCCTTGGACCATTATGTAATCAAATGAAACGTGAGCCAAAACGTCCGTTTGTAAGTTCTTTAAGTCTTTTACTACTGAGGTAATAAAAAATATAATTGGCATGCTCTTGCATTTCATTTCGTGAGATGGTTGATTCTACATGGGACCTGGGAGAGTAAGATTACTTTTCTATGTTCTACGTGGTGACTTTACAAGTAGATTGGTGAAGATCTCCGGATGAAATGTCGGACAATAAAAGATCACCCTGTCAAAAAGAGGCTTGTGCTATCCAGAAGTGTTTGCAAGGCAATCTCGTATAATTACGAGGTGCGTTATTATTCCTAAGGCTAATCACACGTGAACCAGCAGTTCATGGCTAGGTAATTTAGAGAGGTCCAAGTCTTCTTATCACCATTGTTCCAAGCTCATGAAATTACTTCGACCACCAAAGTTTTCTTTTCTTTTTTTCACACAAGCATCAATGCCGACCATGAACATTTGTACTTGTGCTCAACTTTATACAGTGGAACTGATTTGAACTCAGGAGTGATATTTGATAGTGTATTCTGATCGTCCAACTAAGGGTAGTCCTGAAAAAGAAAGGACTGTGCCAATAATAATAAGCGACTTTAGTGATGACTTCTCTCAAGGATGACGAAAATTCATTACTACTGACAACAGTCCTTCTCAGGGCTTCTCTGGACGATCAGAAGACATGATCATATCAATTCAGAATATGCGAATTGATGGGCTGTATAGTTTGGATGTGGGGGGGAGGAGGGTTGGGTTAGGTGTGGGTTGGAGGATGGAGATGTAAGAACCGACTTAGGGCAATTAAAATCCTTTCCCAAAATTAAACCATATCCAAAATACGATAGTAATCAGTTTGATAATAATTATTATTTCATATCTTCTGTATTTTCCACCAAGAATTTAATTATCAAGAGGGCAGGTGCCAACATGTGATTAACAACATGAAGAAATGCTGCCAAAAGATTTCAGCCATAAACACTGAACTGTACTTAGGCTTCAGACAGGAACTTGAGCAGCAAAAGGTAATGAACAAAGAGAGGTAGCAAAGGACTTCACCTAAAGAGCAAGAGTGAGCAAGTGAGACTCCTACATAGGTTGAAATAAGTTGATCTCTGCACTGTCAGTCATTCAAAAAAATCAGCAGATAAGGGTTGACTTACAGAAGTTTTTGAAGTCTGTTTATGCACATTGCAGCTGACTTGAAGACAGTAACTTTATTGAATAATTTAAGCAGTTTGTGATATCATAATAAAATAAAATTTCTACATACACAGGTCATATTTTATGCTGTGTACTTAAAAATCCTTTACTGTTCCTTAACCCATTTCACTAAATGTCAGTTCTCAAGGTCTCCACACTGTTCTCTATATGTTTTCCACTGTCCTGACAAGGAGAATTTGCTTAATAATCAATAGCTTCTTGACCTTGCGATCATTTCCTTTATTCTCATGACCTTAATGTTTGATTTAGGGGTGATACTGGTAGAAGACATTAGATGCTTATCACTCTCAGGGGTGAAAGGGTTAACAGTTTTTACCTGAAGTTGGACAAGAGTTTTCAAGAATTTATGAAAAAGTCATTAATAATATTTTAAAAAATTATTTTTAAGTTACTTCAACCAAAATACTGTTTCAGTTAATTTATGCACTGTTCATGCACAATGACTAAGGACAGTGATATACTAGTTTGACGTTCAAGCTGTAGAGAATAATTTCATGTTTAACACAAGCCTTTGTTTTGAGTACCACTAATTATAAAGTCAAGCCAAGGAGAAAACCACCAGCAAAGCCTGTTGCTGCAGCTGTATTCCGTTTTACATATCTGTAGCCCTGAAAAGAAAAATAGTTTGAATAATGAGAACCATTTGTTTAAGAATTTAAGCACTTATCTGACTGATATTGTATTGATATTGTAAGGAGAAATTCTGGCTTCGTCACTCATGGGAGTTAAAGGGTTAAGGCTCATCCAATATTTTTATCACCTCTCTTAACCTTCCCTTTGAATACTGATGCATTCATAAGACTATCACAAATTTTTAAACAGTTTTGCTGTCATATTATTAGGTAGAGTTCACCAAAGGGCTATAGAGAATTGATCTAATTGTCAAATGCAGAAAAAAATTGAAAACACCAACCATAAAAAATTAAGTTCCAAATAAATAAAATTTCAACTTTAGGATTTGTTTCATACCCTGTTTGCGAGAGCAATAACTCCCTTTTCAATTTCTTCCTCATTTTGTTTCATCTTTTTTACTTCCTTTTTAACCTTTGTAGTAATTTTATCTACATCCTTTTCCATTCTCTTCCAGTTAATGTTGATGTAACCAGTTCTGTGAGCAACCTGAGAAGGCAAAAAGAAAAAGTTAATTTTTATCATAGCTGAACTGCTGGTGAATATTGTGTGATTACACTTAACCCTTTAACTCCTATAAGTGACCAAGAGAGAATTTCCCCTTACCATCAAAATATCAATTTGGGGATAATTAGTAGATCCAATACTAAATTCTCTGAACTAACAAATGTAAGAATTGTATGATTGACAGCAAGGAGAATTACAAATTTGATCTGAGAGTTAAAGAGTTAAGATAATAAATTGATTGTGAAGTTTGATCATTCCAGCAGAGTTGCTATAAAGAGGAGTTTTGACTGAGTTTTGACAACCAAAATAGAAATTATTTCCAGAGTCAAGTGATGAGTTGTTAGGGATATTTTATAAATCTGGTTCCTGAAAACTGATTGGTCAGTTCTTCTGAGGTTTTATTAAGCAATAGACCTCAGATTCTGTTTACTGGTGTAATGGCTTACACAGGATGTTTGAGAACATGAGAAAAGTCTGTAAATCACAATCTGTGGATAAGTAGTTCAAAAATCTTTTTTAGTGTTTTACCAAGATCCAAATTGAGTTGATATGCTGGTAGACTGATATAAAGTGCAGTCCATTGCTTTTATAAAATAACTGTGGGTTTACCAGTGAAATCAATGATAGGTCTTGGACCAAGCAGCCTGCTTGTAGTGTTTTAGTTATAATACAATTGGCTGTATGACTCTAAAAGTGTGAGTCAGTTATGACAGATCACTTTTGATTCTTTGGTGAAGTAAGGACATTCTGTTGTATTTGGCTGTTTTGTCAGTGTTTCGTCTAAGCTGTTTCTATGTTTTAAGTTGCTGAAATTTGTTCAGGAAAGTGCATGTGCTAAAAGTTAGTAAACCAGCTCTCCAAATTCTGTCAATGAAAGTAGTTTGCAAACCTGTATTAGAAGTATTCCTCCTCCAATGGCAGATAGGGTTAGTTTACCAACTCTTTTACACACATACCCAGCAAACCTGCAATGACAGCAATGCAATCACTCTTTGAGCCAATGACCAGCTCTTAAACGTAACAATTCAAAAGCTTCTATTCACATATTAGAGTCTTCCTTAATCAGGAGCTTAACAAAGAACACAAATAAAGGAAATTACAAAGCACAATAATGAAATGTTCTCTCTTGTTACTGTACTCAAACCCTTCTTTCTACGATGCTGATTAAGCTTATTACTACATCAGTTTTCCAATACAGGGAATGGAGGTGCTATCTTAATTCGACATAATGAGTAAATGTGCCTCTTTTTCTGAGAAATCATTTTAGAATGAGGCCATTAAGTCAGTCACGCTCAGTATTCTTTACATGAAACAATTTGTCCATGAGAATCTAAAGAATCACATGAAACGCAATCAAGTATCGACGTTCAGCTGCAATCTACATACCAGCCCGAAATTCCCCCGATACTAATTTGTTGAACAACTGGTCGCCCTGCTAAGTCCATAGTGATCAGTTGTTCTACTAAATTTCTCGATCCCGGAGTCTCGATCACTTCATAAACTTCACTTTCATCCTCCTCGTGATTGCCTGAAAAGCAAGAAATAGCAAGTACAAATGTTATTTCTGATGATATTGTTATGTGTTGCTACAAATTTCAATTTAACCGAAGGAAGGTGTGAAGTTTTATCAGTCCCAAGTAGAATCCGAATTGTGTGAGAAAGAAATCTGATATCTTTCGAGATTTTCTTGACTTTTTCACTCGTTTGCAGCTAAAAAAAAAGAGAGTCTCAGATTGTCTATCCAACACAAGGGTCACGCAAAGACATGTATACAGAGATGGTTAATTTGTTTACATCCAAACGCCGAGATGTTCCGCTGTTCGAACGTTCTGATAATAGTAACGTTAAGACTAACGGATGACTAAACAGATCACTGAAAATTAAGCCTTTTTAACCATAAATAAGAGGAACATACTTTGCGACATTTTCTGCGACGAAATACTGATTAAATATTACCTAAATGTTAGGGACAAAGTTCATCAAAGAAGGAACGATTGTATTAGGTGCTGAAATGTACTCATTGAAAAGGGCCTTTTATCCTTCGGTTTTTCCCTGGTCGTTTAAAAATAATTAGAACGGTACTCTACGACTAGAAAAATAATGTTTTCCCGATTAACTTTGTCAAAATAATCAACAATTCATCTTAACGCAGATTTTATCAGTTTCGTTTGACAAAACCAAAGTGCCCTACGAAGAAAACAAAGAATGTCCCTATTTGACTTCGGTTTACATGACGTAAAAGCGACCGGCCATATTGTGTCCAAGTCTCCATGGTAGTCGACATTTTTTATGTTTATTTATTGATCTGTGCAGAAAATTCATCAAATCCTGTAATATTCGTTTTTATTTCGGCTAAATATTGAACGAGGGTGGAGTTAATGCTTCTTGATGGCTTAAAAATTCTTCTTCGTGTGATAAATCGGTGTTGAAAGAGGAAAGTTCGATCTTCAAACATTCAACTTTGCAAATCCATCCGCCATCATGAGTGAACAACTAAAATATATTGTGGATGAGCTGAACAAGGAACCTTTCAAGAAGAACTATAACCTCATAAGGTAACCGTTGAATTTTCCTTTCTAAAACAGCTTCGATAATAATGTCACTGCGTGGTTGGCAAGCAATTAAGCCTTGTAATAATTTTCAAAATTTAGCCTTCGTAATTTTTAAGCCATTTAAGTTTTCCAGAAGACATGTCCTAACAAAATTTTCTGGTTTTCACATTTTAAAACCAGTGTTGTTTCTATTTGATTGTCTTTCATATTATGATTACGAACATTCAACCGAAGAAAAGACAACTTCAGTGATTGCAAGGAAAGATTTGAAACACAACTTATATCTTAAATTGGAATCAGCCCCCCAAAAAACAGGCTTGTCAGAGTTTATGATGGATCTATCTAATGGGAAAGTACCTGATTCAAACTTGAATTTTAACCCATAGGACTTTCATTTTCTTTCAGCTTTGATTCTCTGCAGCCACTACAGTTGCTTCAAGTGCTGAATGATGTTTTTGCAGAAATCAATCCCCAGGTTGGTGATGTATGAGCCTCTTTAGCTGAGAACAATTTTTACCTAACAGATTTTCTAACAATATGCCTTTATATTTTTCTTATTGAATTATTACTCAAGATTATTATTATTTGTTTCTCAACAGCACAAAATTGATCTTCGAGATGAAGAGCCAGAACAAATGGCAAAAAGAATGTTCACATTTTTGAGAATCTTGAAATTCAAGCCAAAAACAGAGTCTGGAAGCTTGTGAGTGATATTAATCCTTTCACCCCCAAGATCTCCTCAGTATTATTCTTACTGTCTGCCGTATAATTCTTATAATGTTGGTTTGGAGAATTTGGTATTGGATCGATTACTGATGACGAATCCCCTAGTTTACATTTTTCTCTACTTTCGTCTCTTGTCTGCTTGATATTGTTGTAATATTGGTATAGGTAATAACATGATTTTTGTAATTCAGTGTTAATAAGCACAAGTGGTGTAAAAAGAAAATTTACAAGTGTTTACTAACACCAAATTGCAAGAAAAATCATACTTGTTAATCAATTGTACATGAAAAAACATCACAGCGAGTCGAAACAAACAAAATTTTGAAAGTGTGGGTGCAATTTGTAATTTGCACTTGTTTTACAACTTTGCATGCATGTTGCATGATAATAGACTTGTTTTCAGCCAATCAAAAGTGCGTAATTTTTTCATGTACATTATTTTAGGGAAAAATTATGTCTTGGTTGCTCATGGGAATTAAACCATGAAATGACTTTTATCCTTTTTAAATTGCAAATCACTATCTATAAGGATTTTAAGGCATTTAATATATTAACCCTTTTAACTCCCAAGATCTCATTAGTAATTCTCTTTACTGTCTGCCATACAATTCTTGTGATGTTAGTTTGGAGAATTTCATTTTGGATCAACTTATAATCCCCTGACTGATATTTTTCTTCATTCTGATCACTTATCTGCTAGATATTGTATTAATATTGTAAGGAGAAATTCTGTCTAGGTCACTCATGGGAGTTAAAGGGTTAACCTATATTTATCACTGTAGATAAACCTCAAAGGCTAGCAAAATGACAGTCCTTGACTTTGACAAATGCAGAAGCTCTTCAGATTCCAGACATTGAATGTGACAAGAAAGTCAACCAAATGCAATAGTAACATTTCTTATTTGTCGTCAAGAGAATTAGCGATGCTTAGTTTTCCTTGGTGTTCATTTTCACCAACAGAAACCAGAGTTATTTCTTTGTGGTAGCCCCTGATCTATCACCTTGAATTGCTGCAGTTGTAACATACTTCTTTGTAACAAATCATTTATCTCTTATTCTCTCTAAAAACCACACAGGAATGCCTTTCGTAATGGGCTCATTCAAGGTGACAAGTTGGTTATTTACCCCATTCTTCAATGGCTCTTTGAAAATCTGGTAGAATTGAAGACCAGAGCTTATCTTGCGAGATATTTGGTAAAGTTAGAGATTCCTCCAGACCAACTGGCAGATCAAGAATTAAATGAGCTTAATGAGAATGTAAGCATTTACATTTCTTTTTTGCAAAATGCACCAGTAAGCATCTCCCTCTTCTATAAAGGCTGAGTGAAGCTTTATAATGAATATTTCTTTAAACAAGTTCTGTGTAATGAGCAAAGTCAAATGATCCACCAGATATCACTAACCATCATCATTTCTACACTTACTTTTTACAACATATGCAATCACTTTTTTGCAATATATTGTCCCCTCCATGGATAGATAACAGTAAACAAGATATTTGGTTTGACCTTTCTGTGCGATGTTCACTAGCATTGAAATCTTCACTGAATTTGTTTTATTTATGTCAGTATTTAGAACTGATGGAACAGTTCAAAGATCTCCACAAGACAGTTGGTCAACTCAGGACATCTGGTCTATCAACTGGGGAAATAAAAAAGGTCAGTACTGTACAAAAACTTATAGGTTTGTTACATACATACATACACTTTAATTCAACTCAAATTATGAGAGTAGCTCTGTTGAGCTCATATCTTTGAGAAAGAAAAATATTAAATCAATTAAATTATTAAAATACATTAATTAAAAGTACCACTAAAAGTTCATTTTGTTATAAAGGGCTCTGTGTCTCCCATCTCATTATCATCATCATCATCATTGTCGCAGTTACTGTCAGCATCATTAAAATGATTTTAGTTTCTGTGCAGTGAATAACTTTTATTATTTCTTTCACTTTTAGGACATAGTAAACATGGAGGATGAAAAAGAACAACTGCAGAAGAGAATTGACAGAATGCAAAAAAAGGTAAAACCCAATTACCACAACTGATGTAAGTTCTGTTTCCTATTTTACTGTGTTTTTACACAATCATGCAGATAGGTCAGTGGTTTGCAAATCACTTATCACTCCTCTCTTAGATAATTGGCTTATATCATTTGTAAACTCTTGAAACTAAGGGAAGTTTTAACACAAAGCTTATCTCCTTTTAGGTGGAGAATGTGCGGAACTATGACAAGATGTTACTTGCTGCACGGAATTTGCGAGTTGAGAGAGAAAAGGAACACTCACTTGGTCAACAGAAGTTGGAGCAAAAGAACCAGGTAATCAGTTGTCCTAGCGAAAATAAGTGCATTAAAATATTGGATTGATGATATGTGTCTTGCATGTTTCAAGCCTAATATTTAGTGAAAAGATTTTTTAAAATTTGCTAATGTTGCCCCCACTTTGAAGATACCTGACTCAAAGCATGCGGTACATGTAATAAACCATTTGACAGTGATTATTGGTGATCACAGCTAATATAGTTGAGATATTAAACTGGTATGGGGGTGTCACTCCTATATCTAATCTCAAGAGTAAAGTCTAATTTAAACATGTTGTGAAACATTCAACAGTATCTGCACTCAGACCAACGTTATCAGCGTATGCAACAACAGTTAAAAGATATGAGGACTCAGGGTGTTGGCACAACTGGGGCAGGTAATGAACATTTTGAAGCTCTTATCTGATTTTGATTGATGATATTCTGTATTCATCCTTAGTTGACACTGAATCAAAATGGGAAACTTAATAGATATTCATTGAAAATTTAAAATTGAGGTGTTTTTATATTTTAAGTTTTGCATGGAATTAACAATTATGAAGTATTTCATCACCAGGCGAGAGTTTGGCTCAGTTTTGTGATGAATTTTCATCAGGATTCTTTTATATGCAGTCTTACATTTTAACTTGCAGATCTGATTAAGAGACTAGAGGAGGAGAACAAAGTTAATGCTTATCTCTGCCAAGAAAAACTGCCCAAGGTAATGGTCAGCCACAAATCTGCTAAGGAAAAACACTGTAACTGTTTTTTTGTCTATTGTAATATTTAGGATATGGAGTAAGGTCATCAAGGTGCTAACTTGAATTGGTTTCAGACTGATGTGTGATATATTTTATTTGAATCACAAGGAACTGGAAGGAAAAAAGAAGTATGCTCAGGATTTACAAAAAGTGGCAGATGAACCAGCTATGGGTCAGGCTGATTTGGATGAACTCAACAAAAGGGTCAGAGGAAAATAATTTGTTTTTATTTAATAAGATACTTGTAGATGACAGAGAACTCCATAATTATTATTACTAAGACACTCTTCAAATGTAAAACAAAATATTTAATGTTGTGTCTGATTTAATTTTCATTTGTTTTACATATACATCAGATTAAACAACTCTCAGCAGAAATTAACACACTGATTGAAAAGAGAATGGTGAGGAATGACCCTATTGATGACAAGTTGTCTCTCTTCAGGCAGCAAGTAAGTTATTTCTTTTGAAAAATCCTCCTAACTTCACTATCTTTTAGTTGTTATGGTTTGTTTAGTGTCATCAGATTCAAGGAAAAAATTTAACTGTGGGATCTTTGGGTAACATTAATGCATTTGTAAGAAAGAACAATGCCAGTTTTGCATTGACAAATGTTAATATATCAGTTAAATGCTATACCAGTGTTCAACCAGAAAAATACTTGAACTAAATATTTTGTAAGATTGCATGGATTCTTTTATTTATGAGATACCATTTTGTCCTTAAGGCTTCAATTATTGGACGAAAGAAAGAGGCTGTTGCTGAAAAGCTCCAAGAAGCCATGGATGAGGTGAGATGCTGGTGAATTTTTGTCTCGTGACACAGTCAAGCATTTATAATTGTTTAACACCAATGTTTTTGCTTGATTTTAGCTGAGTAATGCAGAAAGTGATTTGCAGAAGAAGAAAGAGTTATTGAAAGAAAGTGAGGGATCAGAAGTGTTGAAAGGAGATGAGGTTAGTGACAAGACTGGAGAATTTTATGGTAAAAGGAAGTGGGAAGGGGACTGGAGATGAACGAGGAGGGAATTGGAAGAGGAGGATGTGACCATGGAAGGAAAGAGGGAATGGTGAAGGGAACAAAGAGGAACAGAGAAGAATGGAGAGGAGATTGGGAAGGGGAAATAGGATTGGCTAGGGGAAGAGGGGAAGGAAGGGGTAGGGAATTGGAAGAGAAGTAAGAAGGGGTAAGGTTGGTAAGGGAGGGGGTATGGGGAGGTGTAATGAGGATGGATCAGGGGAGGAGGGGGTAGGAGGGGGGCAGGGAACAGGATGGGAATGGGAAGGGAAAGTAAGCAGGGGTATTGGGGGGGAGATGGAGAATGGTGAGGAAATAGGGAGGGAGCAGGGAAATTTTAGATGACTGAGCCAAAGGAAGTTGAAAATTGACCTAATTTATAAGGAATTGAGAAGTGACGATTGAGATATCCTTTTTTCTTTTAGTTCAAAAGATATGTGAACAAGCTGAGGGGGAAAAGCACAGTCTATAAAAAGAAAAGACAAGAGGTACATGTGAAATATGATCTCTGTGATTCATTCTTCAGTGATATAACCTTAAAATACCTTTTGATAATTTTGGATCTGTCAAAGTTTATATTTTCTAAAATAATATTTTGTCAAATTTGTGAATTACCAGTTGGCAGAACTTCGTGCAGAGTATGGGGTGTTAGCTAGGACAGAAGAAATACTGAAAGGCAAGGATGAGACATTTCAACATCAATTGGTAAGTGTTATTGTACTTGGGAGCTCTTTGTTCCTAACTTTTAAAAGCATCCCTCTCAAGAATAGAAGCACATTGCTTTAGTTCAGGCTTAAACAGAAATGCCTAATATAGAGGTCCAGTAACAGTACCAGGTACCTGTTATGCTTAAGCATCTTCTCCATTCTACTCCACAGGCAGTTACATGAAGTGTTGTATTTTTGGTGGAAGGGAGGGTTTGTGGTGTTACTCATTCTGATGGTTGATGGGTTCTTAGACTTTCATACTATTTAAGAATGAAAATTGCTACTTCTCTAAAATATCTGATCAGGAGAGTTTTTCCCCTTTTCTCTTACAAAGTTAGAGCGATTAATAGAGCAACTGAGTACTCCCTTCAACTTGTAAGACACCTTACTAAGAGGGTTGTTTTGTATTGTCGTAAGTCTAATTTAGAGAACAAGAAGGGTGTGACAGGTTTCCATGAGACTCAAGAGGAATTGGAAAAAGTTTCTGCCAAGAAAAGTGAGCTGGATGAACAGAAAGGGAAAACGCTGGAGGACATATCTGAACTGGTGAGGACACTAAGGCCACAGTACTGTGCTTTTGTCAACAGCTGACATATCAGCCGAAGAGTGAATTAACTTTTCCATTTTAGGATGGAAAGTAGTCATATTTTTTTTCATGAGTTTCACTTTTTGCCGTCCATTGTTGATTAGAAAGTCCTCAACCTCGATCTATACTACCACAGAAGGTTAAACTTCGACCTGTGAGTTAATTCTTGAAAACGAAGAAGGAACTTATAGAAACCTTGTGTTTGGAACTGGTTTTCCGCAACTTGTTTCTTCCGTCAAATTCCAAAAGCTTTTCTCAATCAAAATTTTACAGATGCAATCTGTGAAGTTATCTTTAAAGATTTGTTCGTATCTGCTTTTCTTGAAATTCAGGGTGTACTGCTTTTAAAGGTATCAAAGTATGCAATTCATTCATGTCGCAATTTTTCCTTCTCAGGTTCGTCAGTTAAATGCCACAATTGCAGACAAGAAGACTGCTCTGGCTCCAGTTATTAAAGAATTGAGACCAATGAGGCAGAAATGTCAGGTAATGAGACTGAACAATGTCTTAATTCTTGTGACAGTAGCTGACTGACAGTGAGAAAAACTTCCTATTATTTTTCTGAGACTTTCATTGCTTATGGTAGGAGATGACCGGCGAATACGAAGAAAAGAGGGCAGCGTATGAGAATTTAGCAGCAGGACTGGAAAGCAATCTGTCTAAACTTGAGCACGTAAGTTTATTGCTTTTATTCTTCTCTTTTTCATTACTGCACAGCGACAAATCATTTAGCCTGTCAACTGGTTTATATGTTTTGTGTTGTAAATACTGCTTTGTAAGTAATTATTTTTTTCTTCATCATCAGGAGGTGCGAGCCCTGCGCGAGGAATTGACCCACGAGGAAGGACGTTATCACTATTTACATTGCATGTTGAAGGTTTGTCCTGGTTTGTTGATCTTTGATTACTGCTTTAGCTTCCTGTTATGTTCGAAAGTGAATTTTATATTATAAGTTTGTGTGAGATGAGAGGACAGGAGAGAATAGACAGTTGGATTTTGGATAGCTGTGTTAGAGGTCGCGTAAGTTTTACGCATGACGGTCATTCGCAAAAATATCTGTTTACTGTATCTCAGGGCATCTCCTCGTCTTGCACAATTTTTTTTTTTCACCTGAAAAGCTGACAATAACATCTTATAAAAGCTAGAGTGGTGCACCTCTATTTCGACTGTAAGCTCCATAAGAGCCAGCATTTGTAATTATTTCTGCAAGCATTGCGTGACCAATCGAAAAGCGGCGGTAACGGGGAGCTACGGTGAGTGAAGAGACTTGGAATTAGTTCCATGTCCTTGTGAAACTGTTTTATTCTTTAAACGTTAGGTACTTGAAGTGCAGCAGGGACGAATCGATGACGAACTGAAGGCTTACCGCTCGGCGGATACTGCAGATCGCAAAAAATCTTTCAGGTAAAGATGTAATCTTTGTTTTTCGTGCAAATTTTGCTGTAACGCGCGTCCCGGGTAAACTTGCAGATAACGGGTAAACTTGCAGATAACAGGTAAACTTGCATATAACGGGTAAACTTGAATATAACGGGTAAACTAGCAGATAACGGGTAAACTTGCATATAACGGGTAAACTCGCATATAACGGGTAAACTCGCATATAACGGGTAAACTTGCATATAACGGGTAAACTTGCAGATGACGGGTAAACTTGCAAATAACGGGTAAACTTGCAGATAACGGGTAAACTTGCAGATAACGGGCAAACTTGTATATAACGGGTAAACTTGCAGATAACGGGTAAACTTGCAGATAACACGTAACAATCCGGTAAACTTTCCAGTTATCAATACTCGTTATCATGGGTTTTCAAAGGGTTTTCAAAGGGTTTGCATTTAGTGATTCACTGAGAAAAAAATTGTAGTTGATAAGTCTTTTAACAGTTGTGAGAATCTCTTTTAATTCATTTTTTTTCTCTTTCCTTTTGTTTTTAGGGATCAGTTTACTAAGAAGATTCAAGAGCAAGAAAACTTGGGAAAGGTATTGAATTAAACGATAAGCTGTTATTTTAGGTTGTTTTTTTATCCAGGTGAAATCAACGCATGCTTATTATTTCGCATTTGTTTTTCAGAGTCTTCGTGATAAACAAAAATCTGTCCGAGAGAGCCAGGCACCGAATATGAAACAGATGAAGATGTGGAGTGTAAGTACTTTTCTCATCCCCAGTAGGGGTACGGTAGGGAGTTAAGAGTTGCTTCTTTCCCTTTGGAATACTTCAATCTTTGGTCCTATTATTCCCCCTAACCGGCATCGATAAAACGTTTCAACTTTAAATCTTTACAATTAGAACATATTGGGATATTCCTTCGGAACAAATGAGGCTTTTCTGTCAGTGAGAGAAGATGTCCAGCAACGTTGAGAGTGGTTGGTTTTGAGGCAAATGCATCATCTTACAATTAAGAGTTCGAAAAATCTACCTTTCAACTTTAAGAAGGAAAAAAAAAAACGTCCAGAATACTACCAGCTAAATGTTTCGTTTTCCTACATCTTTCTTGTTAGGACCTTGCAAAGCTGTTGGAGTGCAAACGAAATTGTATGTTAAAACAACAGCAGGAGAATCAAAATGGCGGCGTAAACCAGCAGGGCCTGGATGGAGAAAACGTGTTGGTTCTCTAGGAAGCAGAGAAGTTTGGCTGCTCCTCGCTTTTCATCACAAGAAAAAAAACCTTCTTTTATTGTTTTTTTTTCAACTCCGCTACTCTTTGAAGACGTCAACCTGTAAATTTGTAAATTTATCTATCATCGTTTTATATGCGTTGCCGGAAGGATCTGCCCCGGTGCCCTTTCATCCTAGGGGTACCCCTAGGGATTCATCTACCATAGAGGAACAAGACTACTTCCTATTTCCTTAATCTACCGGTCGACCCTTCAAACTCCGTTTTGGCAATATCCAAACATTGCATTGTATCAAATCTTTGATTTACTTAGTGTTACATGTGGAAAGTTACCCCTCTCAGGCGGGGTATCTTTGTATGGTCCATCACTTACAGGAAAAACTCGACATCCTTCCTACATGACATGTATGTTAAGCCGCATGGCATATATATGAAGTTATTTAATGATGTAGTGATGAAAAATAAAAATAAAAAATTCACCAAAATTAAGTCTAGTTACCAAGAAGTTGGTAAAGATGAATGCGGGCATTAATTTGTAGGCCGGTCAAGACTGTTTCATGTTTTAATATAAAAGGTGAATATATTTGTCAATGAAAACATGGAGATCGAGTTGTATTCTAATATGAGCGGAAATCATATGGGACGTCGAAAATGAAAAATATTGGTACTAGATAAGGATAAAACAGATGGAGAAACCCTTGCGTACTCGTAGTGTTAAAAAAAATTTGAACTTTTAATTTGGCGACCAAATGTTTCTTGATGATCTACTCTCTTTGTACATCTTAAACTGAAACTCAACACTCGCGCACTCAATTATGTCTCGACATTTGACGTTTACATTGTAAAGATAGTCTCGTCAAGGCCTGTGTACGTTTAATTTATATTCTTCGGCAGTGTTCGTTCTATCTTCGTGGGCCCGATCTGTTGGCGTCTTCACCTCTTCGTATCGCGCTCTTTATCGGGTGAAGAGTTTTAACACTCGTCATCTCTCTTGAACAAAAACTGTTTCTTGCGGGAATAGTCCCGCAGCTTTAAGAGTCGTCCCGAAATCCAGGCTGGACAATTTCCTCCGTGGAAAGTTGGTGACGAGTTCGTAACGTTCATTGGGGTAACCCTCTTTCTGTACCAACAAGACGAGATCCTGTGAAAAAAAATTGCGAAGTTACCGAATCAAGATCATTAATTAAGTCCGTCAGAATAAAACGTACATTAGAGAAACTTTTGCATCGATCTCCATAGGCGATGGTTTACGAAGCGACGAGAGAGAACACGGTTTATCCTACACGCTACACGATGCACTTTGAACGCACACTGGTTTTCCCTTCTTCGAATACAGTTGTACCCTTCAAAAATTCAAAGATGCATCTTCAGATTTGAAAAGCGCAGCTTGTAGAAATGCACCGACAAAAATTAGAGTAACTAGTTAAAGTGAAGGGAAAGCATCTGTTCTGCGGGTTAATTTTTTAACAAGCTTAAAATCTTGTCTTTGTTCAGACCTCACCTTTAAAGATGACTCGGCACTTAGAGAGATGTGGGTACGAGAGCCATTCGGAAAACGGACCATAATATTACACATAGGTCCTGCAATGAAAAATACAGAACGGAAGTCAGTAAGTGGATGGCGGAATTGTTTAGCAAAGAAGAGGCGACGTGAAAGTGGAAGCAAGAGTGCACGAATTTCATTGATAAACTACTTTCCATCGCTGGTGCATGAGGTGTCTGGATTTTCAGGTTGCGGACAGAATGCGATCAGAACGCGGTTACGACGCGGTGATGCTCAAAAAGACGCCCCGTAATCGAATTTGCTAAATGTGTTACCAATAAGCATGCATCTGCTATTTCCATTCCTTCTATGAGATCCTTTCTGAACGTAATCAGTGCGTGATCAGGACGCGAAGATAATCTTAAAACGCGCAACTGTCGAAATTGTAATATACGTTAACATTAAACATGCATGCATCTGCCATTTCCGCTTCTTCCATGAATTCCCTTTCGGAACCCAATCAGGACGCGTTGTTGTCGAATCTTTACGTCAAAACTGAAAAATACTTTTTCCTACGCATAAATATCTGCAATTTCTTTTCGTTAAGAATTCGTCAAGTCTGAATTAATGAGTAATTGAATTAATTAAGTAAACGTGTTGTTGACTACATTAATTAATTTTGCTGTTTTGACTGACCACTAAATTCTCAACACCAACAGGAAAAAAACGTAAGAACATTTGTAAGGAGATTTCAGTTCTCTATCAGTGCCTCTTACCAGCCTGCTCTTGTGTTCTCAGGTTTGAAGTGTTGTCTGTTTCCTTAGCTTCAGATTCAGTTTCCCTAACTTCCTCTGTTTTCTCCAAATTATTTTGCGCACTTTCTTCAACTCCTGTGCTATTTTTCCTCTTTACTGAGTCATTACTTTTCAAGAGTTCACTTTCCGGCGATTCCTTCCCTTTGATACAAGTTCCTTCGCCATTATTGGAAGGCTCATCGAAGTTTATTCCTCTTTTCACATCTTTTTTATCAACAGTACTTGAATTGTTTACATTCTTTGCTGGTGTTTTGTGTTCCTCGTCAGAATCTGAACCACTAAATTCTAAATCCTCAAAATCTTCGTCATCATCCTCGCTGTTCTCGTCATTTTTGGTTTCAAATTTGGTGCACTGTAATGATGCTGCTATGGCAGCACGAAGCTGCGAATCTTCAGAGGCATCTACGATTGATTCCTAAAGATACACACAAAAAAATACAAAAAAATAGACAGAAGGTTAAAGGCTTGGTTAAGTCCTATGAACCACGTGGTCCACCCTGTTGGAACCTACCTTAGTTTCTTTGGCATGAAGTTACTAGGAGAATTGCTTTTTCTAAATGGTGGTCTTATGATCAGTGTGCCAGTGAAAAGTGAGGGAAGTCTGGTGAAGTGTTTGAGGTGGGGAAAGCTGCAAAGGACTGTGGGGAATAGCATTTCTACTAGTTACTTCACATAAGGGAGACTAGGACAAGCTCTGACAGTGTTGCTCAAGGGCTGACTTAATCTTTTATCTGAATGGGATGTTAGTCCAATTTCAGAAATTCTCCACTGATATATCAAGTTTCATTAAGAGTTTTCCTTATACCCATCCTTACTCCTGGATGGAGAGACACTCTGAGGGTAAGAACACAACACACCAACCTAACCAAGGCTTTACCAGCTCGCTTAATGCTAAGCATTCATTCATTATCTCAGAGAAAAAAAAAAAAAAAAAAAACACAGAAAACACAAAACAACAATAAAAAACAGAATATGGATTAGCATGTGATTCAACTGAAAAAAAAAACCTTCATCAAGTAAATATCTTTGAATAACACCAAAGTCACTTACACTTCTTCTTTTCTTGGCTGGTGGAGTGTCTCCTTCAAGAGAAGGATGTTGTAAAAGAAATTCTGCCGCTAGAGGATATAATTGATGAAAAATTAAGAGAAAAATAAAAAAGGTTCAAAAAAAAGTATAGAAAAAGTATAAAAAGAGTTCCTTCCAAGAAATTGAGTAATTATTTAAACTTTAGAAACACATACCACATTCACAAAATGCCTGAGCATCCATGTAACCCCATTCTACCAGTTTCTCCCCTGGAAAGGATTAGTTGAATTAGAAAGTAAACTTTAAAATCTTTTTCTTAAACTTGTTAATCATTGATAAGATGATCATCCAACCAAGACATGCCAAATTTTGTCATGTGCATGTGGTTTGAAACCACAGTGAAACACTGGAATGACGTACAGTCCAAGAGTTTCATATAAAAACAAACCCTTGAGTTTAATAAAGCATCAAACTCTAGTGAACTTATTTCTTAATTTGAATATTTATAACACATACTTGAATACTTAAAACAAAGACACCAACATGAACAAACAACCTTTATTAACACACTCTCTCTCACAAGACATTTCCTAAAGAAAACATCATCACATTCACTCACTTATTTAAATTGCCCAAAACATGATAACATGGTTCACACCCTTTCTCAAAATGCAAATCACCATAACAATACAATTTTTCATAACAACAAACTTGCCAGTAACATGTGAAAAATTCATGAATATTTCCATTTTCTTTTATTCCTGAGGCATGATTGAGGAGCTATTTCAAAAACCAGTGTGAGGGTTTCATCAGTTACCAAACACTCGAAAAAAATGAAAGCACTTGGCCTGCAGCCTCATGCTTTCCTCATTTTTCTCGGGTTTGGAAACCCTGATGAAACCCTTGCACTTGTTTTTTAAAATAGTATGTCAAGAATAAATGATAAGTACAAGTTATCACAAACCAAAGTAAAGCTAACCTGTCCTAGGATCAAGAACAGCTAAAAAGGGATATTTTGTCACATGATAGAACTGGATAAAGCGATCTCCCTCATTACTGTCTCTATATACCTAAGGAAAGAATAGATTTTATTGATTAGTGCATTTTTTTTTCACCAAATCAATTACTTAACATAGTTTAAATATCAAAGAATACTGATTTAAAACTCCTTGATACATTTTTCCTTTAAAATTTGGGCAACTGAGGATGTCTCCCTGTAAAGAACAGCTGTCCATTACATATTTATTGCAAAAGAGGTAGACCAAAATGAATGGCCAACATTTAAGAGAATTCACTTACAGATAAAAAATAGGTAAATATAACTGAGATTATGTTACCTGCCAAAGAACAAAGCGCTCCTTGATAATATTTCTCACTGCCTCATTACTCCACACGTCCCTGTTTAACTGCTGACATGAAAATTCTCGCACATCCTGGACATTCACTAACAACCACTTACTATGATGCTGGCCATCAACTTTAGCCTATCATTTATATAACAACAAGAAATGACAACAAGAAAAATGAAAAGGGGAAATGATACCAACATCTTTCATTTTTCCTTTGTAAAAAAGGATTCATTTTCATTATTATGGCAATGGTTGATAAAACCAGGGTTTTTTCAGCCCTTAAACTCCCATGAGTGACCAAGATAGAATTTCTCCTCACAATGTCATTACAATATCAAACAGATAAGTGATGAGAATAAAGAAAAATATAAATTAGGGGATTATGAGTTGATCCAATACCAAATTCTCCAAACTAACATTATAAGAATTTTATGGTAGAGAGTAAGGAGAATTACTCATGGGATCTTCAGAGTGGTGAAGAGTTCACTTAAAAGTGAAAATATATGAAATCACCAAAACCCTGGGTCTAATTTACAGTTGAGGACTTTGTGCCAGGTTTTGGATCAGGACAATTATTCAACTTGCACAGAATCTTTCTGTAATAAAGACTAGTTCTTGGAAAAAAAGAAAAATGAAAACAAGAAAAGATTGAAAAAAAAATGCTGGGCTAACCTGAAAATATTGGAACAAATAAACTTACAGTCTCAAATGTTCCTTTGTGTAGGAGATCAATTGGTGGGCGGAATAAATCATGTAGTGTTTTCTTCTTTCCTGTCATGACAGAGGAAGTGCTAGCACTTTCTTGTTGTCCTACAAGACAATATAAATCCAATATTAGAGTTTGTACAAATAAATAAAAATATTAATCCAATATTTATTTAAGCTATAAAAAATAAATGAAAACACTAATCCAGCATTTGTACCATTACAAAAGCACATCAAGGAAAAGTCTGTTGGGGTTTGGTAGAGAAGGTGAAAAATAAAAAGCAAGCATTCATTCTCTCTAGCTGCTTACTTGCTTCAGCTTGAAAATCTCGGAATGCATCAAACACTGATTTAGCTTGTCGTTTTCTGGTTGGATATGCTGAAAAAAAATTTGAAAAGAAAAATAAATTAATAACTCATTAAATCAGATAAATAAATAAATTTTGCCATATTCTTGCAACCTTCATGCATTATTTAAAAATTCATACCTTGAAATGGTTCTACTAGAATACCATGAGTCTGAGGAATAGGAGCTCGTACATCATCAACATTTCTGATAAAATAATAATAATAATAATAATAACAACGTTAATCATAGTAAAAAATAAAGAAATCTAAATATCTTGAGTTCTAAAAAGGACATTTATAATAACCAAGCATTTACTGCCTGTAATTTTAATTAAATAATAATAACAATAAATAATTTATAAATTTAATAATAATAATAATAAATATAGAACAAATCTAAATATCTTGAGTTTTAAAAAGGACATTTATAATAATCAAGCACTTATTGACTGTAATTCTAATTTCATGACAAAAACTGGTCCACATGTTTTGAAGCACATCAAAAAACTAATTTATTGGTGCAAACAAAATATTTTGTCACAGATAGGTGTTTAATGACATGGGATTTAAAAATAAGACCTCTCGTGATCGATCGTTTTAAAGCAAAATGACTGAACGCACTACTCCAACCAAGTAATTTAGTAACACCAATGTGTCGTTGTATTCAGAACAAAACTTAGCAAAAAGAATTGAGATTATTGGGAAATTTTCATTTTACTGAGTAATCCATAATCTGTGAGGCTGCTAAGCTTGTAAGACATCAATTCTAAAAGTCGATTTGACCGTGGGATAATTTTTTTAAGTTCCAGATAATGTCTTGATGAATTCTCACTAGAAACTGCTATGGTACGTAAAGTTAAGGCATCGGAGACAATGTTTGATAAAAATATTTCAAATCACAACTTACTGATGAGAATTACTTGAAGACCCAGCTGCAAAATTTAATCTGGTCGCGGAAGAACTAGCACCCGAGACTCCTGATTCGGGAACCTCGCACGAATCTAAGTGCATTTCGATCGCCATTTCCAAGTTTCCATTACAAGCTTCCAGCATTGATCTTGCAATCTCTTTAGAGGCTCCTGTAACATTGACAAACTGTTCTATGACACTGGAGGTCACTTTCATTCTAGTCGCCATCTTGAACTGTCCACCGAATGATCAGTCGAGCGCGGGAAACTTGTTCCACTGGGGTCTGGTAAAGTCGGAATTGTCCTCACGTTTCTTTATCTATGGTCAAAATTTTCCCCAGAAAATGATCAACTTAGTAATAGGTAAAACGACTAACCTTTACTTCAGCCTTTAATAACCCTTTTGAAAAGTTTCAAAGTGTTCTAGGGGGTATTTAGAATTTTTAACGTCACAAATTAAGTGTTGTTAAGTATGGCAGACCTTTCCCGACCCCCGCCCGGAAAGAAATTTGTTCTCTGGAGTGTAAAACCGAGGAGGTCTGAGGAGAAAGATTGGCGTCTTTTCACGCTAAGCTGTTTGCAATCAACCTTTGCATTCTTTCTACGAGAAAACGTCTCTGGGAGAGATATTAATTTATCTGAAATTAACCGTGATTGAGCATATATTAGTGGGGAATGTGATCGAATGTATTTATTTCGCTGTCGATCTAAACTTGTGTTTGTTATTAACTTTTTCACGGTTGCCTCGCGGGGAATTTGAAAATATGCCAACCTATGTTTGGTTGTTTGATGATCAGTCAATATTATGGTCAAAAAATTTCGTGCGTTATACTACATGGCTAGAATTTGACACTATCTGACCAAGATCTTCTGTGATTGCCGTGAAATATGGCGGAAGGTATGTTAAACGTAACCGATGTTGAACTTGAGTAGTTTTAGAATATTAAGTCAAAAAGCACTGATACATGTAAATTGGCATCCCAGACACGTACATAGATACAAACTTCAGTTATACAGTAATACAGTCGGCTAATTACTCTTCAAAATGTCTGAAGGAAGTCGTTAAGCTAATTGCTTTTACTTGATCATGAGTGGTATGCTCGTTTTCCTTATAATATTAAGTTTTATTTATTCACAGTCCATAGCAGATTTATATCGATAAAGGACCTTTAGGAAGATTCATAAAGTTTGTTGTTGTTTGTGGTACAATTTTCCTCGAGCTTAAATTAATTTTGGTACTCTGTGTTCCTATAGCTAAAAATTACCGCTACTGCTATGTAAATATTTCCATGAATAAATCACTACTGACTACTCGCGAAATGCCGCACAGGCCTATGCATATCGTCCAGTGGTGTTTTTTTCTTTTTTACGAATACATATTACAATTTGTAGGAATGAATTTTTCGTTTGGAAGGCGACAAGAAAAGATTGACTGGAGGCGACTTGGTGAGAAACAATGAAAAGTGTCTAGATATTTTTTGTTAAAAATGCAAATACTACAATAGTTTGGTGGATAGCTTAATATATGAAGTGTTTGCTGTGATGAATATGTTAATGTTGAGTGTATTTTGGTATTTAAAATATTGTTGTCATTACAAACATGGCGCAAAAAGGTGAATTTTGACCAAACTAATTTTGTAACGTACCGGTAACCTGGTATAATTTCAATATATTTTTACAATGTGTAGACTTATATTATAGTCTGAACAGGTAGAATTGTCCTCTGACCCAATTGTTTTAGTGTAAGCTGTACACTGTAAAGTGTTTTTGTAGCATAAAAATTGTTCTGAATTCTTATTAGTGGATAATCCTGAAATTTTTTTTTTTCAGCGTCTGTGGATGTTGATAGGATTCTGAGGGAGATGGATGTCAAAACATTACAGGATAACATAATGCATGTCACATTCAGCAATATTGAGGCAGAGCTGGTGAGTGTATTCAGTAGCAGAAAATTCATAATGCAACCTAATTTAAATTTCTTTAGGACTCTAGAGAATATGGAGTCAGTTTAATGTATGTTTAGGTGGCAAAATGGCCATAACCATTGGTGATTGCTTGAGTTGACTGTTTTGTCTATGTATTGTACTAAATATTTCCCCATCTAGCTCCCTTACTCATCCAAGAAGCACAAAATTTTTCTCAAAAATTGATTTGATAGGGTTTTTTTTTCACTCTTTATATCTCATAGGGAATGCAGGCTATTGGTTTTGATCCAAATTACATCAAGTTGTTTCGACTGGCACAGCTTATTATTGAGTACCTTTTGGTGAGTTACATCACAAACTAAGTTTCTTGTTATTAGCTTTCATTTGCTTCATTTGATTCCCTTCCCAGTGTATTGGTAACAAAGACTTAAAATTCCAATTTATTTTCATGTTAGCATTCTCAGCAGTTTCTTTCGGCAAATCTTGAGGCAGAGAACAAGACACTCCAGGAATCTTTGGAGGTAACTTAATTACTCTTACAAGTGCAACGTTATAGGCTGGTAACATTGAACTAAATTCACACTACATAACTACTAGCTAACTTAAACAGTATACAGGATTCATAATTTGTTCTTGGTAGCTAGTTTAATCTGGAATGTTTTAATCAAGCTCTGAGCAAGATAGCTCTATTTGTTCAGCCTTTGCAATAAGTAGGAAACACAGATATTCATACCTTTATCCAATGATTTATTTTTCGAGTCAAAACTTTAATTGTAACACCTTAAATTTAATTTTTTTTACTCAAATTATGACTTAAGGATAGGTTAACCCTCTGAACTCTTAGAGTGACTAGCACCTAATTTCTCCTTACAATATGACCCTTGAATCACACATTTAAGTCACAAGAATAGAGGAAATGATCACCAGCTGAAAAAGCTGTTAATTGTTTATCAAACACTCCTTTTTAGCATCAGAAATTAACAGAGAACAGTAACAAAACCCCCTAATGACATCAATATATTTTCAAAAAGAAAAAAAGAAAACTATCAACTGAAGCATTATGTTTCATTTTAATTAACACCAAATTATCAGAACTAAAATAAGATGAATTTTATGACAGAGAGTATTGAGAATTGATTTTTGGATCTTGGGAGTGAAAGGATGAAATCAAACCATTGTAAGATCCTAATTTTCAAGAGAGTGTTCTGTGATAATTTTGAGCATTTTTTTCCAATATAGACAACAGAAAGAGTAAAGAAAGAACTAGATGAGAAGAAAGAAGCTTATAAAAAGCTCAAGAAAGAATGCCAGAAACAAAAGCAGTGGATTGCAGAATACCAACTTCTGATCAGGGCTGGAGCAAGTGGTTCTCACAAGGTACAGAAAAAGAAGATGAAGCTTTGATGAAATTTCCCTCATACAAAACTTGCCATGTCTTGTATCCCTTTATAGGTTTTCTTCTACTTTACCATGAAAGTTAATGAAGTGGGCAACGTGGATAATAAGTGGGTCTTTAGTAATTGACACGTGTCATTGCTTTTTTTGTAGTGCCCATATTGTGCTAAGTCATTTGTCAGCCATGAGTATGTCATAGCTCACCTCAGTAGACGGCATGGTGAACACACAAGCCAAGTCAATGGGATGGTGATCTCAACGGTGCCACCTGTCAAATCTGTTGGTGCTGTAACCATGGAAACAAAACCTGGCATGACTGAAAAGGAGAAAAATGATTTAGAGGAAGAATTGCAAATGATCAAATTACGGTTGCAAAAGACAGAACGTGAACTGCAAGAGGAAAAGAAATTAACACAGTCACAGGTAGGTGTAAAATGCCATAGCAACTGGGTATCCTGTGCTTTGTTTCCATGAAGCTATGTCAGTGAGCATTGTGTTTTTTGTTGATCTTGAATTTTGAAATGGAAATTGTTGAGCTGAGTTTTCTTGCAGTATTGTTGTGATTAGTGCATTCACCAGGTTAAATTTGCTTTGTTTTTGTGTTTGTTTGTTTTTTTTTTTTACCAGAGAGATAAACTGACAACAGAAAATCACAATATGGATGAACTGAGAGCAATGTTTGATCAATGGAAAGCTGGAGAGAAGGCTGAACAACAGGTCTGATATTTCCTGTAACCTTGAACTCCTGAGATTTTATTCACAAGTTTCCCCTCCAGTTACTTTACATTTCCTGGTTAATTTTCTTTTGAGAATTCGATCAAATTGACGACACCCTTTAGTTGATAAAGTTCTCAATTCTCATCACCTGCTGGCCGGTTGACTTATTTAAAATGTGAGGAGAGGTTCTATTTTTATCACTTGAGTTACAAAGGCGCAACATTTTTGAATAATTTATTTGATGCGGTTTGTTTTTTCCTGGTTGATTGGACTAATTTTTCATCTCAGCTGTAATCTTCTTACTGAAAGGAAACTATTTTTCACATACATGTTGTACAACATCTACCTCATCTCTTCTGTCTTGGCAGGGGAGGGGATGGTTCTGAGTGGGAGGGGAGGGGAGGGAAGTGTAGAGAAGAATGGTGGAGGTACTTGGTCAGTAACTAATGATAACAGTTATATATACATTTTTGAATTTATTTAATTACAAAAGAAAAAAAAATTAGAAAAAAAATACAGAGTTACATAAGAGACACTACTTACGTCACAATAGTTGTGCTAATTACAGTGATACTTTGTGATAATAGTTATAACTACTAAAGCATAGTTCTATTGCAGCGTGAAATAGCTGAATTAAAAAGGACTTTTGTGCAGGATATGAACAGCATGAGGGAGGAGAGGGATATGTTTTCAGATGTGAGTCACTAATTGCATGTTCATGTTCATGTGCTGGGCAAATTAGATGAAAAATATGAACTCAAAATTAATACTCTGCTCTAGAATTTTAGTTTTTGTGATAACTACATTTTATTGATTGGTTTTAATTTGACCTGTGTTTTTCTTCTGTTTTACATTATACAGAGAGTGACGGCATTACAAGAACAGCTGAATAGCGGTGAGTAGAGGGAAAGTTATTTTTAACTTTTGTGGGAAGCTGTATGATTTTGTTTCTCTATTAGGATAATGTGGAATCTAAACTTGTTTGCAATTATCGTGTGAGATAACAACTGACTCGGACCAGAACGAAGTGTTCAATTTGTTGATCCCAAATATTATTACAGACAGAAAATTGGATAGCACTAAGTCCTCTAACAAATGATTTGAAATATCCATTGACAAACACAAACATAATAGTTAGTGTTTTATGACTTTTATTTACAAATTTAAAACATATTGGTTGACTTTTTTCCAGGAAAAAATTAACCTATCAGTCTATTTGACAGCTTGCGCAAATTACAATTACCCTCCTATTACACAGGCATAATGCATTGCATGTTCTATTCCACTGTTCAGTTTCAAGCATGTTGTGTACACTGTCTTATCATTGTTGTTATTTAATCCAATTTGGGTATTTTCTTGTAAATTTGAATATTTTATCTATTTGGACCTTACTAAAGCAATGATCTTGTAAATTCTTCTGTGCAGAAAAGAAGACATCAATGATTGGATCAATAATAGTAAGTTTTCCATTCTTTACCTAATGAAGGAGTTGGCAATTAAGCCTTTCACTCCCAAGATCTGATTAGTAATTCTCCTTACTATCTGCCATACAATTCTTATGATGTTAGTTAGAGAATTTGGTATTAGATCAACTAATAATCCCATGATCGATATTCTTCTCTATTCCCATCACCTGCCTGCTTGATATTGTATTGATTTTGTAAGGAGAAATTCTGTCTTGGTCACTTGTGGGAATGAAAGGGTTAAGCCAATTAAGCTGTAGTCAAATGACGTCATTGTGCAAATAAACTGTTTAACCTTTGACCCTGGGAGTGACTAGCAACCATGAATCAAACATCAAGATCATGAGAATAAGGGAAATGATCACCAACTGAAGAGGCTCTTGATTGTTAGACAAATTCTCCTTGTTAGCACGTTAAGAAATGTAAAGAGAACAGTATGGAGAATATACATACTGATGTTATTGTGTTCAGGGTTAATCTGTTCACATGATGCTAACAAATCTGGTTGTCTCTATCATAAAAGGATCCCCCCCCCCCAGCCTCACTTCTGGCAGCTAAGCACATCATTGAAAACTGAATTATTTTTGACTTTGATAAGGCATTGCTTCTTTAGTACAGTCACTGCCTTCATGGTATTTCATTCACCTGTACAATTCCTCCTCATAATCAGCATGCCTTCTATTTTTTTTTCCTCTTCCTCTACAGAAAAAAAGTAATATATTTCTACAGATTTCACTTCGGATCCATATTTACCAGCCTCACTTCTGGCAGCTAAGCACATCATTGAAAACTGAATTATTTTCAACTTTGATAAGGCATTGCTTCTTTAGTACAGTCACTGCCTTCATGGTATTTCATTCACCTGTACAATTCCTTCTCATAATCAGCATGCCTTCTATTTTTTTTTCCTCTTCCTCTACAGAAAAATAGTAATATATTTCTACAGATTTCATTTTGGATCCATATTTACCAGCTTATGTGCATTTTTTCCTGTATAAGGATGAAGATGAAACTGATTCTCCAGCAAAGGCTAACAGAAGTGAAATGTCACAACAGTTTATGGCACAATTGGAGGATAAGGTCAGTGTAAGGTTTGTTATTTTTGGCTGGAATGATTGTGAGTTTTGACTTATGATTGGCTTGCTGGACCCTAGATTGGGAGGTCTGTGAGCAAGTTTAACCTGGGTGTACTGTGTTCACAGTGTTCTGTGAGGAAACACTTGACTTCCACGGTTCCCCTCTTCACCTACAATCATTATCATCAGAGAAGTGCTGGAGTGTGGATTTTTATCAATAAATATCCCTTTTGGGGTATGAGCCACACACCCAGTGGTTCCTTCAAAATCTGGGACAAGCTCTGGTGGGTTGGGCCACAGGATCCTTAACCAGGATTTACTCAAGATTAACTCACTGGAAATATTCAAATCTAACTTGTATACTGTGACACCATTTTTGGAATTTCCCTTTCAGGTTATCCAGATGCAGACAGAAACACAACAGAATTTGCAGAAAGAAATGCAAAAAATGCATCAGAAATTTAAGGCCCGGAAGATAAATCCAAGAAAGAACACAGGGAGGAAATGGGACAGGTAATATAAGACTGGGCATGGCTGCCATCTTTTGCCTTTGATATGGCAGCTTAAAGGTGTTTGTTTGGTTGTGGTTCCTGTGTTGTATATCGAATCAAGACTTGTGATGCCTTGCTACACTTCCCCTGGTTAGAAGAATGTGGTGGGAAGGGGGGAGGGGAGGGGGGAGTAGTTCACCCTTGCAGAAAGAGTAAAAGGGATCTGGTAAACTGTGAAGACAACATGGCAACAGTGTTTGACAAACCAGTAAATTGAAACAAAATTTCAATACTGCAATGTTTATTATGACGTTTCAACATGTCTACCTGTACCTTTAGTTTCAGGAAATGATGGGCCAGTATGAAGAAAATCTACAGAATGAAAGAATAGAGAAGAAACGGATGTCAGAAGACTATGAAAGCAAAATAGGGGGATTACAAAGGGTGAGAAACTTACTTGGCTGGTTCATGTATATAGCTTCTCATTTGGAAATATGATCTGACTTTTTTAAGGTTGCAGTTTTCAAGTTGTTTATTTTCAGCCTCTTTTAATCTTGTCCATCTTCAGCTATCCCTGTTCCTTTTCGGTTGTAACTTTCCCTTTTTGGTTTGTTTGTTTGTTTGTTTGTTTGTTTTGTTTGTTTGTTTGTTTTGTTTGTTTTTTTATCTTAGCAAACCAATATTTTTTAGGGGTAAAGTTTCTAAAGAAACAGTTGTTCTGGGATGGTGGGAGATTATAACAAGATAATTTGTTTTATCAACTGAGTTGGTAATGTTAAAAAGAGTCAAAGAGTTTGTAAGCTGACGTTTCAAGTGTTGACCCTTTGTCAGAACAAATGATGAAGGGAAAACGCTCCATTATCATATTTTATAGTCTCCCTTTGAGTTGAAGATAGTTTTGCATGCCACAAAGAATGACACAAAATATTGTCAGTAAGAAATCTCCCTTAACCTTCTAACCCCCAGGATCTAATTTGCAGATTTTTTCCTCTCTCTTATTATGGCTGTACATTTTATTAAGAATAGTTCAGATAATTTTGATTTTATCAGGCTGTTACCCTGTTGCTGATAAGCTTATAATCCTCATCACTGGTTTGTTAGGCAATGTCTTGATAACACATGGAGAAGATCCATGATAATCAATTCTAATTGTTAAATGAGATGGACAGTGCATCCGTCCGTGATAAATTGGTGACTGTGCGTGGTAGAATTTATTAGTGATAATCTTTGAAAATGTTTTAAAAACATATTTTCCAGCAAGTTCGAGAGCTAAGAAATGCACTGGATGCGCAAAAGGTGAGCTGTTTAGGACTAATGTAAACAAACATTAAAACAAATATTCTCAATTAGTTTAAAATGACAACTGACAGGAGGCAGAAGAGTTCGCTGTTCACAGCACGCAGCTAAGGAACTTGAACTTGCGGCAATTGGGAACAAATCCAATGACACACAGGGTGGAAGATTTGAATTCGAGACGCCCGAATCACTCATCCAAACTACCTACGTTATTTTTGCAACAAGTTTCTCCAACATAAAGGGGGACTCTTTAAGCTACCTTTGTTTTAAAATGCAGAATTATTATAATTAAATTTTGTTTTATATTTTCTCACTTCAGGTGGAGACAGAGAAAGTCCAGTATTCTTTCAAAACCCAACCGCCACCATTACTTGGTACGTTCCTACGTTTTTATCCAGTCAAACAAACTCAAAAATTGTATTAATTATTTTGTTATCCAGAATACTGTTTGATTTGTAAACTGGTCGGTGCAGTGGTTTACGTCACAGGCCAGTGTTTCTCCGTGAGCATAGCAAGCTAATATGTGAATTCTGATACTTTTTCATCCACAGCTTCTACTCCTCCTGTGCCCGCTCCAAGACACATCGAGAAACCTGTGCAAGGTTCGTTATTTTGGTTCTACAGAGAATAATGAAAGATGGCACCCCCTAGTAAGGCTTTCAGGGGGGAGGTAGGGGGGACTCCTTTCCCTTGCATATAATGTCCCGAAGAGAGAGGTTTCACCCGAAAGTTGTAAATTTCGTATTTCTGCTCATCTAGCTAGTTGGGCTTGGGTTCAAACCCTCACCTCCCGATTTGGAGTTCAGAGCGTCTGATATTTTGACTGTCTGTTATTGTGTTATTTCAACAGCTGAACCACCCGAAAGAGAGCGTGCCACTTCTCCCGACAAAAGTATTAAGACAGGTACTGAACAGTATTTGAGCGTTTGGTCATCCTTGCATAATCGAAAGTTTTTCAAAATCACAAAATTATGGTATCATACATTGTGGCTTCGTGTGGCAGGATATTAGTTTTTCCTTTGGAAGCTTTATCAGCTTTCCTTTGGGAACTGTTAACGTTTGGTAAATCGTAAGACTTGAAATAAGATTATCTTTTAGTGAAAGAGTTCATCGGTAGAAATCTCGGTTTGAGTCTTTGGTCCAGCCAGCCCTGCCGAACACGGAAAAAAGTGTTTCTTATAGATAAATGCTCCACCAATCGTGTTTTCTTGCTTGTTATAGTGTAGCAGTTAAGATAAACTGATCTTTCAATTTCTGCCGCAACGTTTGCCTAGAATTTTTCGACACTGACTCTTCGTAATCCGTGAGATAAAAATATAAAGAGACTTACATATTTTTGTGTTACTAATTCTTTAGGAGCAGAATCAATCACGCTCTACGTGGCGACTAACCAAAAAAAGAGCGGCCAATATCGCTTATGGCGCCAAACAGCCGACGGATCTAACGAATGGTCCAACAAGTACGCTCTTTCCGCCTTTATAAAACCCACAGGAAATTTCACTTACCCGATGTACGTGTTTGCCGCAGGGGGGTCCCCTCACTGGCGGCAGTATGTATCGGATAAATCGTCACCTCCCAGCCCGGAGTATCGCCTGGATTACATGTTCTATTGTTCTCAGACATTCCTCCCTGGTACTCTGCAGTATCATGTGTTGGAGGCCGGAAGTATCCCCGTGATAAGATCGTATGTGTCTCGGACCAACAGTGTCCCGGGATGGAGACATAACGGATTGTCATTTTATGCTCCAAAATCAACTCTGGTCAGTGACAAAACGCGTGAGTATTGGGAACTACTGAAACATGGTTAAATGGAAGCAGCTCGAGGTAATTAGGCGCCACTCTAGCGACAAATCGAATGCAAAAGTAGAACCAATTGCGTCTTAGGCACTTCGGGTAGTCTGGACATTTCTTTTACTTCGAGTGTACTCAATAGTACGCTTTTCGATGGAGCGTCTGGAAAGCAAAACAAAGGTTTTCACATCGGCTAATCAAAAGGTAGGAAACGATTAAAGAGCCACCACTGTCAGAATTACATCGGCCAATTAGAACAAAGGAAAATATCGCAAGGAGCCAATAAGAATTCAGACCAGAAACAGATGAGCGGTCCAAGGGCGGGAAAACGCGGTTGACCAAGTCGTAGTAGAGTCAAGTTCAATTTGATTCGTTAATTTAACGATATTTTTATGCATATCTCAAGGGTATGTAGATTCATGTATTCCAAGATGTCAATCAGAAAAAAGAAAACATCTTAATTTCTGCTTGATTTACTTGTAAACAGCAACTGCAATGAGCATGTTAAAAAATGGGTTCCCTCTATTTTCAGTGACAAGTATTTCTGCATCGTTTGAATCTACTTTGACGGAGGACAAAGAGCAAGGTTTGTTTTTTCTCTATCCCTTAAATATATTCATGGAAGTCAAACGAGGGAGCTAGTGGAGGAAAAGTTCCTTTGCAACGAGTTTCAATCGTCTTTTATCGTCAAGTCAAGTACGAGTTGAAGAGCTTTTCATTTCACCATGAAACCGTGAGAGATGCGAAAGTTACGAGGAAGGGAATTTACAAGGGCATTAAACTTTTGGAATGGAATATCGCTAATATAAGTTGTATTTTCGTTCTCTCTGCATGTGTTTCAGCCTCCTTTTTCAAACAAGGGCTGAATTACCTCTGGTGTGATTTAACCTTGATTTTCCTCAGTTCTTTATCTTTGCTTTGTTGTTTTATGCAATGACTAATTTCTTCCATTCTCCGGGGTTGACATACTACACCGTCATCCCTACTTGAACCTGAATTGTTTACTGTCTATTGCAGACTTTGAACCCAGTGAATCTGAATCGGAAGAAGAGTCTCCAGCCCCTGTAATACCAAAAGTGTAAGTATGAATAATCTAGACTTTAAAACCTGTGAAAGTTATGAACCACCACGCACTGTGTAGTAAACAGTGCACATGAATGTATTGTTCAGTAGCTTTTATATGAAGCGTCACAGTCTTGCTTTCATCTGCTGACCCAAAAGTTAGAGCCAACCAGCAATTTCATCCACTGCATTTTTTAATTTGAACTTGTAAACTCTACGATAAATTCACCTTCAAGATTAGCTTAGAGAGTTGTTCTCAATAAAATTTATGCCTTTATTTTTCCAAGTGAAGTTGAAGATGTTGATGCAAATGACAGCACGGGAAGTTATGATGACGTCAGAGAGATCACTTCGTAAGTTTCCTGCTCTGGCTTTTTAGTACTTTTGTTAGCTCGTCATTTGAAGTGTGGTGCGTGTCCGTGCTGGAATCCCGCGCTTTTTGACCGAGTGTCGTAAAACCAAAACCAAAGTAACCACAACGGCAAATCAGAAGAAGGGAAAATACTTTAGGAGCCAATGGAAACTCACAGTAGAACCGACCGAACTTCCTAAAGCGCGGGAAATCACGGGCGACACAGACGACCGTTGGTGTTAGTTTTGCATCTGATTGGTCGAAAGAGTGGCGTGAGTTTTCTGGATCAATCACTGAGCGAAGGAAAGCAAAAGTAATGCAGTCTCTGATCATTTTGACACTCAATTACAAATTGCTCTCTTTCGTTTTCTTGTTCGCATCTTTAAGAAACGCAGAAAAGGCTAATGATTTAACCGATCACAGTGAGGGTTTTTGTTCTGCATCAAATCAGTTTCAAATTTCGTCCTGCACAAAATGCTACCAGCAGTTTGAAATACACTTCCCCTTCTTGTGTAATGCCTTTTATGTATTAATCTCCTCTTTTATGTGTAAGTGACACATACACCGATTCCATTGTACTTTCAACAGTAGTGGAAGCTATGAAATGGCCCTACAATTTTTTCTGTACGTTCCATCAACTTTTGAGTGTCTTCAGTAAGTATCTTTGTTAACGAAAGCCAAATGTTGACAAACATCTTTTTTTCCTCAGAGGCCTTTCCAGCTCTGAGTGGGTAAGTTTTTTTTTTTTTTTTTGTGCAGCCTCCTTTGTTTATTGAATTTGAAACTTAGTAGGACTGATTCTTATAACAGAGTAACATAAACATTTATTTTGTTTGTTTGTTTGTTTGTGTGTGTACTTTTTTTATAGGGTACTACCACTTTAGAAACAGGCGAGTTCCATCCAATTCCTCATAATCGGCTTATAACAAGTAAGAAGTTCTTGTATTCTTTCGGTCAGCGGTGCACTAACTATGCAAATATCACGTAATTCACATAAATTAAACGTTATTTAACTTGCTTCTACATTTTCATAATTAAGTCGATTGCTATTTGTTATTTTCCAAATTCGTCTCAACCAATCAACATAGAGGTGGCTTTGCAGTTTTTACAGTTTTAAAGCCAACAGGAAAATAATCAGAAATTTGAATAAACAGTGTTTTTGTGGTAAGTGCAATTGGTTGACTTCTGACATGTCGACAGTCATTTTTTGTATTTTTCTTACTTTTCCAGCTCGATTTAATCACAAATTCGATGAAGTACAGGCGTGCAGACAAGAAATTTCTCAGATATTGGACCAAAAACTTTCTAAGCAAGGCCTGTCTTCGGTAAGTAAAATTTGTTTTAGTGTTCAAGTCTTCGACATTGCAAACGAAATTGAGGATTGCTTTTATATTGGGCGAAGGACTGATTTTAAAAACATGTGTTTGTTTCTTATTAAAGGAAAATCCAAGACTGTCTTCACAGAAAATGGAAGCCAAGATGGCGGCACTGAGAACAGAGAGGCAAGCTAGGAGTAAGGTGAGTAGCATTTGTTACAGTGTAGACCATTAATTTTTGTTTTCTTCAAGGCCTTGTTTTCTCTCCCTAAGTTTTCCACAGATTTCATGTTGTGTCCATTATCTTTCTTCCAGAAAATTAAGAACTTCGCCGCAGTTAGACAAAGGTAAGGGAAAACTTTTCGCCCTTTTTGTTGTTATAGTGTTTAATGGAGACCCCATGCAAGCTGCTAAATTGAATCGTCTTGTGTACGTGTTGCGGGCCTAGTTTTCACACTTTGATTTCTTTAGGTGTGTGGAAGAGTTGGAAGAAATCGTAAAGAAGACCTACCGCAGTGGAACTTCCACAGGGAAACCAGGCTCATCAGGTTTGAGTGAAATTTTTAACTCGTTATGACTTCCACAATAAACCAACAGAACCCCCAACAATGCTGGGTAATATTTGGCAGGACATAAATAGTCTCGTGTAATTTTCGTTGTAGTTCCCGCGGGTCCAGGTCCCGATTACCGTTCCCACAAGGATAAACCTCCAACATTCAAGTCCACTGCAACTGCCGTCCGTACTTCCACTTCACTGCAGCAAGGCCGGAAGTCGCCAGCTATGAGAGGAACCTTGGTATCTACTGGGTAAGATTTGAGCGAGCACAGCTGGTGACGCCCTTAACGATGCGTCTGTTGCCTTGGTTCCTCTGATGGACAGCTACTCTTTAAAAAATTCCTGTCAGAATTAGAATTGCTTCTTTCTGTTTTTGCCAGATCAACCAGCGGAGGTGACATGACAGTTAGCGTTACTTCCGTCACGGACCGCTCTTTCTCTGGCACTTCCGTCGTGACAGAGCGGACACTGAGCGAGTCTGAAGAGGAAGTGAGCGTGACTGAAGGATCACAAGAGGAAGAAGAGGAAGATCAAGAAGAAGACGACGAAGAGGAGTCCAATTGGGACTCAGAGGAGTGAGTACAACAAGAACTTGACCGCAACGTAGCTTGTTCGTTTTACTCCTGAATGCCCAAATTTTAACGTTTCTTCCTTCATAAAAACAGCTCACCTTAAGTTGACTCACGTCTTATTTCCCTAATTTACAATTCACTTTAGAAACGATTCGTTCAGAGGAAGGGAAGGAGCTGGAACAATTCCAAAGATTTTTTGTCGAAATGTGGTGTTAGGCTTCCAAGTAATGATGCATGCTATTGTTGACTTATTGGCGATTTTTGTTTTTTCATTGTTTGCGTTCGTTATAGAGAAGCCGTTAAACCACCCACTCAGCCGACACACAAAGTGGCAGTCCACATTCCCTCGCAACAGGACGAAGAATCGGATTCAGATATTGAAGAGGTACGCCAGGTATTGAAAAAATTAGCGAGTGCAGTGGTGGTGTAGGTTACAACTTGTACTGTAATGTGTAAGGGGCTAGATGGATGGTAAAAAGACTTGGAGAGGACGACAACGTGTAACGGTGGAGATGCGTGAGAGGTGAGCAAAGGAAGACGCGCGTTGAAGACGATACGTAGGTGAGAGGACGCATGTAGAATACACGCGAGGGACAGACCTGCGAGTTTGAGGACGAGGCGATAAGTGTGGGAAGCACGCGTGTGAGTTCTGAGTGCGTGAGGGAATATGGGGGTTGAACACGCCCTAGAAAAAATGACGATTAGGGCGGAAATTATTTATGCGGTAATGCATTCCAGCCTAATCTGGTATCTGTTGTTATGGCTGCAGCCTAACCTGCTAATTATCTTATGCTCCATCATATATTTTAAAAATATTTATGCTATGATACATCTCAGCTTCACGTGGCGTCTGTTTACATGGCTGCAGGCTAACCTGCTAATTCTTTTGTGCTTCATAATATAGTTAGCTCCGGTTAAAACCATTCCTAGGGCTGCTCCGCGCGGTGAAAAGGTGAGTTTTATTCTTTCAAGCTTACTGTTCATTCCGTTTGACGGTGTTGTTTACAGGGATGTTTGAATGATGACCCGAGATCTTCCAGGTGCCAAAGTCCTTGTCCCCTTAGGGTCATTGATCGCACAAGCTTCACCGCCATGTGAAGTCGCCAACTCAAGTTAACGGCCTTTTGTACCACTTAGTGCGAAGGAGACAGCTGAGGGCAAAGGGCTCCACTTCTTGCCGAGATCAGTGTGTTTTTCCCAGGTCAATAACCCCTTTATCCTCACAGTACTTCAAACCAATCTTCATTGTTTTTGTCTTTTTTAAGGTTCGTGAATTGACCGAAACTCTTGAGCGTAGCTTGAACTTCGGATCTGCTGTTAAGAAACCCGCTGGCGGAGTCTCTCTTCACTTCCAGGGGAATGGTAACGATAACAGTGAGCCTCCGCGCGCCACAGCTCAGCAGTCATCGGGACGAAAGGTAAAGAGCATGCACTCGTGGGAAAACTCTCCCTTCATGCTTCATAGCACGAATGTTGTCGTCCTGTTGATGAGAATTTCTTGTTAAGTTGTGAATTTGATGTCTTTTTTTGTAATGTATCTCGTAGAATGACGATGATTTCGACAGCGATTTATCTATATCCTCTTTGGAAGAAAAGACACCCGGTAGAGGGTAAGAATTTTATAACCTTTCCTCAGTACCAATTGATTAATTTACCATGCTTCACTTTGTCAGGGGGGGGGGGGAGGGGAGGGTTAATTTCATGCGAGGCGCGAGCGAGAGAAAAATCTTCATGGGTGTCGTTTTTCTTTGTGCGCGCTCCTAAAGCGTCATGCAATACTCTTACTCCAATGCTTGCCACGCACCTTAGCTATCATTTGTTTTTAATTAACAGGACATTTGATTCTGGAAGGAGGAATCTGCAGCCTCCAGGTGAGTTGATGCCTTTTTTTTTTAACCCTTTCTGGCCTAAGGTTTCACCTCTGTTCTGTAGAATGAACTGCTAACCGTTATGTCTTGTTATGATTTCTTCAGGGCCAAGTTGTTAAAAAATAAGGATTAGGCTAACCTGAGTTTAGTAGAGAGGGTCGAGATAGTTTTACGGATTTTCAGAGGAGTTTAACAACGTAAGGTATAACTCCACGAGAAGTTTGACTTCATGTAAGTTTTAGGAGATAGACTACAACGTCAGCCTTTAAATCCTGGACCAGCGCTGAACGCTTAAGAGTGGTGCCGCTTAGTCAGCCCCTTTCGCCACCAAAATGCTTAGGAGAGACTGCAAGAGGTTTGCTTTGTTTGCAGGTGGGTCCCAATCCACTGGCCGACAAAGTCCTGTGTTGGAGTTCAGAAGACCTCAGCCCCAGTCCACACGCATACAGGCATTTACGCATGACGACTTCTCCGATATAGAAGACGACTGAAGCGCGCTCGATAAGTCGTGCGAAATATTGAGTGTAAATTATGTGACGGTAAAGCTCATAACCTATGACGAAACCATGAGAGACTTGAGATATGATGATCGTGAACTAATATAAAAACAGTTTTCTACAGAAAAAATCTAACCAAGTATTTATCTTTCTCCAGAAAATAATTTTGTATCGAAGCCTTTCCTGAAAAGTATAAAAAAGTTGCATTTGGGTTACAGAGGAATTTTTTACATTTGTTGGGTATAATAAAGTTCTCCTGGACTGTTTAAATTGAATTGGCCAAACCAAGAAGCTTTCTCTTTGATTGGATGGTTGTCTCACACTCCCATGACGTCACTCCAGAGAGAATAGTTGTCAATTGTTATGAGCCAATCAGATGATTACACGTGACTAATAAGTTGTTCAGTTGACTGCGTTTCTGGGTAGATCAGAAGAGAGACCCTGGCGACAGGGGTTTTCTTAGCAACTGTCAAGAAAATTTGAAAGGGTGTGGGAGGTGTGTTTTTTTTTGGTCACACCCTGTTCCCTTTTCAATGTATTTTGTATGATTGTGGTGATTAGCGTCTAGAGTGCCATTAAAATATATTTTACCATCTCTGATCTTGTGCTGCCATACTTCATGCAGCTGTCTCGAGAAGAACATACCAGCTTTCTCAATCTCGTTCCCCGAGTCTCCGTAACCCTTTATCAGCGGCACGGGCGCATAAAGATCTCTCTTTCCTAACCACTGATCAAGGCAACGAGGACTCTGTGAACGAGATTGAGAACGTCTAAACCTGGTATGAGAGTGATCGTCCTCCAGATGTGGAGCCTGGATCGCTGATTTCCCAACCTTAACCATGATCAAGGAAAGACACCACAAAAAGTTCATTTCCTGTAATTTCATTCTAAAATACCCGAAACTGTTGATTTTTACAGCTATAAATACACGCACAAGATGATTTTTTCCGCACAAGGTGAGGTTATTACAGATATGCTCGACGAAATTTCACCTCTTCGCTTGACTGTGGTCGTTGCTCAAAAACGTATTGACTAACGACGAAAGAAAATGTCGGTGAAAAATAAAAGTCTGTTTCACATCGATTATTACCGGCGTTAAGTGTAATTTTAAATTTGGTGACGTTATCGTCAGTTGCTGAGCAACGGTCAAGATTTTTAAAAGTTTGTCGCTTTGGACCAGTTGAGGCTACCATAAGGATAAAAATGTTTCAAAAATACAGCCCGCTATTCTGGTTTCCAGTCTCCACTTCCAGGCCACACAAAGGTAATAACACTTCTCCTTCAATGTGAAAATCGTAGGAATATCCACATGTTAAATTTAATCATAAAACGAATACAACTATTTCTGTAGAGAATTTCAAAACCTTTCTATACAAATTGGATATGAACCTTAAATGCGAAAAGTTGCGCTAAAGTCAGTTCAATATCATCTTAGAAGGACTGCAAAGAAAATGACATTTCATCTGCGCAACCTCAACTTTGGCAGATCACACCAAAGTAGCTGTTTCACTCAGTAATTTCTTAGTCACCATTCACATCGGAGCGAGTTGAATATATCCTAAGAGTGTTATAATTATTACAATTGTGTACAGTTATAATAATTATAATTGCCATAAATAGTAAATCTTCCGCTTTGAAACTTTTTCCTTCGGTTTCCAGTTCAACATGGATTCCACAGTCGCCATAAAGATAGAACTAGTAATTGAACCCACGAAACGCCAGGATGTTGTTCTAGTTGAAATGAAATTTGAACTGAAAACCTTCTCCAAAGCCCCCACCGAAAGGAAATCCGCCTTGTTGCCAATGATGATGACCGCCACCTTGCTGTTCTGGGTCTAACGGGTCTTCACCATTGTCGTATTTTGCACGTTTTTCTATTTGAAAATGAAGATAAAAAATTGTGAATTCAATTTACCTTCACCTCCCTTTCGTTCCCAGTCAGCGACCTTTGTGACCCCACCCTTTGACTCACCCACACTGATACAACTAAATGAACTAAAAAATTAAGGGGGAGGGTAGGGGTAGAGGTCGTTATTAGCAAAGTTTTAAGACCACACTGTTTTCAGTCTTTCCGTCATCAGTTTTCATCGCAGGGTGGCGACATTATTCATAGCAACATTTCAGACAGCAACATTCGAGGTGGGTACAATCAGGCATGAAAACAACAAAAAAACGAGCAAAAAAAAAAGAACGGACGAACTAACCACCGGAAGAACGAGAACACGACCGATCACAAACGAACAAAGACGGATCGACGACTGTACGAAGAAACGAAAAAGAGAACACTGAACCAAATGAACAAACAAACGAATATAGTCATGCTGTGAAAACGAACAAACCAAATAACAACCAAACGACCGACCAAACCGAAGATAGAACGATCAACCGACCAACTGACCGAACAAACAAACTACAGACCGACCGTAAAAACGAACGAACAGACCGACCGTACGGACAAACGACGGACCGACCGAGCGATCGTTCCGACCGACCATACAAACGACGGAGCCGACCGAATGAATAACAGACGAACCTTTCAAACGAACGGAGGAAAGAACAGACAGTAAAAACGAGGCTATTTAGCTTACCAGGATCTGTGAGGACTTCTTTCGCTGCAGCGACATCGATGAACATTTTCTCAGCTTTTTTCTTGTCGTCTCCTTTGTATTGATCAGGATGCCACTTGACGGCCAGTTTACGATATGATTTCAAGATTTCTTTCTTCGATGCCGTTCTGAAACCATACAGAACAGAAAAAGATTCACCAGATGCGTTAATTGTTTTTATTACTAGTTCTGAATCGGGCATTCTACCAACTATGTACATAAGAATAGACTTCACCTTTTCAATCCTAGGATCTTGTAATAGTCCCGTTTCTTGGATTGTTTAAGTAATTTCTGTGCTCTGTCCAGTCCCTCTTGAACCTATACTCGGTTTAAATAAAAATAAAAAAACAACAACAACAACAATAAACGAATGAAAACAAATATGTCGTATTGATTTGTACCATAATCTTGTTCCAATCATTAAGAGATTCTTACTGAGCAAAACAGCTTCCAGCTACGTTTATACGTAAAGCGGTTCTCTAGTTTAGACGTACTGTATGACATTTTGAAAAACAACTGCTGCAAGTTCCCAGGCGAAACCACTGCTAGGCGACTCTTGAAATAAAATCCTTCTGTTTGGGCCAGAACCTAGGTTAATCGCACTTCAACAAGCTAGAAACCCATTCCTTTCCCATCCACATCGAACTTCAACAAACCTCATCTTCTTGCGTTTCCATCAATTACCATTTCAACTGAGCGTGGCACAAACAAAACGAAAGAAATCTCAATGGCCAATCAGAGCAAAGGACCATTTCAGTAAGAACCAATGAAAAGTCAGACTAAGCAGTGGTAGCCAGCGTCAGGCGCGGGAAAACGCAGCTCACTAAGTCCCGATTTGTTGCAATTTTTTATCTGATAAGGAAAGTTGAGGGAGTTTCCTAAACCAATCACTGAGCGAAATTATGTAAAACCAATGTAGGCCCGTATTGCTATCGACATTCAACTTAAAATTATTTTATCAGTACTGTTCATTTACGAGACATCCAGGCTAGCCGTTGCAAGCAGAAGAATAACGCTGACCAACTTACCTTGTGTAAGTGTTCGTTGATACTCTTTGCTTTCTGATAATCATTTACAGCTGCGGATGAAACCCAGAGGTTGGTACATAAAATGAACAAAAAACCGTGACAAATTTGGCCTCCCAAAAGCTAGGTATCAGTTTGATGGTTTTCTTCTTTTTTTGGCCAATCAGATTGCTCGAAACTTCACGTGAAATGAAGTGCACGTGACAAGAAACTAAACAGCGTAATATACACCACGTTGCGTGACATTAAACAAGTACGATATCAAATTATTTTTTCGGACTTCTGGCCTCGACAAGTAACCAACCGGAAATATGCGAATACCGATGTCACAACTAAAAACAAATATAAAAAGAAACTTTCGTTGCTCTGAACGGTGAATTGGTGGTAAAAGAGACGAGAATTCCATACCGTCATCAAACATTTCATTTAGTATATGTGCTTCTGCCCTGTCACACAACGCATCAACGTCATTTTCATCGATCTTCAACGCCTCGTTGCATTCTGTGATGGCATCGGTGGGATTATGAAGCTATAAAGAGAAACAGATATGAAAGAATTCACGTAAAATAAACGAGACGAAACAGTGAACACAAATTTTAAGGACGTAATCTCGACAGAATCTTAGTGAAAATTTCCGAAGACCTACCGACTTTTATTATCCAATCAGAAAAAAAGGAAAATCTGATCGCTCTCGTTCATCGTGTTGCTAAGTCACACTGCCAATGGCCACCACCTACTGGCCTGGTCCTTACCGAACAGCTTTCTGTTGCGTTTTACTTTTTTTTTAACAAAATTCTAGCAAACACAGTTCTGTTAATAAAGAGAGAGAAAAGGACTTTTACTGAACGAACCTTGAGGTGACAGTGGCATAGCTGGCGTCTTGCCTTGGCTGCTAATGAAGGAATTTTAGACTCTGTTTTGAGAGCCTGTTTGAGTTTGGATATAGCTTCTTCATATCTGAAATGTTAAGAAGACAGGAAACTTTATTGAAAAGGAAAAATCATAGAAAGGAAATGCATGGGAATAGCAAAATGAAGAAAACCACAGATGAAAAAAAACCCTCATATAAGAAGGAAACAGGTGGACAAAAATTTTTCAAGTACGATATTGACAATCCGCGAAAATCTTTTACATCCTAAGAGATCTTCCTTCCGTTTTGGCCTACCATTATGGCTCAAATCTTCGCACATCCTAGGAAACAATTGTTCTAGGATTTCTTTCTACCTTTAAGAAATTGTAGAGGGAGTTAAAGACAGAGGTACGTACTCTCCTTTGTTGATCAAATCTTGAGCGGCTTGCATCTGCTTATTCAATTTTTTTAATTTCTGCAAAAGGAAAAAGGGTGCAAAATTTTCATCTGGTTGGCTAACAGTTATCCGCTAGCTAATATTAAAGGTAATGCCGTTCTTTTCTACCAAAACCTACTGCTCTGTCGAGTGTTAAGTGTTCATAAGTGTAATTTTGTTGGATCAGTGTAAGGCGGTGTGGGAGACGAGTTCGCCAAATGATTCGCGCGCTGGTCTTCCTATCGAGGAGTCCTGGATCGAGGCCCAGGCGAGCCATGCGGTGTTTTCTTGGCTAGTATCCCCCAGATGATGTTCTTCTTTCTCATCACCAGTCTCTTTTAATTTCAAATTGACATTGTGAGGAGGCATTACGTCTCGATTACTATTGGGAGCGGAAGGGTAATGCCCAAAAGGAGCTTTAGTTCTTGGAAAGGAGCTGGAATTGTAAGGGTCAAATCAATTTGGCAAAGTGATGGAAAGTGCTGTTTTACCTTGTAAAAAGGAAAACAATCTTTGTGATCTTGATCAAGCTTGAGGCACTCGCGAACCTCCCTAAAAGTCAAGGAAAAAAGGGGTTGAAGATTGCATATTAACCACAGAGAGGACAATGCAAGGGTTGAATTTTGCAATGGGGTAACACTAAACTGTCCAAAGCTCTCAGTTCAATTCGTTCCCTTTTCGTTTAGAATCTTAAAATGCTTAAAAACAACACTGCATTAGAACCGGATACAAGAGACAACTGAAAGTAATCAGCAAGAAGGTTTTTAAGATGTGTTTGGTGCAGATTTGTATGACGGGCTAAGGAGGGCTTCACAGATATTGTGTCAGCTATTGCATCTGTAGATAACTTACCTTAATGCATCTTCCAACTCTCCCATTCCATAATGTAACTCACTGAGTCTAAGATATGCTGCTGTGTTGTCAGGGATCAGTTTAGTGGTTGGCCTGAAATAAAAATGCAAAATGAGAATGTCATTTTAGTTAACAATTTTTTTTTCTACCAATCAAGGATGTGGATGACCTGAAAGTGTCAAAGTGATGACCTGAAAGAACATTGGCTCCAGATTTTTTGGTTTCTGATGATGATGATTTGCACTCAGGTTTTCAAAATGTAGGTCACTGTTACCAACAACAGTTCATTTCACTCATCACCAGAGTCCAATAACTGACTGAAAGTGACTTCTTGATGTCCAGATGGAATGGCAACATTTTCTAAGATTTTTCAGAATGTCAGTAATCACCTCTGACAACTTTCCTTTTCAGGAAAACCCTGGCCTCATCCAGACAATCACACTGTCTGATGGAACAGGTGCTCTAAGAATTCGATACTTTCTAGTATTCAAAGTTGCAACTGTGAAAATACTTAACATATAATGTATGAAAAGTAGCTTGAAAAATTCTTACTTGATGTCTGAAATTGCATTGATGTAGTCTCCCATGTTTTCATGACAGTCAGCCCTCATTATTCTAAGTTCAGTATCCCAAGGGGCAACCTTAAAGAGAAAAAAAATTAGACATAATTTGCAGGCTTGGCTTGCATTTACTTCATAAAACACAGTGCCATTCATGAAACTCTTCAGCCCTTCTGATACAACCCTTGTTCAAGGCAATGTTTTTATTTTTATTTAGAGACAATTGTTACAAAGTTATTAATGATTAGTTATTCATAATTAATAGTGACATCAATAATAATATACAAAAAATGCCATAATAAAATAACCATTATTATTGATAATAATTACTATCAATATTTAATAATACCTCTATTGCTCTTCCTAGGAACTCTATAGCAAGTGAATAGTCTCCCATATTTATCGCATTTCTTGCTTCTGAGACATCCTTCCTAATGGGTTCTATAACATTTAACTGGACAATGAAAGAAGAAAAAGAAATAACAGAAAATAAACCAAAACATATCCAGGAAAAATTTGCTTTCAAAAGAAAATTTTTTTAAAATCAGATGCTTTCGTTTCAAGTTCACCCCTTACCTGTTGCAGTGCTTCAGCATTATCAGGGTTTTTATGTAACTGAAAAAAATTTGAAGAAGTAAATATCAATTAATTGTCATTGATCATTAAAACTTGTTCTTAGTTTTTACTGAAGGCTATGATTATAGCTGAACCTACTAATAAGTACCCATAATATAAATGGTTATGTAGGAATTCTGTTTAAGAAAAGATCCTATCGAGGATTGTAAATTCCCTAGTCAAAACTGTAACCAAGTTATTGAATGTGATTTATAAAAGCAACAACAATGTGATGATCTTCACCCTCTATCCTCTAGAAGTGACCAGCATCTAATTTCTCCTTACAATATCACCCCTGAATCACACATGTAGGTCACAGGAATAAAGGAAATGATCACCAACTAGAGAAACTCCTGATTGATAAACAAATTCTCCTTGTCAGTACCAAGAGAAATGTAAAGAGAGCAGTGCAGAGAATAGACATACTGACGTTAGGGTGTGAAGGGTTAATTTCTAGGAGCCAATAGGCAACAAAAAGTTATTCTGACTGCACCCATTCATAATTACCTAACCCTTTAGCTCCCATGAGTGATTAAGATAGAATTTCTCCTCACAATATCAATACAACATCAAGCAGACAAGTGATGAGAATGAAGAATACTACCAATCAGGGGATTACTAATTGATCCAATACCTAATTCTCCAAACTAACATCATGTGAATTGTATTGCAGACAGTAAGGATAATAACTAATTGGCATTTGGGAGTGAAAGGGTAAACTTAAGCTATCATATGTAACAGCAACTCTGAGTTACTGATTTAGCTCACCACTGCCTCATAATCAATGTGTGCTTCATCTAATCTTCCTTGTTTGAGTAAGACATTCCCTCTTTGTAACCGTGCCTGTTTAAAACAAAAATTATTGCTAATAGCTCCTGATATATTTTACCCAACTCAAGGAAAGAGTAGATAGAAACCACAGTCATTTACATTGTTTTCAATGAGCTAAGCTTGAGGTCTGCAGTAAAAAGTAAGATGAACTCTGATTCTGATCACTTTTACTTTAACCTGAAAACATCTGCAGGTAACTGGTAATAATTTCAGTCTCTGCAAATAATTTCACTGGTGTACTAAAAAATGGGAAATGAGGGTTGTGGTCATTCTTTTTTCCAGTTTGCTTTTCGACATAAAAATTAAAATTAGGCTATCAACTATCAAAGACAGAGGTTGTGTATGATTAAGAATGGGGCAAACTGCTTGCATGTTAAGATAAAAAAGGTGAAGTGAAGGTATTCCTGAAGGCTAACAATACCCTTTTTTTTTCACCTGTTCAAGATTATCGTTGAAGTAGCCTACTAACAAAATTTTACGATCAGAAAATGTCCTGTTTCCAAAATATATGCAACTGAAGTTTTTTTCAAAGGAAGAATTTAGCAGCAAAATAGAGATACAATGGTGAAGTAAACATGTTTGTGTTCATATGGTTTGTCCTATGGTAACATTTCTGACAAATCCATTTAATACAAAACCATTCAAAAAGGCTCTCTTGGGTGGGACATTAAAGAAATTCAAACTTGGAGAAAAGATTCTCCTTGCAGCCTCCCTTAAAAAAATTTACTCTGCAAGATCCAAGAAATTTAAACAATTTTCTTCTGAATGTTTACTTAATGAAAAATCTTTCCCCATTATTATTCTGTAAAACATACCTGAAAAAAGTCAGGTCTTAGTTCAAGTACCCTGTCCAGATCAGGTAAGGCAGCTTTTGAACGACCCATTGCTAGAAATACTGTTGCTCTTTTAAAATATGTCAAAAAATTGTCAGGATCACCCTCTGAAATAAATAATGAAGAAGACACATTAAGCTCTTCCCTAACCAAATTAATTTATTCTTAAATATCAATACAATTTAACCTTTTCTCCCCTAAGAGTGACCAACATCTATTTTCTCCTTACAGTATCATCCCTGAATCACACATAAAGGTCACAAGAATAAAGGAAATGATCACCAACTAAAGAAGCTCTTGATTGTTAAACAAATTCTCCTTGCCAGCACCTTAAGAATGCATAATGAACAGTATAGAGAATATGCATACTGATATTAGGGTGTGAAGGATTAACCCAAATAGATGATGAAGAAAAATTTTAATATTGAGAAATTGATTTATTAAGTAACCAATTCCCAGATCTACAATTACACAATTTGTGCAGCATATAGCTTGTAGAAGTGATGTCAAAATTGAGAAACTAATGCAAAAAGGGTGCTCAAATTTTTCCAAACGTTATGTTGGTACTGTATAAATTAAATTATTTGCAGTGTAATTTAAAAAACAAAGCTTGGCACTTTTTGATTGGTCGAATTGTAAATAGCGTTCGCGCAAATTTAATTCGCATCTGTGATGATGTAAAAAAGATATCAAGATAAATCGACAGACCCGGGGAAAATTTTCTTAAGTGAGAGGCAATATAGAACAAAAAGAAAACGTTATAGTCTTTCCGCTTCAAATAAATCTACGTGACATGAAGAACTGGTAAACACAACAGAGTCTACGTGATTTATTTCGAGATGTTAATTTGATTTGGGTTAAATGTTTCTGCTATCGTATTCGTTGGTTCAGCTGGGTTTCACTAACTCCACTCGAATTTGAGATTAAACTTTCTCACTACTAAAGGCAATGTCATAAATTTTAAGAAACTTAACAACTGCGTTTCTAGGTTGTAAAAACAAAACGCTTTGCTACTCAAGCAGGTAACAACACATGAGTTCACCCAAATAAATAACATCGACTGAAGTTCTTAACTTATCTAAGATATTGCGGTGCACCAGTTTGGAAACTCTGAGCTACTGTCAAAAAATTTTAAAGCGATAACACTTAACAGAGAATCAGACAAACCAATAATTTAGAACAAAGATTTTTTTCTGTAAAACTTAACAACTAATGTTAGAGTGGAAAGTAGACGAACGCCGGTTCAAAATAAAAATCACTCACCAACTGCTGCATGATAGTGTGAGAGAGCATCACTTAGTTGTCCACTGGCAAGCAATCTCTTGCCTTGTTCTAAATGTTGTTCAACTTCTGCTGCCGATAATTTGCTCGAAACTCCTGCAAGATCCGACACACATCATTTTATAAGGCACGTCATCCAAATTCTGTAGTGCGATTCGGCCGAAATCTCCCCTAGTTAACTGTCATAATATTTAATCTGATAATTACACAGGACTCACCGATTATTTTCAGTTCCAAAGTGATTAAAATAATATTCAACGACGAAAAAAGTTGTCCAAAACTACACATCTTGAGACTAGCATATATGTATTGCCTTAATTTCTGTTTCCTATGTTTTAAGGAAGTGAACCGCGGTTCACATTCAGTGTTGGCGCACACCGTCGTGGTTGCAGTTGATTGGTCGTCAATACGTTCCCAGACTTCTCTGAGAAGCCGGTGTCACAGTGATGACCATGTCGATGACTGTATCCTGTAAAATGTGCACTTCATTTCCCAATGTAGATATTTCGCGTGATTTGTTTGGATCCGGTGGGAATACCAAACAGAAACAAAAGGCGAAATACGTGCTTTGCATTGGAATGAAGAGGAAAAGATCAGGGAGTCTGCCAAGCATGGGAAATAATAAAGCACAAACTATTGAAAAGTTTATTTCTCCAATTTTGTCAAAAGCAAATTTTTGTTTCAATTTGCTGTATTTTCAGTTGAAAAAAGTTTAAAAGCTTTATGGTGAGAACAAATTTAAAGACTAGGCTTGCCTTACATTACACAATCTAAACAGAGAAATGCAGAAATCAAAGACTCCAATTCTGAGGGAAAAATTTTCCATGAAGCCTTTGAGAAATAAAGCAATACTCAAGTTTTGTGTAAATTGTAATATGTAAAACTGATGGAAAGGAAAGAACATTTCAGAGGACAAATCTTTCTTTTATTACCAGCATGTCTTTTTTCATCTTAAATTTTTCAACTGTGCATAAAAAACACTCTTTTCCATCTTAAATTTCCTGGGTGTCAAAACAAAACAGTAAAAAATACATAAATAAGGTAATAGTATCAATATATATCCAAATAATTTATATTCACCATTAAATCATGATTACTCATCATTAATCTGAGGTAATGACTCTGCTTCCCCCTGCTTTAGAAAAATGGTTTCTGCTAATTTAGAGCAAGTACTTGAGTGCTCACTGCCCAATGAAGAAAAAAATAAATATATATTTTTTTCTTTGTCATAAATCTATCAGAAGAGAAACCTTGATGAAAAACAGATCAAAGAGTCACTCAAAATACATTGCATAGCTTTCTTAACCCTTTCACTCCCAGAAATTATCTACATGTAACTTCTCCTTACAATGCCAATATGATATCTTGAAAACAGGTTATGAGAACATACAAGCTTAACAGGGAGATGGTGCTATCATGATGTAACACCAAATTCTCCTGTCTTGTTTACAAGGAAATGTAAAGAAGCTCAAAGGGAGAATTACTCATTAGATTCTGGGAGTTAAAGGGTACAAAGTAAGTAAACACCAAAGCTAGATTGCAATCTATGCATAGAAAATGACTCTGTATTCTACAGTGGCTACAGAGCCAATCAAGAAGCTGAGGGAATGAACAAGTCAGATTAATAAATATGAAATAAAGATTAATGGCATGCAGAAAATTTTCAGTATCTCTTTACACTCAGTTCAAAACAATCTACTTAAATTTAAGAGATTGTAATTAGTTAATCCATCCGTATGAAAAGAACCCATTATTAAGCCAAAATGCACACTCTTCCATGTGATAACCATTGCTATCAAGAACCTTTACACCACTATCTGTGAACAGAGCAGTACTATTTGGAAACTTTTTCCAAGGAGCATCTTCTTGATTAAATTCATTGTTAATAAATTTACCGAACTCTCTTCTAAGGTCCTTCATGAAACTCTGGTCTCTAGGTGATGGAGTGTAATGAAATGCAGGAGGGAAACCAAACAGTGCAATAAGATCCCACATGTGAAATGCAAATGTTGCTGGATATCCAAACACATTTATTGGAAATGATGGAGCACTTGTAACCACATATCTATAAACTGGGCTCTTAAAACCTTGAGATGCTTTGGAGGCAAACACATCATTTGGGCAAGAAAGTCGTATATCAGAGGCCATGGATGAATAAGAAAACTGAGGAGAGAGAGGTTCCTTACTAAGCTCACTTTTGTTATACAAGGCAAGAACCATGCTAACATTCTTTCCAATAAAAGGAGCCAACTTTTGCTTTACATAAGTGCTGTAGTCTTCCCAACTAGAATTAGAAAAATCCATCACAGGCTTAATATTTACCTCCTGCCCTGTTGTCCCAATAATTAAAGGGACATCATTTGCTTCTCCTTCTACCATGGCAAGAAGAGGAGGCTTGGGAACCACAACATTGTCAACAACAGCAACTGCCCCATTAAACAGGTTTTTTTGTGGCAGATCCATAGAGTCAGACATGCGCCAATATGGGTATACATCCCATGGGATGGCTGCTTCCAGTTTTTCAGTAGTAAGCTGATATAAACAGTCTCTTTCAGCTGCTGAACTGTTTCTCACACAATCACAATTTTTTATGAAAATTTTGTTGTCATCTGCAGCATCTTCCCATGATTTGTTATAAACAGCTGAGGCACTCATGACAATTGCTCGATGGAATAACCCGGCAGCACTAGGGGAGGCAAGCAAAGCCAGTTCAGATGTACCACCAGAGCTTTGTCCAATCAGAGTAACAGATTTTGGATCACCACCAAATTTATGGATGTTAGCCCTCACCCACTTTAAAGCTAATATCTGGTCCATGAAACCATAGTTTCCTGTACTTTTGCTTGGTGATGCCTCTGCTAAGGACTTTAAGGCAAGAAAACCAAATGCATTTAATCTGTAATTGAAAGACACTCCAACAATATTCATCTCTGAAACCATTTCAGGTTGGGGGTGAAGTCCATTCCAATCCCCAGAGGAGTACATCAAAAATCCACCATGAATGTAAACTAGAACAGGGAGAAGTATTCCAGTTGATCTGTGCTTCGGTGTCCATACATTAATAAACAGACAGTCCTCACTGCCTATGACTTTGGTTTGGTCTGGAGTGTGCAGCACATCTTGCTGTGCACACCAACTTCCAAATTCACTTGCATCCAGAGTTCCATTCCAGCACTTATTTACATTCTCGTCACACGAAACCGGAGCTTTCCAGCGTAAATTACCAACTGGCGGTTTTGCATAAGGAATTCCTTTAAACACGACAGCATCACTCTCAAATTTACCGCGTATGACACCAGCTTTGATCGTCACTTTCATATGTTGGTTTTCCTCTAATACGATCTGTTCGTATTCCTTGACTTTTCGAGAGAAATAATAGTACAGTAGGCCTGAGAGAATGGCAACGAACGCAGCAGCAGTCAATACAAAAGCAACTCTCCTCTTCGTTCTTTGATTTAATAAACACGAGTTAAAACTGTTTCGAATGCTGAGCTGTTCTTCACTTTCGAACTCGAGTTCTTCACGAATTGGAAGAAAAGGCCTTGATTCCTGCGATCTTCCCATTTCTGTATAAGTTTTCAAAACAAACTATCTTTTCCACCTTGAAATCACTTCTGGTGCATAACATAGACCATATACTCCGACAAGCTGACGCAATACAAAGCATAGGTATCCACAAATTGATTTACAAGCCTCAACAAAACATTCACCGAAAATACGTCGATCAGAAATCAAAGTCAAACTAACAGGGACCTAGCAAGTCACGTGCCTAACAGTAATGGGTAAAAGATAACTGACTAACAGGCGGGTAAGTAACGCTAGAAACGGTATTGCGTGACATACAAATTCCCCTTCCCCGTCCGTTACCCTCCTCTCCCGTTCCCTTCGGGAACGACAGAAACAAAACAGTATAATAGATAATTTGATTTCATAAGCTGAGTTAATAACGTAAATTTGCCATCGTAAGGAGTTTCCAACGCTGATGTTGCAGGCATGAGCCTTTCGTAGTACCACAGTTTCTTTAAACTGACCTTCTTTACTAATTTGTTGTATAAGTTTCCGTTTTAAAAACATAGTAGGTTTTGTTTTCAACCAAAATGAAGCATACTACATACAGTATTCATAAGAGCTGACTTTCAATTCCCACACAAAAAAAGTTGCCGACTTTGTGCTTCTTAACAGACCCCAGCTCCTTCTCTAAAAAGCCCCCCCCCCTCTAGTGAGACTCCGCTTGATTTCCTTAAGAATCGACAAGCTCTGGGGACTTATCAGATCTAGAGAGTTAACAGGAATACGATGTTACAGTTTCCTGCTCTTAAGTGTCGAAATATAATCCCTCCATTTTCAATCATTTTTTCACTATCATCCTTAAAAGAAAAATGTATTTTTTACAAAATTCATAGGTAGCTGTAATAAGTTTTAATCCTAATTCATCTTTTTCTTCTAGTTTTTTTTTTTTTTTGTAGGTTGAAGTGCTTTAATCCATTTCTCTACAAGATAAAATCCTTTTTTTTTAATTTTTAATTTTTTTCCTATATATTATATTTACATATGTACTTACTTCTTACACGATGCTTACACTATATTAACTTGCACTACTTACAATATATATATTACAATACATTACACCAGTCAAATTGAATTACAGTTGCTCTATTTACGTTATTGTTTGCGTGTTAATTGTTCGAGTCACTAATAAGAATTTTGTTTGTTAATTACACTACATAGGGTATTAATTTTCTAGAATTTAATAGATTATTGAATCAATAGGTAGCGAAAAGAAACAAATCAAAATACAAAAGTTGAGAAGAAAAAGGACACAGAACAATTTTCCTGAATTCCTTTTCCTTATTACGAGTGACTGCAATATATTTTTCTAGATTAATTTTTTCGCCCACAAGTGAGACAAAATCATCGAATTAGTACGTTATGGTATTAAAAGCGTTAACATATAAGAAATATTTACCCAAAAAAAATGAGATGGTTGAGGGCTAAACAGTAGGTGTGACAGTGAATAATTCCGAACATAAGCTCTAGTTCTGACAGCAGCAGTTTCGTATTACTAGAGATTGAGTACCGCTTCTGGAATCTATTCCAAAAAGAACTTGCGTGCATGCCGTTTATAAACAAATGCCACAGGGTCTGACACTCAGAAGGACAAAAGGGACAGGAGGGCGGGGAAACTTTTTTCGTTTTGTGTAACAAGCTATTCGTTGGTAAAATTCGGTGAATGATTTTGTATTGGAACATCGTCAATTTAACTTCTCTCGTGGCTTTGAATGGTAGGAGGTAGATTTTAGTCAAGTCACTTTTCTCGACGCCAGACGCTGAAAGTTTTTTCTCAGAGGTTGGTGGAGGTAGATCTTCAAGGTTAAACAGCGTACTGTATATTGTCCTGCATGACAGTGAACAGATTGAGGTGGGAGGCGTAACTGGGTCTTTGGAACCTTCTTGCAATACTTTCTAGTTAAATTTTAGGCATTTACGCAGCATAGAGTAAGTCCTGATTGATTGTAAATTTGCATTACATAGCTCTTCAGTTACCTAAGCCAATGAGCGATGAACGTCACTACATAGTGTCCTTCAAATGTATTGCGCATGGTTAGACAAACTGGTGGGAATCATACAGTGACCTCGCTGATGACTATTCTCAAAAAACCTATATATTTATCGATGAAAAAGAAAGAGTAATCGGACTTAAAGCTTAAAAATAAATTTAAAAACTCACAGCCTCTCCAATAGGTACTTGTTTCATATAGAGCTTTGTAGTCTGTGTACTAATCAGGAAATAATTTATAAGTCAGTGTGTATGACGTTTCCAATCGCGAGGTGAGCAACTACGTAAATTTATTGCAACAAGAGTTTACATAAGGAATTAGTTCCAACGCAAGGAATCAGTTCCAGTTTCACGGTAGTGACATAAACATCGACATGGCTACCATGCCAAGTGTTCTGGTAACCAGTATGGTCTTTGTGACTCCATGTAATCATGACATTTTCAAGAGAGATCGTAAGGTCCGTTTAGAGTTCTCCCTGAAGTCTTTGCTACTAAAGAAATAAATCACAGGGTTTACTGCGGAGTTTGTCATTCCAAGCGTGACTGCCCATATATAGAAAGAATTCACTTTCTGTTCAGGGTCACTCACGAGAACATACCCGTATGGAACCCAGCTGAGTGTGAATACACCAATCACAACACCGACTGTCCTGGCCGCACGTTTTTCGGATTCCTGCCGTTTTTTCACCATTGCGTTTCTCTTCATGAAAACACGATCTTTACTGAGGGGAGTCGGAGTCGCACGCTGTTTGTTTTCGTTTTCGTGCGGCCGTATAAGTGATGACACGCGATTAGACACTTTGAAATGAGCCCTTGCTCGCAGCAGAAGTATTCCATAACTGGTCAATATAACCCCGTAACAACCTGCCAGTCCTATAAGGATTAATATCGAGGACAGCCTAGTACTCCTTCCTACAACGTGACCAGTGATTCCTAAGACGCAAGGAATTCCCCATATCACAAATAGAATGGCAAACATCTTTTTCCTTGTTAACTTCTGTCTTTCGCTCAACGGCCAGGAGATGGCTAACAAGCGTTCAACACTCATGAAAGCAAGGTTCATAAGGGAAGCGCCGCACGTTATATATGCTGCTAAACGAAACGCGTCTCGAATGATTGCTTGACAGACTCCTGTCATACGGCTCAGCGTTAGAATGGCTTCCATGGGTTGGACTACAAGATTAACGAGAAGATCAGCAACAGAGAGGCTGCAAATAAAATAGCACCATGTTTTGTGTAGTCGAGGGCTAAAATACACTGTAACACATACCAAGATGTTGCCAAGACCTCCAAACAAGGCAGAGAGAACATTTACACTGAACGCAAAAATTCCTTCCAGTTCGCGTATTTCGCAACTTGAGTTGAACATTGCTACTGGAATTCAATTTTGTTCAAAAGTCTCTGACAATTGCTCTGTGTATAATCAAGGCTTTTTTTTAACTTCAAGTTATCATGTCAGCACATTTCTGAAGATGTTCTTGACTCGAAAAGGACCCAATAACTAGCAACGTATACTACATCTCATCGTGATATGAAACAAAAATATTGTTCACATTTAGCAAGCCTGTGAACTAACAAATAAATGCACACAAAAATATATGAAATGTCAAAATGGTAGAGGGTTATTGGTTTATGGAAATTTCGTTAAGAGGATTTCAATTGTCATTTCAAATAATTCCCGAGCTTGATAATGAAGGCACTTTTTAAATGTTAGATTGCGCGCACAGGTAGACAAATTCTCTCAGAATTCATATAAAATAAACACAGAGTTTTCATTTTATCATTTGAGAAACATGAATTTCACAACGATCGAATTTAAAATTTATAAAATCATAAAAATTCAAGATGTTAAAAAAGAGACGGATTTAGTTTCTTTGTAAACGTTAATCTTTTAAGAAGCAAATATTACTGCTTCAGGAAAGACACATGTTTGTTTTAGTTAATCGTCAGTAGCAAATTGAAGATTGTTTTAATGGAAGAAATGCGATTCTGACAAATTGTCTCATGATTCATGCATAATTTTTATCTCGATCATTATTCGCTTTACAATTACCTCAAATTTTCATGTGGAACTAACCCAAGAACAGGCTCTTACGATATTCGTATTATAATAAGGAAATATTTTTTAGCGGTAGTTATAAAAGAATAATTCTTGGTTTCATTTCCTAAAAGCAATTTTTAATATTTAAAATATTTTGATGTTTACATTAATGCTCTAAATATAACTCACCGCCTTTTAGCCCAATTAACAAGAAACTACAAAAATTAAAAAATCATAAGGCTTAAGTGTTGTTGGTTCAATTATTTAGATATGAAACACTCTGTGAATCCTTTTTATGGTCTAAAAAATATTTTATCAAATACTCTGGTTAAATCGCTCGAAATGCAGTGTTTGTACCGAAACGAAAACCAATAGTTGTTGTCAAATTGTCTGAACATTTGAATTCGTCAAAGTCATTTACATTTAAAGATAAATTTTTAGTGCATTCAAGTCGCTAAGCGCTAATTGTGGTGACAGGGAGAGGGTGGGGGGAGCAGTGGAGGAGGAATTCTATTATGTAACCTACCTTAATAGCCAACGTGACGTCATGATTGAATATTACACTAAATGTAACCCGGACATTTGAATTTATGATGACGTCACGACCTTTACATTTACTCAGATTAATAATTCAACGAAAGAATATTGCAAAGGAGAGATGTAGGACCAATTTGAAATTATAGAGCTGTCCAAAACCATAAATATCGCATTGAGTCAAACAATGAAGCATGATGTGGTGCTAGCGTATTCACGAAATTGGCGATTTAAATTGCTTGTATTTTATACGTCTACAAAAGTTTTCTAGGAATACTGGTGATCCCAGAATATGGTCATTAATATTTCCTATTACTTCTCGTGATTAATAGCGTCGCCTTAGCTTGGCCAGAACCCAATAGCTGTTTCTCCTAACAGCACGTGTTCTCTGCTGAGACAATGCCGATGCAAAATATTTGCATTTTCATTGCTGATTGATGTGAGAAACAGAATATATACTAACGTAAATAGCTCCAATGGAAATCGAACATCAAACGAGGCGAAAAATGAATTTGTGGACCTGAATTGAGAAAGTCTGCTTCATTTAGTTCTTTATCAGATATTGGAATTGGAATTGATTGTAATTTCCACCGACTGAAAAACTGCCAGGAAAAGATTCGCCTTTCCCAGCTTTGAATAAGATGTAACTTGATAAGTTCCAGGACAAAAGAAATCTTGCCAGTGTTTCGAGTTTGATGCAGTTGTCGCAGTGTGAGAACGTTGAAAAGTTCCCTCTAAACAGGTAAATTATCAGTGTTTTTCTTTAACCTAATGTAACTAAAAAACATTTGGCAAACTTTTGCAGCCAATGCCTCCATATATGATTCCATTTTATGATCTGGGCGTTGCGCATTTGATCCAGCGAAATTGACTCTGTTTCGAATTCAGATCGCTTTCCCTGAAAACAACTGTGAGCTTTTAGCTTGGTTTTTAATCTAGTACTCCGTGTTTTGCGAAAAAGAACAGCTCTCTTTTTGCTCAAACCGTCTTTTATTGAATTGATACGATATAAATATCTTCCTGTACATACAATCTTCATTTTCAGTTTAGGTTCTGAGAACATTCACGCGTAGTTAAACTCGCGCGAAAATCTAAAATTGTTTCCTATGTTATAAAGTTCATTTGCATAATTCTCATGTTCTACTAGGTATCCCAATTTCCTTTTGCCGAAATTTTCGTCTAACAAGCTCACGGCTGTGATCAAAACCACATTATCTAGGAAAGTTTATGTGCTTCAAATATGATATGCAAATAAAATTTATGCGGCTGTTATATAACTGTTTTTTCGCACTCCCTCGAATGATATTTGTTGTAATTTCATTAACATTGGAGATAGAGTTGTATTATTATAGTTTTATGTGTTAATTCCAGCCAAACAACAAAAAATACGCCATTATGTTTTTTACTGATGTCTATCAGTAACTTCGATGCCTTTTTGATAGCCGTAAAGCGCATTAAATATTAATATCTACAACGTTATAGATAAATGTAAATGTGGTTTGAGTAAAATCCTAATGATTTAGTTCATGTAGCTATTCTCAAAGCCACTGACCCAAAAGAAGGATGCTTTTGATTTGTTGTCGAAAAGTACCTCAAAATGTCAAAGCGTTTTCTCTACAGCAGTACCTCTTGCTCCTAAAAATTTTCAAGACACAGGCATATTAATTTTCCCTGATAAGGACTCTGCTAGATAAAACCCCCGTCGTTCAGCAAGTGCATGTTTCCCGCCCTTTCCTACGCTCGAAATCTGATTGGCTGATTCCCAACGTCTGCTTCACTTCGTATTCATTGGTCACAATCGTTGTTTACAATTTTGGTTTCACAGTGACGTACATTTTAAACCTTTCCAACATTCTTTCCAAAATAAATATTTTTTTCTCGTATTTTTTCAGAACATAGAAATTAAATGATTAATGTTACTCGTCCTTTTACATTCTAATTAACTTGCATTTTTTTTTCTGCTATGGTAACAGTTACCGTGATGCAGAGATGTTTGCCTGAAGGAAGAAATGCTTCCAGGCAAGCGAAAATAGGATAAAAATAGGCTCTAGGAATAAAAAAAGGGGATAAAAAGGATGACAAAGGATTTAAAGTGAAATTTTATTAACTGGATTTTTATTTAATTTCATCTTTATTCAAAGGCAGTGTGATTCATTTCTGACACGATAAACGTTTAAGCTGCACGAGGAACATTGAATAAGAAACTTAGCGCCGATATCATATGTACTATAAATGTTACTGAATTACGCGTTAAATCATAATTTTAAAAATCCCCTTAATCCTATGTTCATCTGTGAAATTTAAGGGGCAACCGACCGCCGAAAACAAGATATATTTCAATTTATGCGTGTTGCACATTTGAAATATTTGGGTTCACCGCTACAGGTACCGCAAGGTTTTTAAAATCAATAATATTAGCACGCAACAGGATACCGCGCAAACTAAGACAGTGAGATAGATTTATAAAATCTATCCTATATAAATTTTTTTCAAGGAAAAATCTTTTTATCAGCTAAGGTCATTAAATATTAAAGCAAAAGGGGGAAGAGTGACAAGTTATTCAATTTAAATATTTGTGCGGTGAAAATTCTATCCATGGGAGCTTTGTCTGTTAGCCACAAAACCTGTCAGATTAGGAAATTCAGCTTCTCATTATTTACTAAACAGTTTCTTAAGATTGTGACTAATTAAGTGATGAGCATTATTCAGTGATGTGAATGAAATGTCACTGTAAGTGTTGCCATTTGCACTTTCTCTCTTACGAACTTTTTTTTTGATGTTACTGATCGCCCGTGTTAGAGAAGAATGACGCATTTAGATGTACAAGAAAATTTCTCAGCCAGCATGAAGGAATTTCGGATAAAACTGTTTAGTCGTTTAACAAAGTGTTCACGGTAAGCTTCAGTTTTTTTTAACAGTACGCTTCTTTACAATAATACCAGAACAAATTAAAGGAAAAAAACGACAAAATGCAAATTAAAACTAAGGATGAAAAAAAATATTATTTCGACTGCGAAGTAACACTTCGATTTCGCCGCTCAGTTTTGAGGTTATTATCGTAGACATGGACATCTTCTAACTCACCACCGATTGATTTTTATCTAAGATCGTAATTTAAACAAAAGAACACAAACAAAGAAGTTCAAGAGTAGGAGCAATTTATTAAGTTATTTATATTCAGCAGACACCTCTTTTGAGCGGAAGAAAACACCGTCAGAACTTGAGTTTCAAATTTTAACCGATTACATTTTACAAGATGACGCAAACCACTCCGCTAAATTTTACTCCTGAAATGGTAGATTTGAAATACAGTCAATCATTCACTTCGGGGTATAAAGTCAGTACTTTTGCGCCGTTTGATAAATCTGTCATTTAAGTGTGCAACCTGTAATATGCGAATTATAGCAAGAGTCCTGCGGATGTCAGCTTAGCTCATTTTCACTGTACATGGGTCTCTGAAAACTTCATAAATTTCTGAACCACCTAATTCTTAACTTTCAGTGGACTGTGGATTACAACAGTTGTCGTCTCCAAAAAAGTAATCATTTATGCTTCATATATAAACTCAGCGCCGATGTTTTTTCTAACAATGCAAGCCTATACAACTTGTTACACTTATTTTTTTCTGTGTTTTAATATCAAGTCTTATATTATTTCAGCTGATTATTGAGGTTCATGGCAGTTATAACGAGTGCGAATGAAGTAGCCAGCAGTGCTATTTTCCTTTTGGCATTCCGTTTCCTATGGATGATAAATGCCGAGACAATAGCGAAGTAAAGTACTCTTTTTTTGTAAATGAATCTATTTCAATTATTGTCAAAAATATTCCTTGCCATTGATAGCGCCATTCCCCATTGTCTATTTCCCCCCCCAAATTACCCCCCCCATATCCATTTGTACCCCAGGGTGTAGACTACAGGATACAACTTTAGGACCTCGGCTGAGGCTCGACCCAGATCTTCTCGCCGGGGTCTAAGTAACCGAACTGCAAAATCTTATAAACTTTAACGATCAGGATTAGCATGTATTTAAGAGATTTTTTTCCTGCTTTTTGTCACCGTTCCAGGACACCGGAATATTGTTTCCGCCGTGATCAAGGGAATCCACAATACTTCAAAAATGAATCATGGCAGACAACTAACCTCGGGGAACTTCTTCAGCAAATGCTACAGTGCTACGATTCACGAGTTAGAGTTGAACACGGAGGAAGTAAGTAGCGATACTGGAGCAAATATCACAGGTCTAATCTTGGGATCAACCACTCCTTACTTCTTTTTGATATATACACAACAATACGCACGGACTATAATTTTGTTCCCAGGTCTCGCGCTTATCCTTTTTTAAGTCAGAGATCTGGGTACCAGATGTAAACCACGGTTATGAATTCAGTTATGAGTGACGATATCAACATGCAATGCGACAAGAGGGCAACAAACTATGCCAATTTTATAAGCAAGACAACCACGCCATTTGAGGGCTAACCAACTTTTTGCGTGTCAGTAAAAACTGTGTTGACTGGTTTTTGTTTCAGGAGGGAATCCTACAGAGGTCCATGTCAGCATGTACATTTTGTCCATTGGGAATTTCCAAGTTCGCGATATGGTAAGAGGAGAAATATAGTGAAGTTTCCACAAAAAATAAAGCTCTCTAAAATTTATCACACCCTCCCAACTAACAGTTTAAACAGAGAAGAAAGATTACCATTACTTTGACTAAATCTTTTTCCCTAATATTTCAGGATTTCCAACTGTCGTTTTACTTCAGACAACAATGGCAGGATGCTCGGTTAGCTTATAAGAACCATTTCCACGAAGAAAAAATTACTTTGGGAGGAGCAATCCTAAAACAACTTTGGCTTCCACAGACCTATTTTGTCAACAAAAAGGGGGCCAGCGCAAGTACAGATGCCAATTTTTTTGTGCGAATTTTTCCCGATGGATCCGTACTTGTGATCACTAAGTATGTGGAAAAAGACTTTCGTCTAAACTTAGCAGGGGTCAAATTGGTTTTGTTTTACTTATTTTTGTGATTTCTTAATAAAAACTGCGCCCAACTAGATTGAGAACTTAACTCAATCGTGACTTGCCAAACCGCGTTTTAAGCCTTCTTGAGTTTACAAAAAAGGAAGAAATTACTTCATGAAAAACAATTACCATCATTATTACTTTTATCATCATCATTTTTATTACTATTATAAACCTGGCGATTCCAGTAGACCCTGCCGATCGTTTCCGAAAATCACTGACGTACTGTCGAAGGTTATCTTTAATAATCCGAATACTTTTTGGGATCTTCAAACATTTGAAGAATAAATGGGCTCCATTTTTTTTTCTCATAAGAAATACTCTGACGATGGACTGCTACATGGATTTAAGAAACTTCCCATTTGATGTCCAGAAGTGCAACTTGACTTTGGAGAGCTGTAAGTTTACAATTCATAACTTTATATGCTAAGACCAATTCCCATTTCCAACCTTATAGGGGCATTTGTCAATGAAGTGTCGAGAGTGATCTGGGATTGCATTGGTGTTGGAAGTCACCTCGTAATTGGTCCAGAAAACTCACGCCACTCTTTCAACCAATCAGATGCAAGACTAAAACTATTCATTACTTGTTCGCCTGCGTTTCCCGCGCTTGAGGCAGTTGCTTGTTTTTACTTCCAGTTCTTATTGACTCTTGAGGGCATCTTCCTTTTCTTCTAATTGGCTGATTACCCCACTCCATCGAAAAGCGCTATACTTACACTATACTTACACTATACTTATCAATTTCTATTCATTTCTTTTCTCAAAAGTTGGATTTACCACTAAAGATGTGGTTTATAAATGGGTTTCGACGGACAGCAGCGAAGCAGTGGAAAAAGATCCGGGGCTTACAACATCAGAGTTTGATATTGGTCCTATAAGAATATTCGAATCCACTACGATGTATAAAACAGGTAAGACATTGTTGAAGGCCAGTAATTTCTACTCACTGACTTCCATTATCAGTCTACTGTGTACGTAAAAGAACATGTTTTTAAAGGTTAGGTGACCCATTTTTCAGTTATTCTCTTTATATTTGCGCACAGAATACACAAAATATACACAAGATCTACACAAATTCCTAAAAAACCACCCCCAACTCCCGACCAATGAAAAGCTGCCTTCCTTATAGGCTTGTTTTCATTCAGAATACTATGTTCGTTTTAGGGCTGTTTTCTGGTCTAAAAATGGAATTGAATTTCCAACGAAGATCTATTTATTACTTGATTCAAATCTACGTGCCAAGTGCGATGATCGTGGTTCTTTCGTGGGTGAGTAATGCTCTAAAAGTTGAATATCCTCAGCCTGACCATATTTTTCTGGCTTCTGACTTGTCCTGGGAGAGAAAAGAGGACTCCTCTTTTCTCTTCCAGGAGGAGGGGGAGGTGATGTTGACAAGAGGGCAGTATTGGTACCTTTTTTTCTTAGGATGGGAAGGGAAGCGGAAGGAGTTTTAGCGTGGGAACTTAATGAAGATGAGCAAGAGTGCTGAATAGATAACTTATAGTTCACACGGTATTCGAGATGACCACCAAAGAGCCTTCACCAAATGATGCCGAAATTTCGTAATTATCAGTTCGCACTGCCAAAATGATCGGAAAAGGGTAATTCTAATCTAAATTATAATATCATTATTATCATTACTATCATTATTATTATTATAATTACCATTGTTATCATTATTATTATCAGATCTCCTTCTGGATTGACAACCAGTCGATTCCCGCCAGAACGGCGCTTGGCATTACCACTGTGCTCGCCATGACAACACTGCTATTTGGTGTCCAGTCTTCTCTGCCCAGTGTGCCGTATATCAAAGCTGTAGATCTGTTTATGATTGTATCATTTGCTGCTGTCTTCGTTGCACTGGTGGAGTTTGCGGTTGTTAATTATACGAGCATGCGTGAGAAGGAGCAAAAGGAATCAAGAGCCACGAAAAATAAGTATACTGTGGTAAGTCGTTATCTTCCATTCACGAGCATGAAATACTATGGCATGATGGATAAAAGTGCTACCAAGAGAATATGTCCTCTGGGTGGTACTCATGGTGCCATGAGATTCCATCCCACAAAGGTGTGATACTTGTTCTCCCACAAGTTTCATCATTTCCCACTCTTTTCACCGGGCGCAGTACGCCAGTTTTCCCAGCTGTAAGTTTAGATGCACGTGGTAGCTTTTAAATGATTTCCTGCCAGTTATTCGCGTTTCCTGCAGATAAAAAATTTTCGTGAAGTTTGTGAAGGGTCACACTCCCTTTCTCCCTAAAAATTGTTAAAATTTTATTTATATATTTTTCCGTTTCGAAACGTGATTGAACTTTTACCTCCACAATAGAACCCAGACGTTGTTATGCTAAACTTCCGCAATTTGTCTTACGAGGGCGACGGAAAAGGTGAACATCATATGCAAAATGGCGTCGCCCACAACGGTACTGTGAATGATATTGAGAACGACAACGCTGATGTTCACAAGATGGAAGAACTACACAGTAACGGTACCATTGGTGAACACGCGCCACGTGATCGCAAAGATTCGTCGCGTGATCTGTCGCATGTCCTTGAACCTTCTCGCCCGAACAAGTGTCGCTGGCGATGTAAAGTTACTGCCAATGGAATAGACGCTTGGTCACGTATTCTGTTTCCTTTGGCGTACGGACTTTTCATAGTAGCTTACTGGATTATTTATTCAGCAAATACGGAGAAAAGTTCCTGATCTGTGTCTTTTGACAAACACACAATTTTCAATTCGCTGAGCTCCTCACGTCCTTACACATATGCGGAAAGAACAGAGCACTATCAACATGACTCAAAAATAACTTTTAAGTACGAAATTAAAGATAAACTGAAAAGAATAACAAAAAGAATACCTTCTTCGCCGGGTATTCTCCGTCATTCACTCGTTCGTTATTTTATAGCGGGGAAAATTCAAGACACCGTTCTTGGAAAAAGATTTAAATCACGTTTGAATTGTCCCATAAATTTCAAATTGATTCTCTCTCTCTGACAAATGGGATAGGTATATAGTTATTGTACGTGCACGACGAATTTAAGAAGTCGTTTTGAAAATTTTCTGACCTTGGAATTTTCCAGGTTTTTGAAGTGTGAAACTTGGGAGTTTTGGAAAATAATCTTGACATTTGGAACGCAAAAAACAACATGAACATTTCCCTTTTTAAAATAAATTGGTTTATTAAGGGCGAAATGGAGTGAATTTCATTTTTCTTCGTTCTGAACGACGTCGCCAAATGTTTTTTTTTCATAAATTTATATCCAGCATTTGTAATGCATTTACTTTGCAAATTTGAAGAAGCCCCGCTCTCTGCTTGCGGATGAGCCTCGCTCAGTATGCGATGATTTGTCCCATGTTAGGGATGGCACTGAAATGATTCCTTGAAAAAAATCGCCAATCTCGAAAAACTTTCATCCGATCTCAAAATCTAATTAGCGTTTGTGAGGAGTTTTGCAATCTCGCACCTCTATTAAAATCCTCGGTCGTGGATTTCTTCTCAAAGCCGAGGGTGTTAAGAGCTCAAATAGCTTGGAATTATCGTTGTGAGCAGCGAAAGTCTGTCAATAATCCTCTAAGTAAAGCAGTTTGACTATGTTCCGTCCCTCCTCTTGAGCGAGGTCCTTTGCGCAAGTAAAAAAAAAATCCGTGTAAAAAAAATTAATGTTAGCGCGCCGCACAGAACTGTGGGAGTGAGCGCACCGAGAGAGTCTCGGATTTTCAAACAGAGGCCTGAGTCTTCAGTTTACCATCCGCCATCTCTTACGCTGGTAGGTAACTAAGTGTAACTAATACAACAGTCTTAGATTGCACATTTAGTTAAGGTTTAATAAAAATATTTAAAAGCAAGTTATAGGAAATAAATATAATTAATATTCAACTGACTTTCAATTTCTGTGTATTGTCTTAGTTATGTCAAGCTTAAATTCTTCGCGTCTTGGATTACTAATATTTGGATAATTTTTATTTGCTCATATACAAAGCACTTTTCAATTGAGTTTCGAAAGTAATCCGGGATTCCTTTGATTTTGCTTTAAATCGGTCTCTGATTGGTCTTGAAAACTTGCGCCACCACGCTCTCAACCAATCAGACGCCAAACGATACCCAACCGTGACTTGGTCGCCCGCGTTTTCCCGCGCTTTTGGTCGTGTGTCTTTTTACCTTGAGTCCTCAATAGGCTGTTGTGATTACTTCAGTTTTGGTTTTACGACAATCAATTAAAAATGCTCCAAATCAATAAAATTCCTGTTTTTGTTTTCGCATGATTATTCATCTCCTTAAAAAGGAAACGGCCCCTCAGTCTCCGCAATTAGGTTGAACACAAGATATTGTAATTTGCACGTATACTGACTAAACGTTCTTTTTTTTAAATAACTCAACGGGCACTATCTATTTTTATAAACTATAAAATAAACTGCACAATCTATTTAACCTTTTTAGCTATACGTTGTAGCGCTGTGATTGCTCCTTTGTGTAAATTATCTTTTTTTAGAACATCAAGAAAATAATGTCTGGCTTGTTTGAGTAAACCTTTGAGCTCTAGAATTCCTCCTAAGATGTACTCGGCGTTGATGTTGTACTCATCATGAGCGAGAACAAAACGGACTTCTTTTTCAGCGGAATCGAGTTCGCCCTGTCAGGTAACAGAGATTGTTTAGTCAGAAAGAGTACACTCCATTCTACACAACAAAACAACAACAATTTTTACAACAACAGTAATGAAGATTTAGCTACAACACTGAGATAAATAAGATGGCATCACAAAATATATCAGTTTCGAGTATTTCAAGTCTTAGTTTCCCTTGCATACATCGATAACTGACTACAATTTCATTCGCCTCGTAGCGCGTGTTGCTATATTAGGCTAACTCTTGTTCTGTCACCGCATGTTAGAGTTAATTTCTTTTTCCTTAACATGAAAAATTATAAGTGATGTAATTATTCCTGGATGGGACACCAGCTCTAAGCCTGGGCCTGGGTGATACTAGGTGAAGAGAGGTACTGTGAGAGAGTAAATGTCTTGCCCAAGAACACATCACAATGTCATTAGAGACCAAGCCATGGCTCGAACCCAGACCTCTCGATTAGGTGTGCGGTAACTTACCAAGTCCGTCGCCGCTTCTCCCAGTAATAAAAGATACGTTTATAAAACAAAAGAATAATTTGATAAGGGTATTTTCACAATGTGATAACGTTGCAAGAGAAGAACAACAGAGCATGCCTCGGTTCACCTTCATAAGCTGAACTTGAACGAGCAGAAGACGGCTGTTGATGTCCAGTGGATCCAATGCTAATCCTTTCCTCAGGTACTCTTCCCCCTAAAGAAAACACATAATTTCACGCATCAAATAAAACTGCTCAAATTATTCACTTGTCATTTACAATCCGTGTCAATCTTCCTCTTCCTTAAAACATCCTTGTTTCTGATCGGTTTTTTCTTACCATTTTGTTGTTTTCCTATATTGCAAAACTACCATTTTTCATTTCCTTCACATTTACAGTAGGTTGTCACATCGCGGCTAAAAGACCATTACTTGAAATACAAACGACCGACAAACAATTTCCTCACCTTTTTGATTACTTTTTCGGTTCCATTTTTTCCCTTTTTCCTCAAAAGCGGCCACAAGAGCATCTTCCCAAGCGAGAAGAAAGGTATTGGGTCTGAAGGTATTAATTTTGTTGTCTTTATATATTTCTCTTCTGCTTTCTGGACTCAAGAAAGAAAGAAATTTCTGAGTGATCACGTGATTGGATTCAAAGGTTGAAGTATGGGACGCAGGCAATGAAGAATTTTGCTTTGAAAACCAGGGTTCTCCGCAAAATCCTGCTGCAGCTTAGCAGAGGTTAATTTTCCACCATCTTCCTACCTTTCGTTTTCCAAGCTTCTCCAAAACGACTCCATGAAAGTAATGCAGTTGTGGGTTGTTGGGTCTGAGGGATAGCGCCTTCTCATACTGTGCATCCGCTTCTTTCCATCTGCTGGTCACTCTAAACAAGTGCGCCAGGTTAATGTTGCCGTCTGCACTGTTTGGTTTGATTGACAGCGCTTTAAGGTAGCATTTCTCAGCTTCTTGTGCTCTATCTGTGCCAAGATATGAGACTTGAGAGGAAACGTAGGTTGTATGTCCATGAACTGGTTCAAGATATTACACGCTAGGAACTTTTATAAAAAAAATTTTAATTGAGTGTCGAAAGCAATCTATCATCGCCCTGATTTTCCTTTTTTTCGCTCTGTGATTGGCCCAGAAAACTTGTACCACCACCTCAACCAATCAATTACAAATCCATACCAGTAACGACTTGGTTGAGCGCGTTTTCCCGCCCTTCGGGCTCTACGTGATATTCACTTGTTTCTGATTGGTCATTGAGATAACATTGGCTTTGGTTTTACCACCTTACCTGTGTTCAGGAGCACTAGACCCAGGTTCTCCCAGGCTGCAACGTAATGTGGTCTCAGACGCAAGGCCTCACGGTAATGTTTTTCACATGCCAAAAGACCCTGATGGAAAAATAATCCATTATAAAAGCCAAAATTCATATCAGAGAAATTCAGGTCTTTCTACAGTAGGAGACAAACAAGCACAAGGGGGGGGAGATTTAATCTGGCAAATTTTGTAGAAACTACATTAAGTAAATAGCAAAAACCATTCCGTAAGTTTGCAATAACAATCCACCAAAACAAAACACTAAATCTCCATACAAACCTTCTTTGCAAGAACATTTCCAAGCATAACGTGAATCTTGGCGTTAGTGGGGTTCACTTTCAGTCCAGATCGGGCCAGCGCTTCCTTGTTCAGCCATTCTGAATTGCGGTGTACTGTCTTTGCAGCGAACAACAACAGAAGGCTGTGAACTAAAACCATACCAGTGGTAGAAAGACCAAAACTCCAACTTGTACGTGAAGTTTTTTGCACTAACATCTTATCAGAGTTCTAAAAACGGAAAGGTAAGAATACTGTGGTATTAACTGTATTTTTACCGCAGTGTAACAAAAATCGTGGGTTAAAAAGAAAACGTCGAGATTCCATTTTTTTCTAGCAGAAAAGTACCTAGAGATCTTAAGCAATTTGAGCTCTAAGTTAGTGGCTGTCCCCTTCAAACTGATTTGCTGCGCGAACTGATTGCAAACACGGAATCGATCTCGTTGCCAAGGCCCTCCTTGGGAACAGAACTTGTTCTGAATAGAATCAGGGCTCACCTCATGTGTTGAGGAATCCTCTTCCACCTTAGTTTGAGTTCCAAACAAGATTGAGATTCCAAATGGAACCAAAATGCAGAGTCCCATACTGGGAATGTAAAGAATTCTCTCGGCGACAACAAACCCAACGGGCAAGAAGAGATTGGAAGCTGGTAGAAATGGTATGATCAATAAAGCCAAAGAAAACATCACAACTCGTCTTCTTTGTGGAGACTCGCACTCATCCTGCAAAAAATCAAAACAAACAAAGGGATCCAGTTGACTTCTGATTAAACTGACCAATCAGGAGACACGCACGTGCGCAAGCGGCCTCGAGATTAAATTTTCCCGCACTTTTTTAAAGCCGACAATACTTTCTGACAATTTCTACTCACCATTTTTGGTCCACAATGCTGAGACTCTGCATTCCTAAAATCATCTCTTAAATGAATATCATTTTCATTAGAATCTAGTGGCTTTGAAGAACTTTTCTTAGACTTTCTAGGTAGAGTTGACGGTATAGTTGAAGACGATATAGTTGAAGACGGTATAGAAGACGGTATAGTTGAAGACTGAAGACCTGCAAGAGAACACGGAAAATAAAACTTATTGTGTCAAGAGCGAAGAAAAACTTTCTCTCTTTGTATCTTAACTATAAATCAACACTGGGAAATAACTCAATCAATCTAGAGCTCTTAAATTATATTTGAAGACATTTTATCCGTGTTATTTTGCAAAAGAAAAAGAACTGTCAAAATGAAGCGAAACAGATTTAGCTTTCCTAAAAAATACTCTGTTCAAACAAAGTGAAATGCACGTTTCAATAACACTAGGAAGCGCATGTTGAATCTCTCTTACCATAACAGCACAAACAAACAAGTATACCACTGAACACTAGCGTTTGAATATTGCGCATGTCCCACCATGATTCAATCCGGGATATGCTGTCCATGGACCAATCATAACACAGGCTGTTCGGACACAGTAGAAGTCGCGCATTTAGCGCGCACAAATAAGAGTAAGTCCTAAATCGAGTCCATACGTCAGGATGAAACAATGTGGGATTGTCGGACTCAGTGAAGGAAAGGACAAAACCTCCAGAGATGATCACAATTCTCAAGTACAGAAGAATTACAGACGCCAAGCCGAGGATGGAAAATCTTTCGACCAATCGAACGGCCCACTTTGGCCATTGTCTGAAAGCAAAGGAAAATTAACCCTGATAAGTACAGTCTTTTGGAGCGCATATCGTTTCATTGTTGTAACAACTAACATCCAATCAGAGGAAAGGTAAATATCACAAGTGGCAAGGAGATCGCAAAGTAAACAAGAAAATTGCCAGAAGTGCGAGAAAAACGTCGCAAATGAAATCCGTTTTATATCTTACTGGATTGAAGGATGCGTATTGATACACGAAGTCATCGGTATTAAAAACCTACAAAATTGTGATTCGATTCTTACCTTAATAAAACCGCAGGCGAAGAAAATATTTTGAGTAAATGTTCCCCTTTAAACTTGCAGACAAAAACCAAATCGTAAGTAATACAAACTTCTAAAACTGTGATACCTTGTTCTTTGCTAAAGAGAGACAACACACACCAGAAGATGCACGAAGCAAGCCAAACCCTTGAATACTTAGCTGGTCTTTTACTGCTGTCCTCTGTGGTCCCATCAGGAAAACAATTTATGTACGACAACAGGGCTAAGAGGTAGAACAAGGCACAGAGGATTTCTGCACGACCCACGACATTAGCTACAGCCTCTGTATGTATCGGATGAAGAGCAAAGAGCATACCACAAAGAAGAGGAAGTGATTTAGTATTAGAACCAACGTTGCCTTTTGAAATCCTAATGCATGTATGAAAAAATAACGCCGACACAATGCTATGTAAAACCACATTGATGAAGTGGTATCCTATTGGATTGAGGCCTCCAGCGAGGAAATTCCAGCGGAATGTCAAAACTGTTATAGGACGATAAGATTTGTGAGAATCGTTTCTTTTTAACGGAATGCCCCAAAAGTCGTTTAAAAACAGATTAGAAATTGGCGTCGACGGCCTGCAAAGAAAAAAATTACTCCAGTCAGAATTAAGGTGAAAGCATATGTCAAAATGACATCTTCCAGCTAAATTAGTACATCTCACCGGTATTTTTTTCTCGTTGACACGACATGAAAGGCAATATTGTTTTTCATAATTGCAGAGAGCTTAGGGGAAATTTCACTTGAAAGATGGTTTTGAAGAGGAAGTTTGTTGACTGAATTTGTGAATCAGCTTTCGAAAGTCAGTATGACAATGTTTACGAGGTGTTTGTATTCCAAATTTCTCCCCAAAAACGACACTTTTCAATAACAAAGACGATGGCCAACGACTAAAAGTCAGTTATCGTGAAATTTAAGTCATTTCTGTGTTTTGCCGACCTCTCAATTACTTGCTTTGTTTTTTTCGCATTTTTACGCAGTTTCGTGACTTTCAGTGAACCCTCAAGCCTCTTACCGAAAGATAAACAAGAAATTCGACCTAACAGGTCATTTAGAAACCTTTGTGTCGGAAATCTATTTTTGTAATGTCAGATTAGTCAATTTAAGGCAAAATTTTCCCATCCGTTTGATCTCGGAAACAGCTCATCTGAGCTTAGTACTTCACAGCTCTATTCTGTGAGCTAAAAGCTGAATTCGACCACAGAACTTCTTGCTAAACTCTCTTCTAAAAATGAACTTTGATTAATTTCCTTTCTTACATGACAAAAATTTGCATTTCATTTTGTTATTATTAATTTTGCATGCGGTCTTTAACTCAAAGTTAAATTATGCTAAGTAGATATAGACATATTTTTATTCCGTAAGCCATGGGCAAGCAGTCGTTTCTCGTCAAGTTTGTAGACTTGCTGTTACTTGTGGAAACCTTGCATTTCCCAAAATTCTAATTTCGTCAATCCGCTCTCAATCTGATATTATGTTATACTATTGAGTGACCGCAAATTAATGGTGTCAAAAGTTGTTTGTTAGGAAACCCTTTTTACATACCCGGCAGAAGGATATCAACCTGGTTTTCTTGAATCGACTGCGCAGTATTAATTCCATAATAAAAAATTTACAACTAAATGAATCCTCTTTATCACAAAAGAATCTGGTTTAGTAAACACGGTGGGATTATCGAAAAGAATGGCTCAGTTAAGACGGTGGGAAAGTGCGCCTGGAGGCGAAATTAATTTAAGCCGTATGATACAAAGCTATGTTTTTTGTCGGTTCAGCTTTTAACACCATCAAAAGTTTTCCCCGCACGAGAAGCTAGGTTTTTCTTTAACCACTTTTTACCCAGTTAGAAATGTGCCTTTATCTCGGAAGGTAAAGTTATCACTTTTGATAAACAACGAGATTAAAATTGCAGGCAAACTCTTACCTAACATCTGCGTTCGTCTCGATGACTTCGAAGTCATCATAAACAAACTCGCCGAATAAGGAGTTCAAGTAACACGCAATTGCCGCGATTGCTACCAAAATGTATGGTTTTAAAGCACTGGTGTCATTCGATGAATCCTCTGTAGCTGTTCTCCCGTATCTCCTGTTTAAATTCTGTTCACGCGCCATTCTCTTGTCTGTATTTATCACCTGGCTACACAAAAACAATTCCGAAGGAGGCAGTCCTGCTCGCAGATGTATTTTTGATACGTCACGCAACGCAGGAAAATTACGTGACAACAAAAAATCGGCTTCGAGACTGGGACGTGCAGCATTTGGCGTTCGATAAAGATTTTGATAATTGAATTATCGGCATTTCACAGAAATGGAACAATAAAAAATATGATTATCATAATTTATATGGATGTAAAAGATATAGAAGATGCGAAATATGTCGAACAAAACTTTTATATGGAGTTCTGGAAAATCATTAACCAGCAAAATACAAAGACTGAGAAGGTTTACAAATCACATTACATTATTAGATAACTAAACTAGAAAATATAAATGCATTCACACAAACTGTTTCCTAAAACCAACTTAATCCTTTCGGTCTCTATATCTCATTAGTAATTCTTGCTACTGTCTGCCATACAATTATGATGATGTTGGTTTGGAGAATTTAGAATTGGATGACAAATGATCCAACAATTGATATTTTTCTTTATTCTCATCACTTGCCCACTTTAAGTTGTTCTGATATCGTAAGGAGAAATTCTGTCTTGGTCACTCCTGCAAATTCAAGGGTTAAGCTCAATAATTGTCATTTTTTTGTTAAGTCACTTCTCAGATTTTTTCAGGCAAACTCTATCCAAGGGTTTTTAGCAGGAATTCTTGAAAACTTTCTGAAAAGACCCTTCCTTTATTTCATATTTCATTTCAGTGTCGTAGTCTTCTTTAACCCTTTAACTCCCAAGATCTGTTTGCTAATCCTCCCCTTTATCTGCCTTACATTTCCTTTCAACTTAGTTACAAGAATTAGGTCTTAGATCAAGACAACTACTTCTACCTGATAAGTTTGAGTATTCTCAATACCTCTATGTTGGATAATGTATGGATAATATAGAGAGAACTTACATGTTGATCACTTCTGAGAGTTAAAGAGTTAGGCTCAAGTGGAGAGACCTCTTACCTCTTAATTTTATTTTCATGCCACACTGTTCCCTGTTTTGCAATGTTCTAAAGTGGACAGAAGATGGACAATTCAATCTTTTTTTTGTCCAATACATTTTTTGTAAGCTTATATACTAGAAAAAGCTTAAAAACATTAAACCCTGATTTGCCAAATGTATTAATTAGTACAATATTTGGGAGTAACACTTCTTTAATCAACCAAGATTTCCAAGCCAAAGAAACAATAGGTATTTGTAATTGGCGGCTGGCTGAAAATTGATTATAAAAGCTTGTAATATTCTCAAGAGACACTTGCTATATCTTCCTGCAAATATTTCCTCCTGATATCTAAAGCTTGATTAAAGAGATTCATGTCCATTCCATCTATACAAGTAGCAATTCTTGCTCGTAAAATAATGTTTTCGCTGACATAAATTTCTCCTATAAATTGATACAAAGATCCTCTGTTAAAAGCCGTTGGTTCCACAAATGAAGTATCGATGATCAGTTCAATGCCTTCATCGCACACTTTTAGTTGACTTCTTGCGATGTTATGTGTCAGTGCCCTGTAAGTTAATACAGAAATATGTCACTTAACAAGTCCAAATAATTGAGATCCATATATAAGGAAGAGTTCTAAATACCCACCCCTCCCTCCCACTTCCAGCCGTTCGTCTCCCTCACGGAAACTTCAGCTATTTGTAATTTGCTAACTCTGTTTACAAACAGAAACTTAAGGAGGAAATTCAAATGCATTTCCAAAAACTATTTGCCGGAAAAGTTTCGATAGAAATTTATAAGACCAAAATTTGTGTACGAAAACTTTACTGTAGCAGTGGAAACGAACATGAAGCAAGCACGGCAGATTTGCATTTTCATACTCCTTGTTTTTAGGAACGGAAATCAAAGGAATAAGAATAGAGACTCTGCTAAAATTACCTTCCCCATGTCCTCACAGATTTACCATCCAAACTTGCTCCCAGGTGAATCAACTCTTTAATGCGAAGTATTTGTCCACTCGAAATGCCCGCCATATTTGTCTTTTTGCAGCATGTGATAAACTGGAGAGTAGACAGGTGGGGGGAGTGGGTCTCACTGCCGGTGACTAAAGGCACATTCGGCACAGGTCCCCTTTAAAAAGGGTGCGTGACAATGTTCGAAATATATTTGCCGAGCAAGTAGCCCAGGTTTTTAAAGAAATGATTCTATGCTGAATATCGAATAGTATTTTGGCGGCTGATTTCGAGAGACAGAACAACACGAAGTATGATCGTCTAGCCACGGGTGAAACACGAGTACAAATACACACCCACAGAAGTTGTCTCCGCGTGACCTTGATCAAAATACACGCTTAAAAGACGCCTAACTCTTCAATTAATTAAGATAAACTGACAATTCTGCACGTATTCAAACCAACTAGATCCAAATTAAGTAAATAAGCCGGCTTTGGGTTTTCATTTGGAGAAGAAATTTCCGCCTGTTTGATCAAGTCCAACTCTTCCTAACCCCACTCCTACTGGAAATAGTTTTTGGTCCATATTGAATGCCTTTCACATTTTATACTGTCTGGTACCTGCGACTGAATCTTCAAGGTTTATGGTCGACAGAAAATTGAAACTTTCACAGTATATAGTTTTTTTCCTCGTAGGTGTCTTCACAGAAATTCAAGGTATGTGGTGTTTGATCCTTAGGAAATTAATACGAGGCTTTGTTTATATTTTGTTCTATCTTATTTCGACATGTTTAACCACGACCGGTTGATCTGATTATGACGTTCTCGTTGATTTTCGAAGATGGAGAAACTGCTACAGGGTGTTTTAAAATTCAAAAGTCTTGTGCGACCTTCTCTGCTGTCACAACTAGAAAAACTCGCTCATAAAGCCCAGGTATGTTTACTTCAGCCAGGTTTTTCTGTAATATATGCAGTCTAACGAAAGATCGTGACGGTTAACACGTTCGATTACAGATTTTGATTAATTTCCATTTTTTTACCTGTTACTCACTCTCTTTCAGCCACGCATGCTTCTTATAACCTGTATGGACAGCCGTTTGTGTCCAACCAGTTTTACTCAAGCAGATCCTGGTGATATGTTTATTATGAGAAATGCAGGCAATGTTGTGCCACACAATCAGCTGTTTGGAGAAAACCAACAAAGTCCACTGTCAGAAAGAGCAGCTTTGGAGTTAGCAATTTCCACTGGAGTCAAAGACATAGCAGTTTGTGGACATTCAGACTGTAAGGTAGCTACACAAAACAATTTATGACCCACACCCATCTTAGAAGTGTTTTGGGAAATTCCATTGGGAAGGTGTGGGTATCAATTTTAAAGAAAAATCTAGAAAGGCCAGTATAAGCTCATACCCAGTCTCTAGCCATGGGTGTATTGGTGTACCCATGATCCTCTAGATTCTCCTTTTTGAGGATGCTTCAAAACACTAACAGCTGGAGACTGAACCTGGTGTTGGTCAAAACTGGATTTGTCAAGGGCAGGGACAGTTTAAGTGCCAATATACCCCCTGTGGGAGGGATGAAGAAAATTTTTGGGACGAAAAAGTTGGAAATATATTTGAATCTTCAACTGTCTGTTCAGCATCATTGAAAAGTATTTTACATTCTCTATATTGTAGGCAATGGACTGCCTTTATCACATGCATGACACCACAGACAAAGAGAAGCAAGATTCTGAAACTTCTTGGGTATCAAGTTGGCTCAGACGGTATGCACAGTCATCACTAACAAAGTTTGAAAAGCTTGGGGTTCCTATAGATGGCAGTTCCGAGGAGAAAGATAACTTAGAGATTATGTTTGATAAAGAAAGGGATCTATCCGATGTCGATAAGCTTTCACAGGTACCTGTGTTATTTTTTTGTCACCTCTATGTGTACCAGTCATTCACTTGATCTCAGTCAGATAGTCATTGGGTCGGTTAGTTTGGTCTGTCAGTTAATTGGCCAGATGGTAGTTGATTGGTCAGTCGGTGTGACATTCATTCAGTCAATTTACTTATCAGTCAATCTCTCTGTCAGTCTGTCAGTCAGTTAGCTAGTCAGTGAATCTGTTCTCAATCAGTCAGCCAGACTACTAGTTTGCTAATCTGCAATGTGTCTGTTCATCCTTTGTCCATCAGTCAATCTAACTCTCTTTCTGGCTGTTAGCCTACAAGACCACCAGTCCATCAGTTTGTAAGTCAGTCACACAATCAGTCAGTTAGTCAGACAATTAGTCAGTCAGTCAGACAATAAGTCAGTCGGTCAGACAATCCGTCAGTCAGTCATACAATCAGTCAGTCAGAGTTAGACAATTAGTCAGTTAGGTGTTCATTTAGTCAGTCTGGCTAGCAGTGAATAGTGAGTCAGTCAGTGAGTAGTGAATCATTGTCAAGTCAGTCAGTATACGAGTAAGTCAGTCAATCAATTAGTCATTTCAGTAAATCAGTTGATCAGTCAACCATTTATTTCTATTAATTCCTTTTCTTTGTATAATAGGTAAACGTTCTTCAACAAATGCAGAATATTAGATCATACGGATTTGTACGCAATAAACTTGATGAAGGTTCAGTTCAGCTTTATGGTCTTTGGTTCAACATTGGCGAAGGTGAAATGCTCTTGTATTCAAAGACTCGCAAGAGATTTGTTGTCATAAATAAAGAAACTGGATTATCGAGTTAGTAAAGAAGAATTTTTAGGTTTGACTGATACAGGAAGTTTTTAAATTATGACATTAATGTTATTTTGGATGCTAATATGATTAAGATTTCTGTTGGGAGATGGGCCCAATGAAATTTTTGTCAATTTTCATAGGAGTGAAAATTAACTTGGTTCTATGAAAAATTTATGATTTTAAGTCTGAACAGAAGAGTAGTCAGGTACACCACCTAGAATTGCAAAATAACTTAGGCTCTAGGGTTGTGATGTGAATAAAGGGGGGGGGAAGGGATTGTTGGTTCTTCTTCCAGTGCTTTAAGGAGTGTAACAGCTTCCAATATGTCAAGTGGTCATGTTAGGGCTGTTTTTTTTTTTTTTTTTTTTTTGCTACCCATTCTATCAGAACTTAAAGCCGTTATTTAAACGAAATCAGTAAGATTTCTTCACTATTTATAAACTTAGCCATTGATTAATAAATCATAAAGAGGTATACAGATGTGTGTTCAATTTGACTTAGTCTGAAAGAGGAAATTTTTCCTGCATGTTCAAAAATCAGAGAGACTAAAGGACAAATGTAAGGCCGCCGTGTTCAGTTTGAAAAGTTGTTTGTCTTGACCAATTCCGGTCTCTAAAAATCCTGGTGGAGATTCTAAACTGTTCTCCTTTTTCATTCTCTTTACGATAAACTTGAGTAGCGTGCAAGGATGGCCTCAGACCACACGCGAGGGCCTTTTGAATAAGTGCGCGACAGCTATGGTTACCGCGCGAGTATTGTGTGCGAAAGCAATCTGTAGATTCATAGAGAACGAACAATTGCGACAAGACTTTCAGCTGTATTCTATAATTTCCGTGTTAAGTTTTGCGATTGTAATAGTGTTTCTAAAGACGTGGAGCAGACCACGACGGCGAGAGTAACGAGGACGCGGCGAATCAAAAGTTTCCTTGAGAAGAAAGTTCGGCTCGTGCGTTTTATGACTTTGGCCGTTCTGTACAAACAACAACGTGAAGTCACCAAAATTTGCGTGTTTCGAGAACCGAAACCTGACGGCAAATTATTGATTTTCCATTCGAAGCTTAAAACTGTTTACATACATTATGCTGAATTTGGGATGCGGTGCCGTTAGAGACGTAAACAAATCGAACCATTCACGGAATTTAAGCTAAAAATTAAAATTTTTCATTGAAGTCTTCCCCGGCGTGTCCTGACAGCTTACGGTCCCAAACGTGTCCCTCATGTGTTTGGTGCATAAAAGTTTACATGTATTTATATCACGTCCCATGTTGTTTTCATTGTCACAAAGGTGTCACGCCTCCCTACACGTGTGAAAAACGATGTTGTCGACAACGGTCACGGCCTCAGCAGCTTGAAGTGCTTTGCGCTCGAATGTAAGAAAAAAATTCATATTCTTCTGATCGCTATCCACCTGCCTTCCACCATCGTCCAGTATAAGTCTACATCAAACATGGCTGGTCGGATAAACTAGCACGAGCTTGTAACGTTTAACAACTTGCCCTCTTAAGACGCCGGCAACACATGCCAATACTATTTTGGCGAATAATCCCACCCTCCCCCCCCCTTACTGTTCTCGTCCGTCTTCATAAGCACGTGAAGGAAGCAGATATCGTTTACTAGGATCGTGATTAACATGCGAGCATAACTTCATCAACATGGATTGCGTCACGCTTGAGACACAGTGAAACAAGCTGAATTTTTAAAAAATGTCGGGAAACGTTGAGCATAGAAATAACAAGATAGCAAACTTTAAAGAAGCTTTCCCTATCGTTCATCCTAAAACTGAGATTCGCAAAGATGGTGGCTGGAGTTGGATCGTCTGTATATCTGCGGCTCTTGTACAATTTGTGGTGCTGGGAATCCACAACAGCTTTGGCATTCTGTACATCGTATTCTTGAAGGAGTATGGCTGGAGTAAGGCACTCACAGGTACGGAAATTTCCTTTCGTTCATATAACATCGTTTCTATTTGGCTCGTTCTTGTGCAAATCTGCGATTTATCACGTAAATTACGTTTATTATAAAGCCTGTCTCGATTACATTTAAAGGTGTCGTCTAAATAAAATACAACCATGTTTGTTATGACACAAAAAAGCGTAACAAGCTAATATGTTGATGTATTTTCACATGCGTTTGGTATTTTCCGCTCTCCTTGCGGAAATAATTGTCAACACTGTAACGAAGTCATGAGAGGCTAACAACTGTCTGTAAGTGTGTTTATTCATAATACTACATCGCCGGAACTTGTTTAAGATTAAATCGCGCTGAGATCACTTGAACTGGCAATCGCATGTCGAGGGAATCATATCACGAGATTAGCGCTCACTCACGCTCGAAACGTCAGCTTTTTAACTCTTTACGATGGCCAATTTACGTTATCAATTCAGTTTATAATGCTAAATTATCTTGGTACACTCTCCCACCGACGCAGCACCGTAGTTTCTTTAGAAACTTACCCTATTTTTTCATGGATACCGTATTTACTCGTGTATAGGTCGACCTTTATGACCAAAAAGTCAGCCCAAAAAAATCACCCTCGACTTATGCACGAGTCATAAACAAAGACCTGACCCAAGCAATCCAAGAAATTAGCATAACAATTACCTGAAGTCCGTTTGGAAAACCGAGTTTATAAAACTAGTTCTAAAACCAGTTCGAGTTTCGTCAATTTTCAGCGCATTCTTCGTCAACAAAAAAGTTTGAAATAAGAAATTTGAAGTGGCTGAACACAAAGTTACTGGAGCTGATCTCTATTGTGTCTTCGGACTGTAGGGCACACATTTTTGCTAGTAGCTTCCCTGTTGTTTACAGTGTTGAACTTTCGTCTTTATCGAACGATCTCAGTAGCTTAGTGACCTGACAATTATTGTTGTCTCGCGCGGTCTTGTTTGATACGCGCTATCCTCTGAAGCTCTCCGGTGTCCCTTCGGTCTACTTAATCTCCTTTCAGACTCAAAATTAAGATAAAGGTTAGTTAAATGCAAGAAGATTTGATTTTCAATGTGATTTACAAAATATGGTACGATACTTCTCTAGTAAATCGAAGTGCTCGTGTATGCTTAAATCGTGATGATGTAAACCGTGCTAATAAACTTCAAAGCACACGGTTACATTGTGTTCTGCAGTTTTTTTAATTCCCCGTGTTTTCAGTAAAATCTCAGAAATAAGAGATTATCTTTCTGGGAAATTCCTATCTGTCTGAATTTTACTTTTTTGACCAGAAATGATGAAAAAATCCGATTTTTGACCTTGAAAACGGGGGATGGACTTATATGCGAGTTCGACTTATACACTAGTGAAAACGGTAATTCAGTTTTATACAGACACTATGGGACTCTCCTGCATTCGAAAATATTGTGTCTCCTCAAATTAGCCACAGTGAATCAAAAATTAAAGTCCGAGTTTGACTGATGCAGCCAGAGAAACACCTTTCTTCGCTTTCTCGACCCGCAACCCGTCATGTACATTTAGATTCCCCAGAGAAGGCAGAGCCCCCATTTTCCTAAAGCATACAAAGCATTAGTAGGTGCCTGTGCGATGTTTCATCATGAAGGTTCCTATGATATTGTTGTCCCGAAAAAAAGAGAGATAGTTTTGGTGTTGCTTTACGATTCGTTTTTGTAGTTTACGTCTGCTACTGTATTATTCGAGTTTGACCTCATGGCACTGATTAAATTCTTATCTACGACACAAAAAGAAAAGAAAAGTGGTCTTAAAAGAACAGGTGACTTGTCAGTGCTGCAGGGATTTCGATGAACTTGGGAAGACTGGTACTTTGCTGACTTCCGTTCAGAATGATGTAGACATTAAGCTAAAACCATAAACCATAAATCTGTTGACCCCCGCCGTAACAAGCTACAACAGAGATGTTTTCAGTTCAATTTGGTTTTCCCTGTGTAAACACGAAACTGGGGGAAAGTCTATGTTCGAGTGGTGTGCCCGCTTATCCTACACTGACCTATTATCACCGAGAAAATGTTAACATGGATATATTTACTTTTGGAGTGTTTTGACTACCCTTTGATATCGACCTACAAAGTTCGAAAATCAATGGCGCTGTTGCCCGGCTGTGGCTCGTTTGAAAACCTTTCGTTTTCACAAAATCGACTCAGATTTAAATTAGCGTATTTGTGTAACTGAAACTGGTTTGGGCAGACAAACAAAACATGATACAGAAAGCAAAGGTTAATAACTTAGGGATTGGAGTCTGTTAGTTCTCAACTCAACTGGTCGCTTCCGTGAAACAAGCTGAATATTTAAAATGTCGGACAACGGTATCCTTACAAATAAGAACAAAAAAACCTGAAAGAGGCTGTCCCTATCGTTCATCGCAACATTGAGATTTGCAAAGATGGTGGGTGGGGGTAGATCGTCTGTATATCTGCAATTTTTGGTGCTGGGAATCCACAATAGTTTTGGCATTCATTACATTGTGTTTTTGAGGGAGTAAGGCTGGAGTAAAGTACTCGCAGGTGCGAAACATAAGATTATTTTCCTTTTCACTCGCACAACACATGACAACTTTTCAATTTCGCCGGTAACTTTACAGCTTCCCGACTGCTGGAACGCGATCCAGCAGTGTTAAGACACAAATAGGATATAATTTGCAACAGGTAATCGAGAAAAAAAAAGAGTAGTATTGCGCATGCGTCCCATGTCTCACTCGTGCGGCCTCTCGTGCGTGGTCACGTGAAGCGTGTACCTTGCGAGGTAAAAAAGAACTCACGTGTTCTTCGAGTGCCCTGAATGGAGGTCACCCAAAAGTAATATTCCTCTTAACTTAACTCAGTAAATCACAACAAGAGATTGTAAACAGTTCATAATCTCTTGAGCACAATTACCATCAGACTTAACTAATTAACTATACAAATACATGTAATCTCTACATCTTATTTCTTTTTATTTTTATTCTTTATTAGCTTTTATCATATATAGTCCTAAATTTTTTTCAGCTGGGCAAACACTTATGTCATGGGCACGGGGAGACCACTTCCTGTGTATGTGATGTTAAATAAATTATTCTATCCTCAATTTATTTTCTGTAGTCTTCGGTTAACTTTGTAACTAGCTGTTTTCCATAAGCCACGTGTCTCAAGATCTAGATGTACAGTTAATTCCCTCTAAATCTTACTGTCTTTTCTTTTTTTCCGCAGGTTACATAGGTTCAATGGGACTGGGTATGAACTTCTTCTTTGGGCCATTAACCAGCACACTTTGTGATCGATTTGGTTGTAAAATCGTGGCCATTGCTGGCGGAATCGTTTCAGTTATTGCTATGGTTGCGACGTCATTTGTCAGTAGCCCCGTTCCCATTTATATCACCTACAGTGTTACGTGGGGACTGGGGTCGAGCATGAGTTACGTGCCAACATTCCTCATTTTAGACAGATACTTTGAACATCGGAAATCCTTGGCACATGGGATCGTTACTGCAGGGAGCGCAATCGGTGCTCTAGTTATCGGCCCGACAATCAACGTACTCGTAGAAAGTGTTGGGTGGCGACATACTATGAGAGTCCTAGGGGCGTTCGCTTGCGTGATGATTGTCGCAGCCTTCTCTTACAGAGCGCCTCCTGTGAAGAGCAAGATGTATAAAGGCGAGAAAAAAGTCATTGATTTAGCTGTGTGGAAAAACAAGGGTTTTGTTGTATGGGCACTGGCACTTGGTATATTCAACTTAGGATACTTTATACCTTTCGTATATTTGGTGAGTTGACTATTCTCTCTCCTTGTCTCGTTTTTTTTTCTTTGCTTGAACGTTTAAAAATTTAGCAGGGGTGGGGTGGGGGAGGGGGTTGTGAGGCAGTTAAAAGCTGACCTCCTTTGCTCAAAATGCGCAAGTTGAGCCCAATACCTGGGAAAATACGGCAATTACTGAACCAGGAACGTTTGGTTTTCATTTGATGGCATTACGTTGGTCCTCACGCAGAGCTGTTAGAGAGCTGCTACTTTTCGGTCACAATGCGCTTTAAAGAAGATATAAGTGTTATTGGGTGGGTAGATGTGCGAGTGGAAGCCTCGCTAACAGGCTTAAATAAATCTTAATTGAGCGAGAGGTTGTGAACATTTTATTGGGGATAACGTGTTGTCACGGGAAACGGCAAAGGCGCAGCTCAAGGGTTTTATACGAGACGTTTGCTCTACTGTTTCATTACCCGTCTCTTTTGCCCTAAAATGTTTTTTTAAAATCATTTAAAATAGCAAATTGCAGCAAAGAAAACCTCACTGAAATGTTTAATATTATTTTTTCTCGACTCACAGCCTACACACGCGACTTATCATGAGATACCACAATCAAAGGCTTCCTTCCTCATTGGTTTCCTTTCGGTTGGCTCGTTGGCTGGTCGGCTTCTCTTCGGCCATGTCTCGGATTACCGATGTGTCAATCGAATGAACCTATACCAATCTGCATTTCTGATAATGGCTGTCACGACAACGCTGTGTCCATTGGCCACAAATTATGGCAGACTTGTCCTTTTTACAATTTTATTTGGGATTTTTGACGGGGTGGTTGTGACTTTGACTCCGGTTATCACGGGAGATATCGTCGGTAGCAACAAGCTATCGTCAGCTCTCGGTTTTCTTTATTTGGTTTTCTCGATACCTCTAATGACAGGCTCACTTATAGCAGGTACGTTTCTCCTATAAAACGTTTACATGTCTTGGTTCGATGCACAGGGCACCCAGTGTGCAAATTTCATTCTGTTAATTTGTGGGCTTTTAATTTTCAACAATAAGGACAGTTTGAAAGTGATGCCATCACACCAAAACCTCAGTCCATTCTTCGAAGAAAAGGTTAAAGCTTCACTAGACATTTCAATTGATGACCTACATGAATAGGATTAGAATTCCAACCGTCGATAAATGCTCTGTCCTTGGACGCGCCTAGAATCGTAAAACGTTTGCCCATGGAAGGCTTAGTGTGGATTGTAAAATGGCTTGTTACCCCTTTATGTGAGAAAAATTTTCATAAATAAAATTTTCAGGTAAAAATAGTTTGCTTTTTGATTAAACAAAAAGTAATGACAGTCGTCAGCGATACTTGTCAAAGGCCTGGCTGGAGTAATTCCGTGATAAATAATTTACGCTACTTTTAGCTTTTATTTTAAACTCTTTCATGTCTTTCATGGAAAATCTTGCAAGTTTATGTTTTTGATTTATTTTTATTTTTCTAGGCTTTCTTAGTGAGATCACAAGTACATACAACGAAGCCTTTTTCTTCTCGGGCGGCATGATAGCTGTGTGCGCATGCATCCTGTCACTAGTCCCAGTTTTAACTCCGATGAGACAACATGGAGTTACGGAGATTAAAATAAGGTCAAACAGCTTCCGGGAGAAGAAGGAAATACCACTATTTGTTGAAACACATGTTTTTTTAGAAGGAGATCCATCTCAAATTGCGTACTACTCGCAGTTTTTAGAGAGAGAGACAGATGTCTGAAAAATTAGTCAAAGACAGCGTTAAGATTAAGATGTGTTCGTTTTGTCATGAAGATGTTTGCTTTTTTCGCGATGTTCAAAGTGTTGACAAAATATAGTCCACGAGGATTCTCGCCTATTTACATGTATGTTTACCTATACTCAAGTTGTAAATTTTCAAAATTTTTTCACGACAATGTTTTCTTCAAAAACAGACAATGATTGAACGGAAAGTATTATTCACTCTCATCGACGATTAATTCATGTACGAAGATTACCTCTGTTCATTTTTTAAGTAAACGGCGAGGAAAGTAATTGTAAGTAAATTCAAATTTTTTTTATTTTGAAGTTGTGAGAGTTTGCTCGTTTGTTTGCTGCAATGGCGTGTGTAAATCTGGTCTTCCCTCCACGAAAACTAAATTTGAATGATACACTCCAACGAGACATAAGGGGATTTAATGCGGCCTTTTCTCATTGAATTCCTTCAGTTTCTGTTGTCCAATTTACGGTACAAACGTCCAAATTGAACGGACTTGGAAAGACTCATCGAGAGCGTATATTTGTTGTAGACCTGAAATTAAAACCTAGCTCGTCGTTTCACTACGAACAAATTGTTAGAGAAAATTCAGATATTAAATGAATGAAAGTTCCATCGATTGGTTCAACTGTAATCAAATACCTCAAGTTTTAACTTCCCTTGGTCCTTTTTGTGAACGATTAAAATTAATTGCAGACAGTTTTTAGGCCGCTTGTCAACCAACGTAATGACACTAATGTTTATACAAATTCATTTTGAAACCAATATTTTTCTGTCAACCAAAGTGATTTGAGAGGGAGAAAAGAGAGGATTAATAAGTTGTTTATCGGCTTGAGGTAGTGACCGACGTCTTTGCTTAAAAATATTACCCAGCCGGAAAAACGAGATATATATATCTATGTAAAATGGTAACGAAAGTAAAGATGTACTCGGCGACTCACGAAAGCGTTATAGTTGCCCGTGAGCAGAGACAGGAAAATACTGACCTGGTAAAGAACCAATCAGATTGTAGGATTCGTTATCGTGCCCTCTGGAAAAAAAAATCCCTTTATAACACCGCATTCTATGTGATAATGATTTATATTACCTCACCTGTTGTTTTTATTGTTATAAAGGTGTCACGCCTTACTTCACGTGTGAAAAATGATTTTATCGAAAACCGTCACGGCCTGAGCAGCTTGGAGAGCTTTGCGCTCGACTTTAAAAAGAAATTCATATTCTTCTTATCGCCATTCACCCGCCCCCTCCCCCCACCGTCCAGTATGACTCTATATCAAACATGACCTATCGGATAAACTAGCACGAGCTTGTAGCGTTTAATAACTCGCCCTCTTAAGAGGCCGGCAACACATGCCAATACTACCCTCCCCCCCACCCCTTACTGTTCTCGTCCACTGGTAATTTCCTCTTCATAAGCACGTGAAGGAAGCAGATATCGTTTATTTGGATCGTGATCAACATGCGAGCATAACTTCATCAACATATAGTGCGTCACGCTTGAGACGCAGTGAAACGAGCTGAATTTAAAAAAAATGTCGGGGATCGTTGACCATAAAAATGAGAACAAAGGAAACTCTAAAGAAGCTGTCCCTATCGTTCATCGTAAAACTGAGATTTGCAAAGATAGTGGCTGGAGTTGGATCGTCTGTATATCTGCGGCTCTTGTACAATTTGTGGTGCTGGGAATCCATAACAGCTTTGACATTCTGTCATTGTGTTCTTGAGAGAGTAGGGCTGGGCTAAGGCACTCACAGGTACGAAATTTTCCTTCGTTCTTATAACATATCGTTTCTATATTTGGCTTGTTATTATGCAAATCTGCGATTTGTCACGTAAATCACGTTTATTATAAAGCTTGTCTTGATTACAGTTAAAGGTGCCGTCTAAATAAAATACAACCATGTTTGTTATGACACAAAAGGGCTTATGTCCTTAATATAATATTTTTTTCCTTTTCACTTTTACATGTCCACCTTTATAACAACTTTATAACAACTTTATTTATGGAAGGTAACACACAACAGCAATTCAACTGATGAAGTAGTGGCCTTCGATCCTAAAAGTACCATGATTAGAATTAAAATGTATTCGAGGATTATAAAACTGGTCAACTGGTCTATAAGCGAGCTAAAAACTAGATAAAATAAAATATGCCGCTTGGGTCGGGTTAAATCGCATTCGGACTGAAATGTTCTACTTTATCGTCGCTCGTTAAAAAATGTCTGTGCTAGGCCTTTCTGAAAGAAGTAACCGTTGTCGCCTCTTTTTTTAGGTTAGTTGGTAGTTGGTTCCACAGCCTTGTCGCAGATACGCTAAAGGTCCTCCCTCCCTCGGTTTCGCGATTGAAACGAGGGCAGGCGAGATTTAATTTGCTATAACGACCAGTTCGTGTGTGTAGGTCTGCATTAAATTTGAGTAGATGGTACATATAAGCAGGACAGCTTCCTTGTAAACGCTTAAAGACTAAAGTACTCTTATTTTACTTAACTTCTTCATAAAAAGGGAGCCACGCCAACTAAAATGAGGTCAAACAGCTTCCAGGAGAAGAAGGAAATACTACTTTTTATTGATACACATGTTTTTTTAGACGGAGATCCATCTCAAATTGCGTACTACTCGCAGTTTTTAGAGAGAAAGACAGATGTCTGAAAAAATTAGTCAAAGACAGCGCTAAGATTAAGATGTGTTCGTTTTGTCATGAAGAGGCCAGATGTTTGCTTTTTTCGCGGTTTTCAAAGTGTTGACAAGATATAGTCGACGAGGATTCTCGCTTTTTTTTATATATCTATGCTTACCTCTACATACTCAAATTGTAAATGTTCGAAAACAAAATTATGTACCTCTGAATGTAGACAATTTATTTATGATGACACAAGATCATGGACGTCAAGTACAGGTCGAAAGAAGCCTTATAGAATGATAAAGCTTCGTCAGAAAGGAAAGAAAAAAAAGAAGAAAAAATTGACTAAATTTAGCTGAAAAAGAGATACTAATCCATTACAGCTTGAGTAGCACTCCTTCCCGTTTACTTTTTGCTGAGACAATTCTAGTCCTAGGCCCTCGCCGTTAACTGTAATATCGCGAGGTTCCCAAGCTAACGTCTTGTTGTAGTCAACAGGCGTCTACAAGATTTCTATCAACGAGAATCCCTTCAAAATGTCTACCAACATAGATAGATCTCTAGGTGAGTAAATCAGGATGTTTTACTGGCATAATCTGAATATTTAAGCTTTTTTCTCCTGGAACTAGTAAAAATTACCCACGAGATGTTTCATTCTCGCTGTGATGGATTTAGATAGCTTTGTTTGCGATCGTGAACAACCTACCTCGTAGCTTGCATTCATGCACTGTTTATTGATTTAGGAAAAGGTTTAGGAAAGCATTTGAATTGATGGAGCATAGATCGAAACCTTTCTTGCCCAGTTGATTTGATCCGTCGCTTTTTCAGAACATGTGGTATCAATCATCGAAAAGATTAAGTTAGTAACGGTGACAAAAATTTTGCGATTGATCTTAGATCTTTTTCTTGCTAACCTGATCGATTTTAATAGTATGTTCTGTAAAGATAATGCAGAGTATTTTTTTGCGCGGATTTGAAAGAATGGATTAAGTCTCGAAGGGTAAATTGAAGCTTTATCTTTGTAGCGTTTGATTGTATTAACGGTTGCAATCTGTTCAAAGGTTGAATGGGATAATTTATTAATTGTGTTTACATTATATTTACGGTTTTTACTATCAAAGAAATACTAGAGACTTTTTTTTAACCCTTGAACTCCAATGAATGACCAAGACAGACCTTCTCCTAACAATATCTTTACAATATCAAGCAGAAAATTTATGAGAATAACAAAAAAAGGAATTATAGGATTATCACTTGATCCAAATTCTCCAAACTAAAATCATAAGAATTGTATGGTAGACAGTAAGGAGAATTGCTGATGAGATCTTGGGAAATTGAAAGGTTTAAAATGTAGCCTCTTTATAAATAAATATTTTCAGTGAAAAAGGGGAGACCCAGATATTGCTTTGAGTTGAATTTCTTGGCTCTATTTTTCAAAGATGACATTATCAAAGACCAGAAAAAGCTAAAAAAGAAAGCTTTGAAAAAGAAGACACAGCAAACACAGAAAAAAGGAACACAGCAGCAGCTCAAGACTAAACAGGGTAACAAGGGAACCTCCATTAAACAAAATCAGAGAAGAAGAATAGCTGGAAAAAATGCTGGTCAGTCTGCACAACAGAGACAGGGAGCCCAGGGTCGAAACAGGCCAGCAACCAGGAAGCAAAAGGGTCAGGTGGCTCAGCAAAGACAAGGCAGTGGTAATCAGAGCTACAAGAAAAACCAAAATTTACAAAACAAAGGAAGAACTCGGGGAGCTAAAGTGGCTGCAAATAGACTTAAAAACAAGCAGAGTATGGCACAGAAGGTACATCTTTTTTTCTTCTTTTGCTCAATGGTTGATTTGTTGTGCATTAAAGAGAACCTTGCAGTTTCTTAGACAGTCTGCTAGCTAACAAGCTGACATGAAAAAATTTGTTAACTTAGCCTCCTCATTTCACCATTCCACAGCACAATTTTAATATCTAATAAATAACTCTAATCAATATTGTAATCAAAGAATTGTTGTTGATTTGATTTAACACAATTAACACCCAGGATCTGATTGTGAACGCTTTCCTTTAGCTGCTACACATCTCCTAGTAAATTAGTGATCAGAATTTGGTGTTGGATCAAGATAACAACTTCTACCTGAGAAGTTTAAAAATTCTCATTACCTGTTTGCTGGATAATGTATAGATATAGAAAGAAGTTACATGTTGATCAATTCTGGGAGTTAGAGGGTTAACCCTTTCACTCCTACATGTGACCAAGACAGAATTTCTCCTTTCGATGTCAATACAATATCAAGCAGGCAGGTGATGAGAATAGAGAAGAATATCAATCATGGGATTATTAGTTGATCCAATACCAAATTCTCCGAACTAACATCATAAGAATTGTATGGCAGATAGTAAGGAGAATTACTAATTAGATCTTGGGATTGAAAGGGTTAATCTCATTCAATGATGTTGGGTGAATAAAAACTTGTTATGCTCGGCACTCTTCGCAATAGCCTAGTTTCCATGCTGAGGAAAGTAGGCAGGGTATAAAATCTAAATTTTATCTTTTTGTTAATGGGTGTGTGTTTGAATTGTGTCATTTGAGTCTTAAGTGAAGAATTTGTAAGTGCTGGTTGATGATCTGGACCTAAAAGGCAGCTGTGATGCCATTTGTAACCTCTTTTACGTTAACTACTGACTTAGAAAGAAAATAAGTGTCATAGAGCTTTTGTATTTAATGTTTATATCAAAACCCGTGATTGCAAATTCTGATGTTGATCTGTGAAGGTCTGCGATTTAAAAGATTGTTTCTTATCTGCACTGCAGAGTAAAAAGATTATTTCCAAAGCCAAGCAAATTCAACAGAATAGAAGGCTCAGTAACAGACAAACTCAGCAAAAGATGCCAGACAAAATATCATCAACAACAGAAGAGGAATGCAGGTAATTTCTAATATGCATGTGTATTATTCTAGTTTTACTTTGAAATTAACCCTTTAACTCATGACATCAGTATGCATATTCTCTATACTGTTCTCTATACATTTCCTAAGGTGCTGACAAGGAGAATTTGTTTGACAATCAAGAGCTTCTTTAGTTGTAGATCATTTCCTTTATTCTCATTATGGTATTAGGTGATTCAGGGGTGACATTGTAAGGAGAAATTAAGTGCTGGTCAATCTAAGAGTGAAAGAGCTGATATCATTATTTTCCCATGAACATTGAAGTTTAGATACTCTTTGCAAGCCTTTGAATAATTTTTGCCTGTTTACTGTTTATTTTAAGATAAACCGACAAAACAAGGCACAGAATGTGAAAAGTCTTGGAGCCACTAGACAGCAACAGCGAAACAGGTGTGCATCCTCAATCATTAGCTGTGAGTTTTCTATGGCAGTAATATTTTGTCAGTCAAATCCACCGATAGTCGTGAACCTAGCTTGAGGAAGGCAGTTGTCTGTGGAATCATAGATATCTTCCATCTTCTTTTTAAGTGTATCTCAGAGGTTTCAATTAAAGCTGATTACTGATGGTCCATCATTACCTGTACCACCTGTGTGTAATTTTTTTTCCAGTAATTAATAACTGAATTTAACTTGAAGTGTATTTTTGAATTTAGTTTCGCTGAACAGTTTTTCATCATTATACAGTGTAAATAAATGTTGTTGTATCGTTTTACCTTAGGTGTAAATTATGGTTTCCTTGGGTTGTCATATTGTTTGTCTACATTGTTATTATAGGCATACTGTATTTTTATGAAATGTTAAAACTTTTGTGATGCTTTTCAGGCGTGGTATGCAAGGTCCTCAGCTAACTGTGTCCATTAATAATCCGAGAGCAACGTGAGTAGCAACGTCTTTGTTGCAAAGATGTGACTCCTCTTTATTGTTTACTGACCTCTACAATAACATGAAAATTCTGATTTTAACAGCCAAAGTTGCAATTTTGTGTCGTTCTGTGGCCAGATATTATTTTGAGGGTCATCTACAATGTAAAAGCAGAGACAAAAAAATTGGGTGGCACTCCTGCAATCACAATTTAAGAAATACCAGCTTTGAACCATATCAAACAGCATGGTCATTTTACTTGACAGGTCCGTAATGGGGGATCAATATCAGTGTTTGGGCAACTGCCCACCCACCCCTCCCCTAACCCAGCAACAATCAATTGATAACAAGTGAGGGTTAATGTTGGGTTAGGGGAGGGGTAGGTGGGCAGTCGCCCAGATACTGATATTGATCCGTAATACAATTTAGAGCAGTGTCAAATACATTTTTGATGGTATTCTCAACTCCCACATTTTCATGTTATTGAAAAGTGCAGTAACTTGATTGGTTGAGAGGATTACGTGAGTTTTCTGGACCAATCACTGAACAAAATGACATAAAACCAATGCAATCCCAGATTGAAATCAATGATTATTTGAAAATTACTCTATGTTTACATTTCCAGTTCATTGGCAATTTAGACACATGGTATTCTTTGAAAAGACATTGTTTGTTTATCATGTACCAAAAATCACTGTCAGGAAAAAGTCAGATACATAATTTTTAACGTGTAGGTTGACAAGAACCCCACAGTGGAAACAGCCTGTGAGTCAACAAACTAATCCAAGGAACAGGAGAAGATGGAGAGGAAAGTTTGGAGCAAACAATCCAAGAGGCGTGGGTCCAACTGAGGATCTGAGAATTTCAGTGCCAAATAATTTAAATCAGGTACGATTAAATTCTTTTTCATGAATATTTCTTGGTTTACATTTAGATTGTACATTCTGACACAAAATCAGCCACGAGTGTAATGATATGAACCATGGAAAGTAAAAATAACTCTTGGCAAACAAATGTGCAGCTTTATTTGCTGAATTGCCTATGCGTGGCAGTAATGTAGTACACTGTTATGATGAAGAGTTTCTTTGATCCCCTATCAGGACTAACATCTAAGTTCTCCTCACAATATCACCCTTGCAGCACTCATTAAGGTCATGAGAATAAAGGATATGATCACCAACTGATGAAGCTCTTGATTGTTAATCAAATTCTCCTTGTCAGCACTTTAGGTAATTATAGAGAACAGTATAAAGAATATGCATATTGATGATAGTGTGTAAAGAGTTAACATGTAAGCAACTACGTTGCATTAAGACTGAAGAGATGATTCCTAATGCTGTATATTTTAATGCTGTTGTTTTTTTTTTCCTCAAGCCTCCCCCACTCAAGCCACTTGTGTACACAAACTATTACAATCCACCGACGAATACTGCCATGACTGGGAAGGTATGTAGTGAAAAACCTAGTAGTGTCAATATTTACTATTTCAGAGTTGATTTTTTATAGTTACTCCTCTTTTTATAATTTTTCTGTCATTAGAGGAGGTAATTCCATTTCTTCAATTTTACCAAGAGACTGCATGGCATTGTTGTACACTAAGTTAACCCTTTCCATTCTAACATTAGTAAGAGTGTATATTCTCCACATTGTTTATGTAGCCACACTGGACCCTTTATAAGAGGGGGTGTATATCAGTTTTATGTGTTTTTATGGTTTGTAACATCTTTTTTTTCTTCTTTTTTTCTCATTTCAATTTAGACATTCTCCACTCTGGATGAAAGATTCTCCAGCATGTCTCAACACAAACCTATCAGGACTATCTTTGTGGAGTAGAAAACACTTTTAATTTATTTTTATTATTGCCACTGTTTCTTTGGTGTTTTTACTGTTTTTATTAGTTTAAAACTGTTGTTTATACAATATACTTGTAACTGGCTAATTATTTACCTGGACATGAAAGTCACACGAATGTGTAAAATTGTTTTTTCATTATTCAAGATAAGCGACATAAGGAGTTTGTTCATGAGTATTTTTATACAAGGAGTGCTTTTTTTTTTAAACACTGAAAAAAAAAGCAGTAAGAAACAGCAGGAAGAAGTTGCTAATGTCTGCCATCTGTCAAGTCTTAAGCTTGATGCTCTTTCCTTCAGATCAAAAAATTTGACCTCACTTCACCTTGCGAGCTCACACTTCTTACTTGGAGATTGTCAATCCCAATGGGAAAAAAAAAATCTTACACACAACTCAAGCCTTGACATACGTTTTGAAATATTCAGGAAGTGCAAAAAGAGCTCAACCAGATCAAGAATGGAAAGTTGATGTAAATGATCATGCTTTCCTGTTTCCATATTTTCCAAGTACAGTTGAACCTGTTTCTAGTGGTCATCATTCCTTGTATTAACCCTTAAACTACCAAGATCTGATTATTAATTCTCCCCTCTAGCTGCTACACATTTCCTTGCAAATAAGTCACAAGAATCTGGTGTTAGATCAATAATTCTAACTTCTATCTGATGAGTTGGAGTATTCTCATTACATGTTGGCTGAATAATGTGTGGATGTTATAGGGAGAAGTTACATGTTAATCACAGATGGGAGTTAAGGCTTAAGTGGTCATGGTCGCCCTTTACTAAGTCCCAAGGCCTCTAAAAATGTATTTTTCTCCACCTGTATTGAACATTCACCAGATGCAGGACCTCTCAAACAAAACTAAGAATCATCTTTCCAGTAAAATTTAATCCATGAATGTTTATCCCCCAAAATGAACATCAGTGGTATTTTTGAGCAAGTTTTAAAAAATTAGGTGGTCAGTTATGGCAAAGTATGGTGTTTTTTATCTTTTTTTTATAATACTCCTATTCTGTGGAACCTGTCTTAAGTGGACAACTCCATTCACTTGCTTTTCCATATCAAAAAATGTAAAGCAGTAGAGAAGATGCTGTGTCAGAACACCTCAGGTTGTCTTCTAGAATTCTTTTCTCATCCATGATCAGGTCCTACACAGAAATTCTCATTCCTTTGCCTTGTAGAAAGTTGACAGGTGTATACGCCTCTGCTGGTATTGAGCAGAAAGGCTTGATGTTTTATATTATTAATATATACTCGATTTACTGTATGAAACAATATCAACTTATTTGCTCCATTTGGAGCTTAGAGTACCTAGTATGAGAAATGTTAATGAGAGATTAAAAGTGAGGATGCAGTGTTCTCTTTTATTGATCAATGTGAAGATCAGCTGTTAAATAAACATTCTGTTCCTCTTCTGGATATTGTGGTGGCATTTTCATTCCCTAAGGCACTTGTCAGAAGTTCCATGACAACAAATGGGAACAGGTAGTGAGTTTTCTTGACAGCTGCATTTACTGTAGGTTTCATTGTAGGGAAGGTAGCTGGACATTTAAATGACCTTTACTTAAAAAAAAAAAATTCTCAGGAAAGCTATAGAACTTCCAATTCTGGGGCAAAACCTTGATAATTGTGGGTCAGCTCAGGAAATGCAATATGGCTTTTGACCTTGAGTTGGAAAAATATACATGATTGTTTGAGAAGTGACTGGAAAGAGGTTTGAAATTTGTACACAATCGTTTTCACAAGGCCAGAATGTTAACAAGACTAATTAGAGATCAGCAATATTCTTTGCTGGTTGTACTTGCCAGGAAGGATCCATGGTCTGGGTTTTCCACTCTTCGTGATTCTTTTCAAATAAACATTGAAGCTTTGTTCTGCATATTTAGCTGTTTCTCAAAAAATTAAATAAGTGCCCTGTCCATAATTAAGCACCTTGTTTTAAATGAGTGCCCTCCCCTGAGTTACCAAAAGTACTGAGGTACCAAAAGGACTTAAGCACCCTGGGTGCTCCTGAAATCAAATCATAGTGGTATGCAAGACCCCCACACTGTTCTTTGTACATTTCTTGAGACTTACAAGGAGAATTTGTCGAACAATCAAGAGCTCTTTGAGTATGCGATCTCCTCCTACACTCTCGTGATCACAAATTTTAACTCAGGGGTGCTACTGTTGGGAGAAATTAGATGCTTATCAGTGTCAATGTTCCCCGCCTTTTTCTACAGCCTCGATCTCATTCAGTTCCTGATAAAACCGACCCAGTTTCCTCCGAGTTCCCAAGGCAACATGGATGTCGAGGTCGTAATTTGTTGTTCTTTTGCCTTTCGTCGTGTATAGGAATTTAGCCATTTTCTCGGGCAATGACGAGATAAGAGCTTCGTAAGAGGTGCTCCTCTAACTTTTCGTTGAAGATGGCGATGGAGAAGCTAGCGGTGATTAAAGATACCCACAATAAAACGATCACAGCGCTATCGTACAATCCGATGAAACATGAGATTCTTGTGGGATTTGAAGGTAGTATGACAGGAAATACGATACTTACTGAAATTTCAAATGCTTTTTTAGCGACCGATAAGCCTGGTGCCCCATAAAGCTTCAGTGAAGCCAGTTATGTCGATCTAAGCTGCTTTCTTTATAGACTTTAAATACTATATGACTTCAAATTGTGACCTTTTTTTAGACTTAATCTACCTTGGAGTTGTAATTATCCTTTTCAGCGCAGTTCATTGTTTTGTTTTCAAACTAATCTCAGGATAAACATGCTGTCCAAATAAGCTACCACTATGATTATGTTCCTGTGTGTTTTCATCACATCACAACCTTAAAAATACTTTCCATACTTTTTTACAGTTACCTATAATAATCCAAATATGGTTTACATGGGCTGTAAAACGGGGGTAAACTGCAATTTAAACTTTCATGAGTTATTTTATCTCTCTTGTTATATCCATTTTGAAATCATTGGTTATCCTTGCAATCTGATTGGCTTTCATCAGTAGAATTTATTCACAAATTGCACCATTTTTTGCTTTAAATTGCACGTTTTTCCAAGCCAATGAGATTTAGCTTTCTTAATCATCTATATCAGCAGCCACTCCAGAAATAGTTAACACCTGCTCTAATAGAGAGAGTTTTAAAGTCTCAAAATGTGTACATTATTTGCAGAGTTAACAGATAAGAACAGGTGATCAGTTTATAACAAGATCACTTAATAAGTCAGTGTTTGTTTAATCTGTTTGTAGATGGAGTGATCAAAGTGTGGGACTACTCCACTGGTGAGCCTGGGAAAATTATTCGCTCTGTTCGTGAACATGATGGCTGGGTTACAAGCTTTTTATTCTGGTCAGTGCCAAGGTCAACTTTTGCATGATCTCAATTGTTAAAAGGGTCATGCTACTTTTCAGTGACAAAGTTCTTACAATTTGCTATATGCATTGTACTTATGTAGCACTTAACATAACAGAATAAACTCACCGAGCAACACTGACAGAGTATGAACTCAACCAATCAAAATAGTGTAGCATGACAGTTATAATAATTCATAATATGCCATAATTTTTTCCTACAACAGGGGAGATGCAAAACTTCTCTTTTCGGCAGCAAATGATGGCACTATTATAGCTTGGGGCTCTGGAGGTGCAGTACATGATAGGATTCCAGTAAGTTTGAATATATTTAAAGGTGTTTTTTTTAGCAACTAATTTGCTTGTTATTTTATAAAGAAATAAAATATTACAATGAGTTGTAAGTTGATAGGCTTTCAGTCAATTTTTCCTCTAGTATTACAACATTCTGTCTTTGGAAAATCAGTGGCAATGGGGCTGTACATAACTAGGTTATTTTCCTCAATGATAATCATGTAAGATTTTTCTTTATTGGTTGATTAGAAGAGTCTAGTTATTTACTCAAACAAAATGCTTAAGTTGATAGTATTCTTAATCAATGTTACCTATTTTCCTGACAGTATATGAAATATTTGAGGATAATAATTATTATTTATGTCTAATTATATTGCAAAGAGTCAAAGTGGTAAAAAATTAAAAGGTAGTTGTTCTGACTCCTTGTGGTGATCCATCAGTGATTTCTCCCTTCAGTATGAATATATTGACAAGTAAACAGGTAATGAGAATTTCAAGATATAAAATGTGGATATTATTTGATTTATTTAACTCCAATTTCTCAGAACTAACATCATAAGAGAGGTTTGACAGACAGTAGAGAGAATTTGATATCTCAAGAGTGAAAGTGAAAGTGAGCAGGTAAACAGAGAAAGAGAGCTGTCTATTTATTTAATGAATTTTTTACCATTATTCTTTTAGATTGGATCTCCAGTGTACTGTATGGCATGGAATGTAAGGAGAAACCAAATAGTTGCAGCTGTGGATTCAACAGTTCAAGTATTCAACATGAGAGATCCAGGTAATTTTATGAATAAGAAGAAAATTAATGATCATCTGGCCCATTCTACCCTGCTAGTGTTTTGATAGTCTGTAAGTCGTGACCCAAAACCAGATATTTTCCCTTTAAGCCCTCCCTCCTAGTTAATTGGTTCACCTCAATTGAACTCTTGGAAGGGATGTTTTAATTTTCCTTTTTAAAAACTTATTAAGCTTTTTGAGATCCCCAGCCCCTTCCATCCCCCTCTCCTTCCATTCCTCCTCCATCTCCCATCTCCCACCACCCCCCTTCCATGACCCCTCCATCCCTCTCCATCTCCCCTTCATGTACCCATCTTCCTCCATCCCCTATCCCCCCCCCTTCTGATACCTCCCAAACTATGACTATGACCCTCCTTAGGGTGGGTATGTGGGTATTTCCTTTGCTCATTTTTTAATTAATTATTATTGATTGAAGCTTACTGCTAATTGTAGTACTTTCATTCATTTTGGATTTCAGGCAGAGAAATTGGACATGTAATAGACACAAAGGGTAGGCTGGTACATTTATGATATTAGACAGTAATTTGGAGAAATCATGTTATTATAAAGTACTATCTTTTTGTATTCTATTTACACTCATGATGCTTTCAACATTGCTGATCCTAGCAGTGTGTAGGATTTGTCACATATGATCCTGCTGACAGCCTTTCTCTCCCTCAAGTTCTCTGTACTTGTAGCCCAGAAGTAAAGCATGGAAGTGCAGAATGCTAAGGTCTGGGGCTTGATTCCTGATAAGGACTTAAATCTTTTTCTTTCTCTTTTGTTCATGGTGAGACAAGTAACATCTTTTTTAAGTTTAGTGTTCTTCGTAATAGTTCAGCTACTAATTTGTATATCTTTTTCAGCCTATGTCTGTAAGGAACATTCAGATCTTGTGAAATGTGTAGTTTGTCATGAATCAAGAGTTTACAGTGGAGGGTATGTTTAGATTGAATAACATTTAACTAACATTACAGAAAGCCAAAACCTGTGTTGTTGAAGGTTTACTTAGAGAAAGAGAAATGTTAGACTTTTCAAAAACACAGGAAGATTTCACAGAAGATATGTAAATTTTTATACATTTTAAAGGACGTAGTTTAAGATTGAAATATTCATAACCTATAACTCCATTGTAAACTACATTTAATTTTGACAAACAAACTACAGAACTATATTGACAGGTGAACTGTTGAAATGTGTAGTCACCTGAAAAATTACAACATATAATCCCAATAAGTTTCACCCTACTTTGATCTTTTTACCCTTTGACCTCCAAGAGTGATAAGCATCTTATTTCTCCTCACATTATCTCCCCTGAATTATACATTAGGGTTATGAGAATACAGGAGATGATCACCAACTGAAAAAGCTTTTGATTGTTAAACAAATTCTCCTTGTCAGCACCTGAGGAAATGTATGTAGAATAGTATGGAGAATATCAATCAAGTGCAGCTAACTGATGTTAGGGTGTGAAGGGTTAAATGTTATTTTTCAATCTTCCAAACTGCATAATTCTACAAAGTAGTCTTTGAGTATCAGAGTTACTGGACAGTGTTTGCTCAGATTGTATGTGTTTTATCAATGTATTTTACAGGTATGACCAGAAGTTAGTTGTTTACGATTCCACTTTTTCATACAAAGGAAACAAGAGTTTATCAGTCGTAACAAAGTAAGGTTTGAAAATCATTCAATTTCAAGCTTGTAGACCATGATAGATAACCTTTTTTCTGGTAGCTCCCTCCTTTCTGTACTTCAGATGCTTACAATTTCAGGTTGTGTCAGTCTTGCATTCTTGAGACACATTTCAACATGATCTGACTCTGAAATAGAGTTCAAAGTTATAGGCCGAAATATTGCATTAAAGTAGGAAATAAACTTGGCCACAATTTCGATTCTGAGGTTTTTCCTAATGTGCTGATCAGAGCAAAAAATAAATGAATATTTAGCAACACTTTAAAAATGTTATTTATCACCAATAACTTTTCATAGCTTATGACTGCAGGATTAGATTCTGTGCATATATTTAAAATGTATAGCATAATTATGCAAGCTTTGATTAGTATGATCATACATTCTGCAAATTTTTTTTCAGGGTAAACAAAGCACATGATGCAGGAATAATCTGCATGTGCCTGGCACGAGACTCAGACAACAATACATGGTAAGTTACAGACTTCGTACATAATATATAGATTTAGCCAAGCCTAAAAGTGGAGCTCGCATTTTTTTTTCCTGCACATCTCAAGGGCACAATGCTTTGCCCCGGCCAGGACTAGAACCTGGATCGTCCAACTCGGAGCCCAGTGCACTGACCACTGGACTACTGAACAAAGCTGTGGCGTTGGTGTGCTCGCAATACAGTTGACCACACATGTTAAAAGTAGCACCTTGTACGGTCGTACATCCAAATTTTTTCGGCTTGATGGGTTACTACTATTTTTTATAATTATGGGGCTACACTGTGCGAGCTCCGCTGTAAATGGGAAATTAATCAGGGCATCTTGTCAATTTCACTTTTTAATTTTGAATAAGACTTGTCACCTATCTAATTTTGGTTGTGTTTGAGTAAATAAGTTGTTGCCATTTATTGAATGCACAATGTATGAGCAACCTTTTTGTTGAATTTTTTCAGGGTGTTAAGTGGTGCTTTTGATAAGGTTGTTAAAGTTTGGTCTCAAGATGGACAAGTTATGCATAAATTTGATGGGTTCAGGTACAAGATCTAAAACAAAATGAATTCTTCTAACTGATGACAGTACATTTTACGGTTGGCCTTTACTGAGAATTTCATTTCAATTGTGTAGTAAAGAACAATATCCCTTATTTGATGAATTCTTTGTTCTTAGAAACTGTCTTTTTAACAAATAACTAAAACTTAGGAGTGTCAGGATCACCTATTTTTCAAAGATCCTGATTTTGACAGAAACATTTAAGTGGTGTCAATTAATTTGACTTTGAACCAGATATGTACTTAAGCAAGTCTTTGTACATCTCTTTTGCATTATTACCAGATACCCTCTGTCAGAAAAAAATAACTGTATCTAAACAGCGACTGACATAAAGTTTAATGTCTCTGATTTTTTGTTTACTGGACTGTTTTGCTGTTTGCAGTACTGCAGTTACTGGAGTCTGTTATGTTAGACCAATCAAGACTATCTGGGCAGCAGCAGGCACTGCTGAAGCTGCTATGTATGATCCAAAATCAGGAGAAAATGTGAGTCAGTGGTACAATTCTTTATTTGCTTTTTGACAGCTCAAAGTAACTACACATGATATTTTAAATGGTTTTGTGAAACAAGAAAAATTCAAGAGAAGGTTCAGTCACCTTAAATCTTCAAAATTTAAGGTGGCACTCTTGTTAAAGAATGAATCATCATATGCCATTTGTGATTTTTGGATGAAAAATGGGGTCACCTGGTTGACTAGTGAATTACAGTAGGTTGAAATTAAGGGTGTTTTAAGAGACTATAGCGTTGCTATGGCTGCCTATAATTTATGTCAAAAAGTGGTTAATACTTGTTTGCTAAAGATTGGGCTTTTCTTTACAACTTGATCAAGAAGACAAAGGATTTTAGAATTGTGACAGTATTTACAGTTTGTTACCAAAGAATTGATGTCATAACTTGATGAAAGCAAGAATGGCTATGAGCTACCTTAATTGAATATTTCTCAGAAAGACAGGAAAGGTCATCCCCAGAGAGCAGTCTGCCCTCTCCCTCCACTTCCTCCTATCCTTTCACTTTGTCCCATCCTTCCCCTCCCTCTTCTTCCTCCCCTCCCTCCCCTCTCTTTGTAAAATTACTCATTAACACCTTGTTAATATGCTATTACACAACCTTTTTATTTTATCAAGCTGAAGTGAAATGAGAATGCTTGAGGTGAACAAGATTCACATCTCTTGCAGGTGACAGATTTCATAGGAACGTTTCAAGATGAGGAAAGTAATGGGTAGGAGAGATTAACACTTTGATCCCTAAGAGTGACTAGCATCTAAATTCTCCTTACAATATCACCCCTGAAAAAAAAACATTAAGGTCATGAGAATAAAGGATATGATCACCAAATAAGGAAGCTCTTGATTATTCAAGAAATTCTCCTTGTCAGCACCTTAGTAAATGTGTAGAGAACAACATGGAGAATTTGTCTGCTGATATTAGGGTGTAAAGGGTTGATGCAAAGTTAAGAGGTTCATTCCCAATCACATGTCACTGCCTTGAGAACTCAAATTTCAGATAAAAATGTCTATATTTATACAATTAGGAACAATTTATTTGTATTGGTGAAAGTGTTCTGGTCGTTAGTTGTGGAGTGTTTTCCCATCTTGAATTTGTTTCATCCTTTTTTTTCTAGTTTTCCTCTGGTGTTATTTCACTATATCTCTGACTTAGGACACGTAATAGGTAGGTGCTCTGCATATCTTTTAACTCACTCAGACTCTAGGAGATTGTCAGAAATTGTAAGCCACTAAACACTGGTGAAAAATGAGCAGTAAGATGCACTTCCATTTAGAGTCTTCTCTGTTTCCATTTGGGTTTCTGAGCTTGTAATCTCTGATTATTATTCATAACTGGCTGCAAATTGTAAAGGGCAGCTCAGTAAAAATGATATTTTTACTGTGTAAGGGGCTAGGGCGTGGGCAAGATTTTCTTGAGGAAGGAGGGTAGGTCTTGGAGTGACAGCTCACTGGCAGTAAGGGGAATGCCAGATTGTTTTATTGTTATAAGTTATCATTTTTTCTTGACAAGGGGATGTCAAATGCACCACAAGGCTCTCTCCCATCAGCTATGCTTTAGAAGCAAACTGGAGGGGAGAGGGGCTTGTTTTTTTTTAATTCCTGCGTGACAACTTTGTTCCCACAACCTGAAAGCACGCTAAGTAGACGCAACAAACTTCGCACATGCGCAGTAGTTTGACAGCTGAGTTTAACAAACCCATTGAGTAACAGTTAGGGAGAACCTGTACCTAGGACCACAGGACCCCCATTATGTCTTTGTGAGTTGTGATGCATATGATTTATAATTTAACACTTGAAATCCTTTAGGAACAAACAGCAGGCGACATCTGATTGTGTGGAAATACAATTCATCTGGATGTTTAACAACACTGAAGAACAAGTGCGCAATGGAGTCTCTTACTTACAGTACGTAATTTCACGTTCCATATTGAGATTTTCTGTGGATAACAACTGAACTAATATTTGTCAAAAGATGAAACCAGTAACCTAGCTCAACGAGGAGTAATTTGCAGCTCAGTGGGAGAGTATCGTAACGCGGACTCTGATAGTTCTAGGTTCGATTCCTCCTAGGGGCTCAGTAAATTTCTTTGTCCCATGCTGATGTCGAGGCGAAAAAAAACATCCTTCTATAGATGTCAACAACTTCCGGCAACTTACAAACTTACAGACGAAATTAACCCTTTACACCCAAAAATCAGTTAGCACATTTTTCAAACTGTTCTATGGTGCTGACAAGAAAACTTGTTCCCTGATACCTTACACATGATATGCTATGTAACATTTAAAGTTTGCTTATTCTTAGCCATGCTAGGTCACTTATATCATTATTTTTCGAAATTTTTTCCAGCACGGAAAGTTCCTCTTTTGATATTCAGTGGAGGTAGTAATGGTCACGTGTCCAAGTGGGAACGACTTCAGTCAAACAATTTCATGTACAGGTAAATAAAGATCATCCTCGCTCTCCCCTCCCTGAATGTTATACTCGAAAATTTAAAAACATATTAAATAAATGAACGAATAATGAATAAAAAATGAAGTGAAATGAATGAATTTATGAAGAAATGGATTTATAGATAGATTCACAGAAAGGGAGATATTTTACGAAATTTTTGTTCATCGGTTTATTTTTTTCTTTGTCGGACTCGAGTAAGAGCCACGAGTTTAAAATGTGATGTATGCTATTAAAAGTAATATTTTTTGTGACTTTTCAATTTTGATGGGATGTTTGACAAATATAGAGGCCATCGCGCTATCACTGGACATCATTCGAGCTCTCCTGTGATTTTCCTTTTGCATGTTTTTGTTGCGTATTTATTCATAAGAGAAATCTGCACGATGTACTCGAAAACTCTTCGGTCGATCTAAAGGAAACCTCGGAAGTCTTCGTGTAATCTCCGGAAATGGTCTTGACGTCATAAGATTTGTAATATCCATGCTCTGTGTGTTTTCGTCTACAGCAAAGAGATATTCTTACAGAGTGAAGCTAAGTCTCGCTTAGCAGCTCAGATCGCAGCCAAGTTCGATTGGCGCAGTCCAAACAGGAGTGCCAGTAGTGAAAACAGGCCAAGACCTTCCTTCCTAAATACTATAAACCAGGTATTTATCCGACAAGTAACTTTAAAAAGAGGTTTAAAGTCAAGCTGGCTCGTAAAACCAATCCTGGTGTCGGTTATCCCATTGTCAGAAGCATGAAGCGTCTAAGACTATTGCTACTCCTATTGGACGTTAGTCCATCGCAAGTTTTTTCGGTTTCATTTGTACTTCTGGGCAGAGAGAAGCGTGGTGAGAGTTAAGTGTCTTGCCTCAGAAACACAACACAATGACCCTAGCTGGAGTCCAGCGGGCAAACTACGTGAACACCGTGTCGCCCACAACATGCTACTTACGTTTGTTATTAGAAGTTTTACTAAAATTATTTGGATTATTAGTGACTAAAGAAAACTAACCTCTCCAGATACCCGCCACAAAAGAACTTGATAGTAATTTACCGAACTGAACAACAGTCACTTACAAATTCCTTGGTACTCGTATTGTTTTCAGTCATTACATAGATGCTTTAGTTAACCATACGAGAGCAAATATTGAAAGGTAAAAAGATTTCCCGCCCAAAATGCACGTACGCGCGTACACATGCGTCATTATGGCGGGAAAATCGCCAGGTGGCTTGGTTGGTTCTAAGATTGTGCGATTTTATGTACAAGAAACTTGTACGCAATTTTCACCAAGAAAGAGCTCTTACAAGACTCTCTGACTTGACAATTTTGTGTCTCAAATTCCTTCTAATGTTTCAGATGTCGTCTGCTTCTGAACACACCAGCAACATTTCCCTGTTGAGATCCGTTTTTGTGGAGAACCTTGATTTATTAGTAGTGGCATCAGAAGACAATAATATTTGTAAGTAAATGCAATGTTGAGGGTTGGATGTTTTAAGGGGACCCATCCCGGGTAAAATTACTTGAAATTAAAAACATTAAATAAGGCTTGACTATACTTAAAAGTATTATAATTTCATTGCTGGCGAAATTTTTTCAGCAGGGTTGTTTTCGTTGCTTTTGCATTGTTCTACTTAGATAAAAGTCCGTTCAGCTGATTCGTACGTTTTACAGTTCATTGACTTTAACTGAACACTGAAAAGTCCTCCTATGAAAGTGACCTTCCTAATAAAAGAAAAGAATCACCGTTTCATTTATAAACAAGTAGAATTATGCTTCCTCGTAAAATTAAGGATTGATATCACTTGTTTTATCAGAAGTTGCAGAATTTTCTGTAACTTTTAATAACTTTTAATAACAGACTTTAGTAACAAGCTGTGTCTTTTGTTCGGACAGATGTGTGGGGCTTTGACGAGGACGCTGTCAACGTTCTGGAAAACATGAGACCTGCAGACGAAAATCTTATTTACAAATACGCAATTCTGCTCGGTGAAAAGGCCTTCAAGCCTGTGAAGAAAGATGTAGAGGTACGTGTTAGCCTTTCACATCCTTACTTCAGGATGCATATTCTCCATACTGTTCTGTTTACATCACCTAAGGTGCTGATAAGGAGAATTTCTTTGACAATCAAGAGCTTTTTCAGTTGGTGATCATTTCCTTCATTCTCAGGACCTTTTGTGTAATTCAGGGGTTTTATTGTTAGGAGAAATTAGATGCTGGTCAGTCCCAGGAGTTAAAAGGTTAAGAGATGCACATCTTCCATTCGTAAAATGTATCATGGGCAGCTCTATTTTTTTATTGCGCATTAATCAGTTACGCGACATACATATTAAGAAGTTAAATCTTAGTTTTGTAAGCATTTACAGTTTGTCTTCTCACAATAACTAAATGACATATTCCTTATTTACCACCCATATCTACGTCACCTAGAATCTTAACATTACTTGTTGTATCCTTTGGCGAACTGAACAAATAAATTAATAAGTAGATAAGTGGTAACAATATTTAAAACTTCTCACATATTAAGCAGAACTTTTGATATTAGTATTCTTGACCCGCAAATTGGCTTTCCTTCCCTTCTGATCATTTCTTCTTGTTGTGTTCACATAATAGGCGTTGAATCTGTCAGATATTCTGTTTTGCTTGTTTGTGTTTGGATAACTTTTTAAGAGCCTGTTTCCAAATAATTACTTACTCTGTCTAACTATGTGTCATGTTTATTAACAGGGCTCTAAGGAGCACGATTCAGTAACCAATAGGGTGGCAGGATTCATTTGTAAACACGTGTTCACAGAACATTCCAGCTGCGTAACCGGGCTGGCTGTTGTGGGGAGAGAGGCTGGGTACAATACAACATACTTGGTGAGATTCATTTTGTTGTAACCGTTGATTAAAGTTAGGGCTTTAAGCAATCCTCAAGATTATTTTCCGATCTATTCAAGATAGCATTCTTGAACGACAGTTTTGTTACACAGCGGGGCGCCACTGAGAGAGAGAATATTCTTGAACAGCGGAACCATGTTCGAGGCGTTCAGTTAGTAAATATAAAAGTGAGCTCGATGGGCATAATGTTAACAGCTGAGCGATAAAAGGCGCGAGGTTTTCGGTCAGATTGAAAAAAAAAAATTTGGGATGAGTCGTGTAACGATCAATCATTGAGGTGTACCAGATTCTGGTCTACTGAAACAATCTTTTGTCAAAAAGTTTCACAGGCGTATATTATGCGACTCAATCTAAACCTCCTTACATTTTTCACCTTGCCACTTCTATTGCACCGTTTTACTCTCGTTTTATCAACTGAACGCCTGAAACAGGCTAAAGTACTGATGAAGTAGGAACTTATGCACTTGAGCACTGTAACAATTCAGTTTAGTTTTTACCTTTTCTTCGTCTTTCAGCTTAGTGCCGGCTGGGATCGACGGATCTTCTTGTGGGACCTGGAAGCATCATGGTAAGACTCGTGAAATATGTTCACATCATTCAATATTCCCTTATGTTTAGAACTTCTAACCCTAAAATTATTCCAAAATAACTCACTTAATGCTTATACCTAACTTATACCTACTTGTCAAGATTAACAAGCTATTTGCTGTCGTCCTAGCATTTTTCTTTGAAAGCTATCAACATGATGTAAAACGAAATTTTACGTTGCATTTTGTTTAGTTTTCACGACACATTCCGCAACACTGATCCCAGCGCCCTTGAGAGCGATGAGCTGGCCTCCGATGGTATCATTATGGACCTAACGTACAGCGCTGAAAGGTATGACTTGGTATTCAACGCTTAATTCAGTAAACGGCAAACTTTCATTTGAAGAGAGGAGTCGGTCTTATCTTGCAGTACCTCAAGCTACCTCGGTGACTCTCGGGGACTGGATGATTTAGTGTTATCGATTGAGTTTATAACGTAGATTGGCCACCAGGGATTGGGGCGAGGAACCGGCTGACATATTACGCTGGAAAGGAAAGAAGGAGAAATGTTGGGTTTTCACTGTTGCACTGGACCCCAATTGATAGGCCTAAGTTCCAGGCCAAAAGAGTGTCAAAATATTGTAATTTTAGATTAGAACTACAAATTGTCAGCTGTCAGCGGAACATGGCAAGGGTAAGGTATAATGAGTAATTGCAAAAAATTGTACCCCCCCCTAGAGGAGGAAAGAGGACTAACGGGGAGGCAAAGAGGCGCTTTCGAACCGCCTCTATAAGTGTTAGGGACATCTTAGAAGAACTCTTTTTTGATGAAACCCTTGGGCAGTTTTGGACAACAGCTTTTTTGCGCATATCAAGTTCTTTGTATCCATGTTATTCTGCCCTCTGTAGAAATGAGTTCGCTTATGCTTCGTCTGACAAGTTGGTGTACATTAGACAGTTCTCTGACCGCGGTGCAGAAATGACTTTGTCAGCGGTGTTACAGGGCCATGAGGCTGAAGTTACACAGGTGAGAACGCTTCAATCCACACTCGTTGCCAGGTTCCTCTCGGTCTTGGCGTTTATTCCAATGGTGTATTCAGGGTACGGGTTTAGTTTTTATGAACATGCATCGCGTAATGATTTCCAACACGTATCATTTGCTTCTTAACTATATTTAATCTTTTTGCAGAAAAAAAATTTATGTAGTATAGTTATTCGAGTCATCAAGCTGCTAAGCGTTTACGACGACATTATTTGTGTGATCAAGAATTTTTTACTTGTCGAAAGGTTCGCTGGAATGCTGTGTTGAGCAAATGGATCACGGGCTCAGAAGATGGAACTATTCGTATCTGGGTAAGGTCATCGTGTACTGTGTGACTGACATCTTGAAACTGTATATTTTGAAGCAGGTGCAATGGAGCACCAGTAAGTGTGTAAGGAATAACCTCTTACTGACCGGGTGTGAGAGCCATACTGGGTAATATTGGCCTGAGGTCGTAGCAGTTTGGACCGAGTGCAGCGAGGTCCGTGACAAACGACTGAGGGCTAATATTCTCCAGTACGGCTTGCGCAAGCGAGGTATGGAAGTGGTTTGATATATGGCACTCGCAAAAAAAAACTTGTTTGATTTGAAATTGCCGGCTTTTTGGAGCAAAAATACACGGCTTATGACCGTTTCCGTGGAAAAGGTCCGTATGGCAAAATCCCGACCAGCTAAGAACCAATCAGAACGCCGAGATTTACCTCAGGACTACCTTGCCACATAATAAACCAGGGCTATGACTGATCTTGAAAACTCGCCCCACTCTCTCTTAATCAACAAGTCGCGAAATTAAATCAATGGCGACTCGGCAACTGCTTGTGAGGGCTTTTAAATGTTTTTACTCTGAGTTCTCATTGGCTGCTAGTGATATTTTCCTTTGTGCTGATTGGCTATTGCGATTACTCTGGTTGTGAGATTATCATAGTTCATCGAAAACCGCTCTGATTTATTTGTACTTTTGATGTTGTTGCTGATCGCAGAGAGGAGATGGAATGGGGTGCGATGTGGTGCTCACTGCTCAAGGAGCTGTTTCAGCTCTGTGTATCGACCAAGTGAACGGCTGTATTGTGGCTGGAGTCCAAGAAATCATCAGGTAAAGATTTCGTGACATGTATGACAAAGATATCTTGTCAGAGTGGCCGTTCGTTGTCACGCAAACAGGTAATGGAAACGTGCAAGAAACATTTTGGATGTCTTTTTGTAGTGTCGGAACTGTGTCACGCAAACAGGCCATGAGAGTGTGTGGCGAATGTTGCAGCAAAATTACAGGGGCAAATGCCACCCAATTTTTTTTGTTTCATTTCCAGGGTTTATGATCCAGACACACGCAAGATTGTGCAGAAGAATCTTGGACACAGCGATTCTGTGCGATGTATTATTCATATTCCTGAGAGGAGTCAGGTATTTATCGTTTTTTTTTTTACGGTTGTAGTTATTAGCTTGCTAGGAACTGTATGGTATGATTTTGAGAATAGGGTACAAACTTCTGGCGTGGAAACGAGGTTAAGAATTCTTTACCTCAATTTCATGGTATTCAAGCCCCAGACCCCTCGCATGTCAAATTTTGAATGTTCTTGGGTATGGTTTCAATTTTTATTGATCCGTTACCTTACGTTATTCTTTCAGTATATTTCCGCTTCTTGGGACAAAACTGTAAGGATATGGAACGCATACAAGAAAAGTGAGTTTCTTGGTTTATGCCAATTGATTTCATTTGTTACCACATGAAGGCCAATGCACCTTGGAACCTTGCAATTACGTTAAAAAAAAAAAAGCATCGCATGACATTTTACTTTATGGTAACTTTCAGCTCGCAAAAAGCCTGCGAAAGAGATGACAGACTTTCCTGACTCAAGCAGTGGTAGTTTTTAGTGTTATCTGAATGTGGTGAAGAACTATCCGGGTAAGCCTCCTTTGAGTTCACGTCAACTGGACAGTCCAATATCTTTTACATAAATTGTTTCTTACATTAACTGTGTGCGTCCGGACTCATCTTGTCAGCTTTGTCTTTGAACGCTGGATATAGTGTCACGCTGTTTAAGTGTCACGCAATACTTTTTTGATCTGACGATGTAATGTATCGCGAAGACTTGTGTTAGGCAAATGTTTAAAATATCTCTTCCTTTGTATACGTAACGCCGTAAGGGTGGAATGAGAGAAAAGGTGTATAAAATTTTCATATATTTCCATGTATAAAATTAAGAAAAACTTTAATGATATATACATATATTTTATTGTAAGATTAATTTGAATGCGGTATTTATGGCTTAAAATTTCTCCATATGTGGAAGAATAAAGGCATTGGAAATTCAGTATGTCGTGTCCCTCGTGGAAAATTAATTATGCCTCCAGGATAAAAGTCAATTTTCTGAACTTCAATACTCTTTGCAGCAGACTTGTGCGTCACTCAAGGCAGTGAAAAAACACTGTGTTGTCTTTATTGGCGTGAAATGACACAGTCTTGGGTTGTAGTAAGTTATGTCACAGTCCATTGCACCGTTATACTGCAGTGTAAAAATTTAGGTTATATTTATGAAAACCCTTCATACAATAAAAACACTGTCTTCCGGTTGTTGGTTCCCCTCTGCCCCGTGACACCAGCAAGACAAAAAATTAGCTGTTACAACCCCTAACAAGCTATTACGTTGAACGGATTCTGTATTTCTTTTCTCAAAAAAAACCCTCATTAAATCAATACAAATCAGTTTTGACGTCTAAGTGCCTCGACTGGACATAGTTGTGAACAGATAGGTGTCTTTGCTATTTTCACTGACTTGACTTCGCTTGAAAGGAATGTGAAGTTTCTCTTTGATCCCATTTATATTTTTTAGATTAATATTCACTATTTGTAGAGTTAGTAGGATTACGTCCAGCACAATTACGCGTTAAGTGCCCAATACCAATTGATTGTGTTATTAAAATGAAAGAAACTCGGACTTGGAAATTCTCATCTCAGGTTAGACATTTAATTTTTTTAAAAACTTCCGCTTAAAAATTATTTCCCCGTATCACTATAATTGACGGAGTTTTCGTGTTATTCCATTCGCTACGACCTTTGTGTCGATCAGAGTCAAAATTATAAACACGGCCAATATTGTTATTTTTCGGTCAAAACATGTAAAGTTTACAAAGTTAGCGTTTCCTGAACAATCAATATGAACTGTTTAATATTCCTGTCTTTGTATAGTTCAATATTTCATCGGTATCAAATTCGTTTTATTTTTCCTATACGTTCCCCGTTTTATTCAAGGTAATGTGGTAACCATCCGATCAATTTATTTTTGTGGACAGATCATTTATATCATTTATTCTTGGTGTAACTCTTCCCAAAAATTTTTAAAATATTCTATCTATTATTGATAGTTTCGTTTCTAACTCAGAACATGGATGAAAGGCATTTCCTAGTTGTTGTTATGGCTTAAAAGTCCTTCCATCACTCAGTCACTCTTAAACTTGCGGCGACTGAAACAAAATTCAAACGAGGTGTCGCTTTGGGCGTATGGCCACCTAGCCTACGTGTAGCCGTACCCTCCCCACCCCCCCCCCAAGGTGAAATGGAGGGAAGATTCCCTCGCTTCCGTTTCACCTTGCGGGGGAAGGGTACGGTTACAGGTCGGCTATTGGCTACCAAGGTGTTTGGGACTATTTTACGGTTCGCAATCACGAGAACCAAAGTGACGGTTAATTAACGGAGTTTTATTGTCGATGAAAATCAGAATACTACAAGCTAAAACAACCAAGTGGTTAAAAGCGACCGTAAACTGAAATAATACGGTGAATTCCTATCAATCGAGGCGAAAACTTCCGAAATATAAGATAAAAGCTTGTAAAACAAATCTAACTTAATTACAACTCAAAATCGCGATAAAAATATAAAAGGCAAAAAAAAACTACGTTAAGAGATTCACGCAAACAGTCAATAGCCCAAGCGTTGTCAAACTAAAAGTTGGGCATTCAGTCGTAAACGCCAGGCGTGATTTTCGCCACTTATCACAAAGCAATTAAAAAGATACACAGTACAGTAGTCTTTATCTAATCAAAATAAAAGAAAACTAAACCTTAGTAAAATAAAAGAATAAACTTACATAGCGGTTCCCCTTGCGCCAAAGGTTACAAAGTTACAAGGGGAGCAAAGGTCAAGATCCTTCGAATTACTAAATAAACTGAAGAAAGGACGCCAAGGTCGTCTTTTATATGCGCGTGGGACGCAAAAAGGACACTAAAGCGTCGGGTTTCAAGAATAATAGATGAGCAAATAAACATTAATAAACATTAATAAACATTGTAACGAAGATCGTAACTAAGAGGAAAAACGTTATCAAGGTAATTACTAATCAGTAAAATCAGTTAGTATCCGTAACACACTCCGTCACTCCTCTCTTCGGTAAGTGCGCTGACCAGCGCATAAGCATTTTGCATGTGAAGTTTCTAGGTGAGGCTCAACTGAAGGTTGAGACTCTGTCAAAACTTGAACAGACTGCTGATAAAAAAAGAACGCGTATTCAACTGACTACTGAGATCTGAGAGCAGTAAATTTCACTGATGGATGAAAAATGGGCTGAAATTAAGACTGTGTGGATTTGGTTTGCGCTCTTATTGGGCATTTGACGCGCTCTGATAAAAATACTACGCCAATGAGGCGTCGCACATTTTAGTGTTTTTAGGACTTCGCTTTTAAACTTATCGATCCAGAATTTGAATATTAATTGGAGAAGCAGTTGTGGTTAGTGGATTCACACAGGATGCCGTGGTTTCTCTGCACTGTTCAAAGTTCAAATAAAGGCGGAGTGACGGAGCACGCGCATTTATCAACATAGGGTAGTCGCCTACAATGGACATAACTAACGCAAAGGGCCCCCCCCCCCACGCACACACACACACACACCACGCTGTAACATAGGTAATGTGGTTTGTACAATTAGAAGATCTTCAAATTGCGATACCCATGATCTGTAGTTAAAAAAACTCACGAAATATTTAGATAAGCCTTTCCAAGCATTCTCATAAAGGTACTTTCACACTCATTAGATATTACTCAAAACTTGAAAGTAGCTTGCGTAAAGTTCTATTACGATCACGTAGAAAGAAGCTAACTCTCGTCTCCACCCTGGACGGACAACTGTATGTTACACTTTCTTTTAAAAATTAACCATCTTGCTCGAGCAGCTTTCCATAAGAAGATCACCACCCGTACAATTTGCGAAAGAAGGCACAAGATGAGGAAAGTAACGGAAACAAGAGGTATAACACTCAGTAATACTGCCTCTGACATCAAAAGAATGGGGAAATACCGTTGATTGATACCGCTGACGTCACTTCCTGCCGATGCAAGGCCCACGTTTAGTACTCCTATAACGACCAAGGCTACCAAGGAGACGGTTTCGGTGAAGTTGACCCAAGGGTGGGCGAAGGGCTCATAGGATATGTGATGCCACAAATAAAGGAGGCAAAAGATTGTCAAAAGCACGGAACGCATAAGCGCTTGTTCCAACAGCAACCAACCAATCACAATTATGAGGAATCGACGACCAATGAGAATGCTCTCCCAGTAGATCCTTCCGTTTGATTGGTCACCTTGTGGCTTTGTAAATGGACCGCAGAGAACCTCAAGAAGTGACGCTTTGATACTTGTGGAAGAATTTGTGTCACGTTCTTCTTCGTGAACTGAGCCGGCAGTTGAAGGGACTGCTTGATAGTCCGCTCTCTTGGTTATTATTTTCTTTACGTAATGATACAAAAGAAAGAGGAGATAAGGAAAAGGTAGGATGCTTACCAGCAGAAATATCTTTGTTGAAATCTTGCCACGAAAGAGTTGCAGCGAAGCGAAATACAACGTGGGTATAAACGGAAACAAGTTTAGACCAAAGACGTAAAAAGCAGTTTTCTGCCACCATTGGTAGCAAACGTACTGGGCATCGTGGTACCAGTGGTGCACTTCTTGAATGCTAACGCAGTGGAGTAATCGCACTATTGTGCCAGTTACTGCTGAGTAACCTAGCAGCACTGTTTCCAGGACAGCTCCAAAGTAAGGACCAGCTGGCGGAAAAGTTGGCCCCCGCTTGCGTAGTTTGTTTAGATCTCTGTGTAGAAGATAAATAACTAGAATCCAGAGGAGAATGGTCACTACTGTCACCAAGGGGAACACTGATTTTAAACGTGGGCTGAAAATCGGCCAAGGACAAATCTTCCAGTTAGTATTGGCAAATAGTTTTAAGTTCAAAAGATTAGTAAAGGGCAAGACAATCTCATTTCGCAATAGATTTTTGACCCCATATGAGGACACGGTCAATACTCCAGCCACTTGATAGAAGTAAAAGATAATCTTTGAAAAGCCATAGTTTGGAGAGACACTTTCTCTGACCGTGCTGTTAGGGCTGCCAATAACTTGGTCATTATCCTCTGCGCGTCTCCGAATGAACCATGTTAATTGTTCTCCCATTGCCTCAAACACCGGGTTTTTTATAACGAGATACAAGGCAAATAATGACGTGAGTGCGAAAAAAACAACCAAATACCAATGATGGGTACAGTCTTTCGCTCGAACACACTCTGTTGTAAATAAACCTTCGATGAAATTCTGTTTACATTGTCCGCAAAGAATACCTGTCCTGTTGCCTTGGCAACCGGAATGCAGATAGCTATTGTTGTTATAGGAGCATTTGTTATCAACAGATGGCAAACAGCAGTAACCTTCTGGACAAAGCTGAAAGGAAACGCTGTCCTTATTTACAGGATAACCCCAAAAGTTGGGCTGAGCAGCGAGAGAAGATGAACAGTTTCCGCCAACTGGACAACGATAACAATTCACTAGTTCCTTGACACTGTAGCCACTCTGTTTGCCTCTACGGATACTGTAAGTTCCCACAGGACAACGCTCGGTACTGATCCAAACCAATTCTTTGGTCACTCCTTCGTGATGAGTATATGTTTGTATTCTCCGCATATTAAGCTTGGTGTTGATTGGTGACGCAATTTGCACAGAGTCGTCCAAGATACCCTCTCCCGCTCCTTCAACAACAACGATAGCTTTGCCTTCTGCACTAAAAGGATCCAAAATAAAGGAGCTGTTACGAATTTCGACAAATTCAGACTGTGTTACTGTCAAAAATCCACTAAATGCCACAAAATCTTTTGACTTTCCTTTCACATCATAAAGCACTTGAGATTCTGCCGACTGATAAAAGGTGTTATTCCAGAATGTCAACTTCCCTGGAAAAATGCGTATGTGCGAACTAACCACGCCTCCAAAGTTATCGGTAAAATTACAGTTTTGAATTTCAGTGGCGTAAACGTCGAGTAGTTCAAGGATGCATTTATCACCTCCAGAATTGTTGCGAAATTCAGTGTTGTTGATGATCGTCCGAAATTTAGTATTGGATATGGCGAGTGGCGACGAAACAATACGTATTACTCCTGAAGGGCCTAGATTGTTTAGGAATGTGCTCTGTTCCAAGTGAAACGAGCAATTACTATTCAAGGCCGCTAAATGAATACAGCTCCATCCATAACCCGTATTGCAGTTATTGTTCACAAATGAAACATTTTTTAAGTGGTACACCGGTTGAAATGCTGGCCTATCAATGCGGATCAACATTAAAAAATTGGATATTTTCACTTATCCAAGTGTTCTCCATAACAAAACTCACATTGCCACCCAAATTTCGCTCATGGGATGTGAAGGCCACTTGAAACCCACCGCCGGAATTTTTTTGTATTTTAGATGAGCGTAACACGACGTAGCCGTTGCCAGGATTAATCAAAATGTCAGACGTGACACTGGTAATGAGAGAATTGTTTACGTCACCAGCATTGTTAATAAATGTCAGGTTTTGTAAAGTTACTCGTGGCTGGGATGAATCAGGAAAGTACAGTGCGAGGGTGCTGGTAACCTCCGTGGCCCAATTACGGAGAAATTCACAGTTCAGGATTTCCACGTCCGAATACAGACGGACTACTTCAGCGTGAATGGCTCCGCTAGTCTTTCCTTCCGCTCGGTTATCTGTGAAAGTGTCATTGACTATTGATAAGTTACCCATGTGTAACACGTACAGAGCTACTGCGCCACCTCCACAATCAAGTTCCCCACAAGAATCCATCAACAGTTTATTACCACTGAAGTCTGAGTCATGAATACATATCGAGTCAGAATAATTGAGAAGTTTGGAGAAACTTCTCACAGCTACAGCTCCGCCTGAAAACCTTCCTTCGTTTCGCACAAACTGACAGTTCTTTATGTCCACTAAAAGCGACCGCAATATGTTGACAAATGCGCATGCTCCGCCACTCCCGCCTTTGTTCGAATTGAACTTTGAACCGTGCAGGGAAACCAAGGCGTCCTGTGTGAATCCATCGACTAAAACTGCTCCTCCATTGCTTTTATCGTAGTTCCACTCAGGTTTTATTCTGGAATAAGGTATTCCATTCCCAGAAAATATCGATCTTTCGATTTTCAGGTCAATTGAGTCGCCATTGTGGATTTTGACTGCTCTGCCTGTATTTTCTAGAAATTGTGTCGACTTAAAATCAGTGTAACCGTTTGAAAAGCCATGAACGTCCAAGATACTTACTTCAGCCACATTGTTTTCAAAAAGTACTCTCTCCATAACGAGGACTAAGTCAGTTCCGTTTATGCCAGCAAAAACTCGAAAGCATGCTTGACCTGAACAGTTATTGTGTGACACTCTTAGATCAGTAAAATTAGCTTTGATACTGCTCTGATTTGCTTGTAAGTTTTGAATAGATATGTTAAGTATGGCTTCTCCTTCACTACGTATCTTATTGCTGACGAATGTCGAATTTAAAACGTTCAAATCAACGGAAGAATTTCCGTAAATTGTAACACTACAAGCACTGTTGTTCTGAAAGGTGCATCCATTCAGTTGAACATTTCTCATCAGAGAATATTCATAATATTTCAAGGTGAGTGTAGGAACAGAGCTGTTTATAAAGCTACAGGCGACCGCGTTTAAAGAACATTCAAAGAGATGAATTGAAGTGTTAACGAAGGTGATTTCTTCTAAAATGACCCCTCGAGAAGCCATGCCGCAAAAAAACCGAAATCCATTCGTCCTACAAGAAATAAATGCTCGACTCTTGTAGCTGCGCAGAACTAAACCAGCTAGATCCAATCCTTTCTCGTTTTGGCACGGATAAGGGTCACGTGACGTTCCTGTACCTTCTATATTGATTATATCGCCATCACACGCATGCACAGTAACTTGCTGAAGAGTTTTACATGGCGATGAGGCATTGAGCCCGCAGTTATTTTCAAAGGTCCCATCGTATCTTGAGACAAACCACTGCTTGGCATGGATAGTTTCTAATAAATAAGAACAATATGAATAAATAGAGATTATAGTTTAAACTGTATTTTTCAAAGATGTCCAGCCCAGAGAAAAGACGTAACTATACACGATGCCTTTTTCTTGTGTTTGATATCGCCAATCAACTGCAGACACGTCACTCGCCCTTTGCGCCACTCTGTCAGGTTGATGAATGAATGACAGAGTGTTCACCAAAAATGAAGTCAACTTTTCTTGTCAATAATGAAGAAATGTAAAATGGTTTCCGTGTTTACATAGCCTGATGTAAACACGCGGGAGGTTGGGAGAACACGAGATAAGCGTGGGAAACCCCGACGCGAAGCGGAGTGGTTTCCAGCTTATCGAGTGTTCTCCCAACCTCCCAAATGTTTACATCAGGCTATGTAAACACGGAAACCATTTTACATTTCTTTTATAAAATAACTAATAAAAGAGGAACGAAAACCGTGTTTACATACGCTCATGTAAAATGGTTTTATGGCCAATCAGAGCGTGCGTACTATTTGAATTATTTTATAAAGGCCTATATTGCTTATATAACAAGATTATGATTATTTTAACAAGAAGAGCGCTAACTGAGGCGGAAAGTAAAATAGAAAATGGCAACTTTCCGACTACCGTCATGTTGTTTAACGCGACTGTCTTTGAAATGAAAATTAACAAACCCACGCTACGCAACGTCACGCAATTTGTTACAGATTAGCTGTCAAACGATTGGTGCAGGAGAAGACCGCACCTTCTATTTATCACTTGCCATGGTTACCAAAATTATGTGACTATTCTGACCGTTTGAGAAATCACGAGACTGCTTTGTGACACACGACAAGTTTCATTAGGAAAGTCCCTCCACTTCCTGTCTTCGTTAAAGCTGACGCAATCAACAATGGATGTCAACTTTGTCAAAAAACTTACCCTCCCTTTCGTTAAAAATGTTAGACCAACTCTCTACAAAAAGCTATGCTTCTACAATTTTCACCCAACTTCAAAAATTTGACCTTTGCTGAATGCAACATACTCGTGGAAATTGCTAATATAAGTTGTTTTTTTCCTGTACAATCATCTTTCCCCCGATTACAAAAGGAAACTACCACAGCTGAATATTTTAATTCTAAGAGACCTTGTTTCCCTTAAATTAAAAACAACTCAATCTATTTGCACAAGAATCAAGTTGAGAGGCGCAAACTACAACCTTGCCATTTGTTTTCATAACAGAGGAAGTTTGCTAAGTAGTCGAGGAGCAGTGTCTATTTACGTCAACAACAGGGATATGCCAAGGCATGTACAGTTTTAAAAAAAAACATCAGTGGAAACAAGGCCTCCTACGAGTCTTTCTGCTCTTGGTATAGACAGTTTAGCCAAACTTTATCGATGCTGTTAGACAGGGTATTTTTATTCACCCAACTTCAAAAATTTGACCTTTGCTGAATGCAAACATACTCGTGGAAATTGCTAATATGAATTGTTTTTTTCCTGTACAATCATCTTTCCCCCCGATTACAAAAGGAAACTACCACAGCTGAATATTTTAATTCTAAGAGACCTTGTTTCCCTTAAATTAAAAACAACTCAATCTATTTGCACAAGAATCAAGTTGAGAGGCGCAAACTACAACCTTGCCATTTGTTTTCATAACAGAGGAAGTTTGCTAAGTAGTCGAGGAGCAGTGTCTATTTAAGTCAACAACAGGGATCTGCCAAGGCATGTGCAGTTAAAAAAAAAATATCAGTGCAAACAAGACCTCCTACAAGTCTTTCTGCTCTTGGTATAGACAGTTTAGCAAACTTTATCGATGCTGTTGGACAGGGTATTTTTGCATCAATAAGAGGCTATGTTTAAAGGCGAAATATGGCGTAGATATGATTGCAAAGCATAAAGAGACTTCACATACCTCCCGAATATACTCCACTCCAAAAGAAAATCCAAAAAAACGTTGTTAGCTCCATTACGTGAGCCGGTGAGACATCAAGAGAACACCAATTAACTGTTTTCGACGGCTGCTTTTCAAAAACAAGATTCACGCGATTATGTTTTCGAGATTTTGATTCCTCATTGGAGCTGATGTCACGAGACATATATGGTGAATAAATTATTGATCAGTTCTTAAGAGTAGCATTTTTAGTCGTGGATACGCGAAGCGTATAAACGACTATTGTTAGGGGGACAGAATATGCAAATTTGACACTTACTCAGCTCTAAACAAGCCGATATGGCAACGGCTGACCAGACATGTTCCACTCCAAAGGAAAATCCACAAAAACCATGTTAGCTCCATTATGTGAGCCGTCAATACATCAAGAGAACACCGATCAATTGCTCTTAACGGCTGCTTTTTAAATACAAGATTCACGCGATATTTCGAGATTTTTATTCCTCATTGGAATGTCACAAGACATACGGGGTGAATAAATTATTGATCAGAACTTAAGGTGGTCTTCCACTCAAATTTTAAAAAAATTCAGTTTATGCTTTACCTAAGTTATTTAAGTACCATTGGAGAGATCACCTCAAACTGATACTTTTAAGAATTTTGATAGACATGTCGTTGCCATGGTAACCAAGTTTTGGGCCCCCAACTGTGAAAATAATGGTGTTCTTGTAAAAAGGATATCTCAAGAACTAGCGGTCCTATTCACCTGAAATTGGTATCAAAACTAAGTACAAAGATGGCTTTATGTCATGAACCTCAGAAAACCCATATTTTTTATGCCAAGCTATTATAAAATTGCAACTGTTCCTTGATTACAACATTTTTTTGTTTGTATTATCACCATGGATACATCTGTCAACAACCATGTAACTAAAAATCACTAATAATTTTAGGTTCACAACACAGAACTATACTCAAGCAAACCTCCCTGAAAATTTCATCCCTTTTGGTTTAATACTTTTCAAGAAATCCTTTTTTGCCGTGACGGGCACTCTCTCAAAATTGCAAAACTGAGAAAATCAAGTTTAAAGATTTAAGTTGATCAATCAAAATAATCACTAAAGCAACTGGTGCCTTTTGGAAAGTTTAAGCTAAGCTCTTTGATGTTCTCATTAAAATGCACCAGGTGCATATATGTCACCCTCCTTTTCCTGGGATTTGTCATTTTTTTTTTTCTTTTTTTTCCCTGAGTAGCCTCCTCCTTGTCTTGTTCTTCTCTTGGAACTTGTATTCAGCTTTCAAAACACGAATCTTGTCCAACTGCTGGCATTCATTTATACAGAATTCACCTGGGGAATTCCAAGACTCTCAAACACTTTAATAGCTGCTCTTGAACCAATATTAAAGTGAGCGACAGCATCATAAACCCCAGCTGCAGTACTTCAGAACCAACAAACACCCCTTTGGCACACGCTCCCAAACCATACCATTGAGTGACTCATTCTGGTTTTGAGTCTTGCCATCAAGACATTTGCTGAGAAGGCTGTCCTCACTCAACCTTTTATAAATGGGTTTGATTTCCTCTCTGACATCTAAAGGTAGGCCAGTTCCATGTTTGAAAGTGTTTGTCCTATTGACCTTGTCCCGCTGAAAACCACACCAGCTTTCAGGACCCTCAGGGCAATGCCCATGGTAATTACTGTCTGCAGAAGAAGCACAGTGAAACAAGCTGGCATAAATTGCCTTCTTCATGGCAGCAAGATCACCTGAGTTGCTTCGAATGGCAATTCCATAGTAATTTTGCAGTCTGTCAATCATGGCATCTGTCAGCCTGCCTTTCCCACCCATCCCTTTCTTTCCGACACTCCACATCTTGCTATGCCCTCATCTGAACCTGGCTTGATATCGTGAATCTCTCTTGCAGTATCACGCATTGTCTCCAGTGAGATCTTCTTTACTGCTCGGAGTATTTCTTTATTATGGCGAGCATATGGTGTAGGTCTAGGAGGTGGCGGCATGTTCATAAGTCCACAAAACCTCTTACCTGCCGCACGTCCACAACCAACAGATCTTGAAGCATACACAAATCTTCTGTTTACTTCAAAGAAACGGCCTATTTGAGCTGAAGTAAAGAATTCCATAGACCAACCACACGAGCAGCAAAGCAAACGAAGATTCGAGGCACAACCTTTGCGTTTCATAGCTTGCTCTTGTAAAATTAAATCACAAACAAAGCATTCTTTGCATGGCATACATTCCATCACAGAAGACAAAATTCTCATATCTACAAACCGAAATCCACTTATGATTGACTCCTTACACTCCTTGATACCCTCAGAAGATGCGGTGGTCAGACCTGCTGGAATCTTGCGGGCAGAAGCTGAACATTCTTTCCCAAGACCTTTGGTGCTGACACTCGTTTTTCCTTCTTCGAACGCTTCGATTCAGTAGAGTACTGGTTTCCACGATATTTACGCTTTTTGTGTAACCAGAACGAGCCTTTGGTGGCATTGATAAATAAATTATCAAGCAAAATCGCAATAGGAATAGAGTGAACGAATACGACCAAAATGGTGGATGATAAGTTGGGAAATAGTGTCGCCACATATCATCCGCCATTTTGGGTGCTCGTAACTCACTGCATGTATGCCTGATTGAAATGTCAATAAACAACGGGAATAACCAGGGAGGGGTCCCAGGAGAAATTCCGTCGTTTCCTTTTGACTGCAACTGCGTTTTGTTTTCATAAACAAACCGTTGCTATGGTCGTTGCTAAGGTGAAAATTCATACTCGCTAAGGAATTTAGCAAAATTTTTGACTTTACCTCCTGAATATGGAAAAAAGGAAGCTGTAGAATGAAAGAGTAATGGTTAAAGATACCAAAAAGCACCATTTTCAAAATGAAAGTTTTTTGACAAAAAATACAAATTTTTGAGTGGAAGACCACCTTAAGGGAAGCATTCTTAGTCGTGGATACGTGAAACATAGAGTGAAGCGCCAGAACTGCCTTATGGTACTTTTTTCTATTATATATGGCATGTATTTCGGCTTAACTGCAGAATACCCTGCCACTCGAAGTAAATTCCACGTAGCCAGCAGCTACGCGGTATCCAGGAAATAATTAATTCAAATAAGAATTACATTAATTCAATGGACAAATTATAAATGGCGCAGCAATGCTATGTACTAGTACTGCGTACTGCGTAGCCAGCCCTTTTCAGTAACGGGCTCGGTGTGGCGGGGTATTCTGCAGTGACTCCTGTATTTCATCGGGTTCTAACACCCTTATATTCGGTGCTTTTTTCATTATCATATTTGGTACAAACACCATTATATTCGATGCTTTCTTCTTTATAATCGGTGCTTTTGTCAAATTCTCACTAAAGGGTATGTATATAACGGCGTAATATGTGACTAACACAGTCTATATACTGTAAGATTTTACGCTACTAACTCAGTCGGTAGATTAATTATAATAAATTAATATATAATTAAATTATATTACTGGCGTAAAATTTACATTATATATGTATGATTTTACGCCAGTAACTAACGGCGTAATTTCTTCCATTCGGCATATTATATACTGTAAGATTTTACGCCGTTAATTAACGGCTTAAAATCTTACATATATACACCGACGCAGATAGTGGCGTAAAATCGTACAGTCTATAAACTGTATTAGTCACCTATTACACCGTTATCTAACTACCGCGCAGTCGATTGCGGCTGCTTTGCAGAAACTTCGAAGAAAACAGTATTGGAACCTCCATTAGCGGTGGAAATGTAGCAACATCAAGCGAAAGACTTTCAGCTGATGCAATCTGCTAAGAGCGAGCGTGGCTATTTAATCCTAGATCCTACTAATCCTACTGGAACTAATGATGCTCTAGCAAA